GCTGGTTTACTTATCCTTCCAAAGGACTAGTCATTTATTATTTTGCCTTTTTTGTTTTTGAGGTAAGTCTGGGCAGAGACATAGAAACGGGAAAAGCTTTGTTTCATCAACTTGGTCCTCAAAGCGAGTGTCCACAGTCTGTACCTCCTTGAAAGATCTGCCACAAGAAAAGCTCCTCCAGAAAAAAAGTCTTTTTCTATTGCAAAAAACCTGGTCACCCTATTGTCCTGTTTGAAGTAAGAAACAGAAACCTCTGAGTCTGTAGCCTTGATAAAAACAGTAGTTACTTCCTCCAAAATACTTCCTCGGACCAGCCCAGAGAGAGAGCTCCCTGGTTCCTCATCTTTTTCATGGATGGTTATGTTTCTTTGGGTTCTGATCCAGCCACCATGCAACCCGTTAAGATCTGCAACGATATCTACAGTTGAAACCAGAAGTTTACATACAGTATACAAAAAGGCACATAACCTTTTTTTTCCTCACCGTCTAACATTAAATCAGATTAAACTTTTCCTCTTTTTGGTCCATTAGGATTACCAAAATTATTTTTATATGCTAAATGCCAAAAAAATGAGAGAGAGAATTTTTTAGACAAATTTTTATTTTTTTCTTGAGAGTTAAAAGTTTACATACACCAAGATGACTATGACTTTAAACAATTTGGGAAAGTCCAGATGATGATATCATGTCTTTGGAAGCCTCTGATAGGTTTATTGACAACATTTGAGTTAATTAGAGGCACACCTGTGGATGTATTTTAGGCCACACCTGAAACACATGACTTCTTTGTGTAACATCATGGGAAAAATCAAAAGAAATCTGCCAAGATATCAGGATGAGAATTGATATCGTGGCTGATATCAAGTCTGGTTCATCCTTGAGTGCAATTTCCAGATGCCTGAAGGTGCCACGTTCATCCATTCAAACAATTGTATGCAAGTAAAAACACCATGGGGATGTCCAGACATCATACCGCTCAGGGAGGAGACAGGTTCTGTGTCCCATAGATGAACATGCTTTGGTCTGAAATATGAATATCAACCCAAGAACAACAGTAAAATACCTTGTGTAGATGCTGGCTAAAGCTGGTAAGACTGTGTCATTATCAACAGTGAAAGGAGTCCTGTACCGACATGGGCTGAAAGGCCACTCTTCCAGGAAGAAGCCAATACTCCAAAAGAAACATAAAAAGCCAGATTACAGTTTCCAAATGCACACAGGGACAAAGACCTGAATTTCTGGAGATATGTCCTGTGGTCTGATGAAACTGAAATGGAACTTTTTGGCCATAATGACCATTGTTACATTTGGAGGAAAAAAGGGGAAGCTTGTAAGCCTGAAAACACCATCCCAACTGTGAAATATGGGGGGTGGCAGCATCATGTTGTGGGGTTGTTTTGCAGCAAGAGGTACTGGTGCACTTCACAAAATAGATGGCATCATGAGGAAAGAACATTATGTGGAAATACTGAAGCAACATTTCAAGACATCAGCCAGGAAGTTAAAGCTTGGGCGCAAATGGGCTTTCCAAACGGGCGGATCCTAAGCATACTGCCAAATTGGTTACAAAGTGGCGTAAGGATAACAAAATTAATGTTTCAAAGTGGCCATCACAAAGCTCTGATCTCAATCCTATTGAAAATTTATGGGCAGAATCGAAAAGTCACAAGCAAGCAAGCAAGGCAGCCAACAAACTTGGCTCAGCTACACCAGTTCTGTCAGGAGAAATGGGCCAAAGTTCCTGCAAACTATTGTGAGAAACTTGTGGAAGCATATCCAAAGCTACCAAATACTAATGAAATGTATGTAAACTTTTGACTCTTGAGAAAATGATAAAAACATTATCTAAAAAATTCTCTCATTATTTTGGCATTTAGCACATAAAAATAATTTTGGTAACCTTAATTGACCAAAAACAGTAAAAGTTTAATCTGATTTATGTTAGACAGTGAGGAAAAAAAGGTTGTGTGCTTTTTTATATAGTGTATGTAAACCAATGGTTTCAAATGTAAGTTTTTCGCAGTTCCCGATTCTTCAGGTTTTCTTCAGTTTAATGATGAGTGCTTTTTTGTTTTTGTTGTTTAAGGGTTTGGTGGAGGTTACTTGTCCTTGCTCATTTATAGCCTAAATCTCCAAACAATTTTAGTTTTTGGACAGGCTGCTGTAGCAATTTGTCTTCTTTATTATTGATGGGGTGTCATTCACACAAGGAAACGATTTAGCTGGTAATCGGGTATTCGCTGCTTCTAAAATGGTTCTGTCACTGTTGAGTGTGAAACTCCAGATGAACATGAGAGGCACACTTTTCCAGTGTGTGTGACTGCCCATGCCATGTCCAGATAATAGAGCGACAAGGACAGAAACAGTGACCCTGACACCTTCTTGGTTAGGGATACGACTTTAGGCTTTGATGAAGTGTTTGCCTCACGAGAAGAGCTCAAAGCTGAGCCAGGAAATGTCTCTACTTTGTCCTGCCTCTTTTTTTCTCAGGAGGCAGTTAAAGTAAATGGATGAACAGAGGTTTCCTGAGATTACAGTGTTACTGATGGAGTGCTAATGAGAAAGCTGACCCTTCCACAGATGTCTTGTCAGGATACCATAAATTTAGATGATTGAGACTAATAAAATCTGGGAAACATGCAAATGACATGAAAAAAATTCCAACTGCAGAGTTAGCAGTGAATGAATGAATGAACTGTAGGCAAAGCAGAGCTATATGCCTTTATGATCAATATTTCACCCACGAGAGTACCATAGCTAACTCATGACTCAATGAAGAAGAAAAAGATCAGTCCCTTATCCAAACTTCCTTATTTCAGAGCCTAAAGTAGTCCATTTTAGTTTAGCTCTATAGCACTCCATCTTTCCTCCTGTGCTGAACTGATTAAAAACACGATCAGATGTGATTTTCTCATGACATTCCTTAACATAAACTTTTAATTTGTGACTGTGGCTCAGAATCGCTCATCCACATATTGCACAGTTACAGGGACTCTGAATTTAATATTCATCTGTGGTGTATTCCAGATTTTGTGGTATGGTTTATTGACTCTTCATAAAGTGTTTTTGACAGCACTTGCACTCACAGCCTCTTTAATGTTTTTTTTTTAAACATGTGTATTTTTATTTTTTTATTCCAGCAAAAATGTATTGATTTTGCAGTGTGTGTAGTGAAACCTTGTTCAGGACCTCTGAATCTCAGTCTTTACATTGTTTAGTTCCCGTGCAAGGACATTGTATAAAATGGCTTTTTATTGGGATAATAAAATTTGCAGGGTTGGGCACACACACACACACACACACACACACACACACACACACACACAGATAAATTGCATAAGTGATGTTCTGCCAAGGAAATCACTTTCCCGGGGGACATCATTAAAGAACTTAAGGTTCAAGATTTTAGGAGACAGCCCTAAGTGTGTGTGTGTGTGTGTGTGTGTGTGTGTGCGTGCGTGCGTGCGTGCGTGCGTGCGTGCGTGCGTGCGTGTGTGTGTGTGTGTGTGTGTGTTTTGAGAACAGAACATCAAGTTCCTTATGTCCCCTCTAATCAAAGTTCAGCCCCTTAACTTTTAGAAACTGTTTGAACACTGCCACACTGCCATCCTCTGGTCACAACTGATAAAGCAAAACACGTCTGGAAAACACTTGGATCATTGAAGTTTTTCTTGAATGGTTGTCGAGGATGTTAAAGAGTGAGTGTTACTGCATGCTTCATTACAGGCCTATTTTCCGTCTCTCTGGATATTTTTTGGCAGTTATAGACAGAGTGTTTCCCTGTGAAGTTCTGCCTGAATTTAAGGTTTTGTTTGAGATACTACATGAGCCATCGGTAATACCTCATTTGTACATTTTGTTTACTTAGTTATACTGTGATAATGAGATTATTTCAGTATTTTTTCGGTAAATTTGATGTAACGTTATATGATTATGATCTAAATCAGAGGGCGCTTTAACCCAATGACTGTAACACCTGAAGGACCGGCAATAAGCATCAGTTAATAGTAAATAAGCCACTGATATGAATTTATAAAGTGCATGTGTTAATAACAATATAGTTAACAAATGTTTTATTGCTTTTAGACACTAATATAGTCTAATAAGAAACTTGTTAACTGTTAATATCCATGTCATAAACATTAATTAGACTTGATGAGAGTTAATTATAGATGAATGAGCATTTTACCAGTAGCTTGTAATCCTCATTACTGTACATATAGAAAAGCTGTTATGAGCCTTTATTACTGTAAATAAGTTCCAGTATGAGTTTTTAATATTTAAAAACCATTTTTAAGTTTTGCTTACTGTTATTAACCATAATTAAGACTATAAAAGGTGTCTTGTATGCAATAATAAATGTGTTTATTGTGCCGTAATGAACACTTATAAACACTTAAAAATGTTTATAACATCTAAAAAGATCTTATAAGTGGCCTATTAACTTTTTTTGGCAAATGAAAATGAAATGCAAAGCTGTCAGCTAGAGCAGGGAAATATTGTGGGGGTTTCTCTGCCATTGTTGTTCATTTACATTGTGGTTAGGGTTGGTCAGGTTTTAATGTATTTTATTCTCTTGTTAGCTTATGAGTAGCTACTTTTATTTTCAGTCAGTCTGGGGTTTTGTTTGTTTTTTTTTTCTTTTTGTTTTTGGTGTCACAGAAACCCAAAGCCTTTTACTTGAATTGTAAGTGTCTTTCTTTAGACAGCTTCACTTTTGTTAGTTTGGTTTCATAGTTGTAAATATATACATGTACTCATTCAAACTTTATCAGCTTTGGCAGTTTCTTTCCCAGTCTATTGTAACATTAGTCTTCATAGGTCCTCTACACCAAATCTAGCAGGTATCAGCAGCAAGTTGAAAATAGAAAGTCAATACCAGTAACATAACGGGTATATATATGATGTTGTTTCATGGCTTGATTCTTCATTTAAAGAGACCCCTCCACCATCCTCTGTAGTTTCACTTCCATTGGTGTTTTTTTCCTCAGAGTCAGTCACTATGCGGTCTCCGTCTTATGTGGGTTTGTATCTGTTACAGTCATCTCTGTTTGCTGGCAATGATCCTCTGAGCTCTCAGTATGAAGTGTCAGGGATCTGTGTTAGAGGAAATCATTTCAATATGATGTAAAGTGGAAGCAATGCCTCCATCATTTCTGTAAAAAACAAACATCTTTACTCGGCTTTCTTCACCAGGAGGCTGAAGTGGTTTTCTTTCTCCTCCAGGATTTTCTTTAAAGCATCGACTTCTCTCTGATTATCCAGGAGTTCCCTCTGAAGACGGTGGTTTGTTTCCTCCAGAGTCTCACAAAAAGCCTACACTCACAGGAACAGTTCGTAAGTCACCACACAATGATACCTTTTAGCACTTGAGTCAATATTTCTTCAAGGAGCTTACTCTGCTCTCCACCAGACTGTCAAACGGACCAGGTGGGTCAACCAAACACAGGAAGTGTCTCACTGCTTCACTGAGAAACAATCACATCAAAAACTCCAAATCAAACAAAAAAAAAAGTTTTAACTCTGTAGAGTTCATTCATCTTCTCATTAAAAGACATACCTCTTGACAAATTCTCTGTGTGATGTTACGCTCTCCAGAAACGTCTGCAGCCCACTCAGCCTCTCTTCCAGAAACTCCTCATCGTAGTTGTCTTTGAACCAGCGCTTAGGAGGCAGGGCCAGATTAGAGCTCGGATACAGCTCTTTCACCTGCAGGTGTAAGTAGTAGATAATGAAGGAGTAAGGGAACACGTGTTAAAAGACTAAAGGAAACAACATTAATATGTTTTAAATTACCTTTAGTGTTGACACAGGTGGCACAAGCACTAAACTCAAAACTGCCATGTAAAACCTCATAAGATATAGATGTGGTAAACAGGGGAGGGTCAAGACTATTGGCTTGGGGTGTCTGACTGGGGTACTCATTTGTACAAGGGTCACAGTGAGCAAAGTTACAACTCTACACTAGCGTGTGAATCATAAGATTTTTTTTTTTTTTTTTGTGGGTGGAGCTTATCTGGAGGCAAAACATTTCCATCAGATACCTTAACCAGTGGTAGTCAGAAAGTTTCTTTTGGCAGGATAACACAAGTCTTTCTAAATATGTGAAGTCACTTTTTGTTCAGGGCCAAGATTATAACTTAATAAGTTAACACTAACCACTGAACTAGCCAACCTTTAAGTGCAGCAGATGGACAGTTTCACAGGATTGCCAATGGTGCAATTGCTGAGCATTAACACTATACTGATTGTATAGTCAAAATGAGGGTTGTTTATGTCCATAGATTGTTTTATACTTGTTTTATACCATTTGACGGTGAGCAGGAGTTAACATGCAGTTTTTGATGGACTGATTTCTCTTCTACACAACTGATTATAGGTAGAAAATAACCAGCAGTGTGTTTAAACCATGGGCTGTGCATAAAATAATCAACTGGAATTTCCTTTTGGCTGCAGGTAAAGGATTTTGAGCTCCCCCCTGGAGGTAGTTGTGTAAAGTTCAGTTTAACCCTCCTCCTGTGTTAGGGTCTGCACCAACCTGTTTTTGATTTTAAATGCTTAAAAGAACCACTTAAATTAGCTTTTTTTGCATCAAGACTTTTTGACTTTGACAGGGATCTCTATTTCAACAAAATAAAACTAAAAAAATCAAATTCACTAAATTATAAAATGCTCTTATTAAAATTAGATCGAACACCGGTTCGATCTAACAAGGTCTCTGTTGGCCCCCTGTTTGATCAATATCTAATAATCAGAGCAAAAACTAAAATCGTATGCGTACTCTCAGGCACCACACGTACAGTCAGATCGTCTTCCAATCATGCGAGATTCAGGAAATTCTCATTTTGCCTGTTTTTTCCCTGCACAAAAACAACATCGGGCATGTCTAGACATGCAAGATCAGTTCAGTATGGATGTCTGTGTGAGGGGTATAGTGACAAAGAAAGGCCCAAAGGACCACAACAAAAAATATTACAAACAATATTTCAATGGATAATGAAGCATAGCAAGGTAATCTAGAGATGAGAACCAAATTGGATTATAGAGAATTGTTTTGAGTGTAATTTACAGCTGATTTAAGACACGGGTCAAAACCAACCCTTAACATAGTGGGTGCTTTGTAAAAGCTAACACAGGAGGAAGATAAATGTGGTCACTCCTCGGTTTGGAGTGATTCAGACTGGTTTTACTCTTCTGTCTTATCTGTGTGCAACATTATGCAACATGGTAGGAAGCATATAATCCCACACCCATTGATTCTGCTAACTGAACTTTTTGGCTTGTAAGGCCTCTTATAAAACTTTTCCTGACAGAAATGACTCACCAATTTACAGTTACCTCAAAGTCTCCTCACACCAAAGAAAATCAGTGAGATACTCATTCTAAGAGGCTAGACGCTCTACTCTACTTTCATTTCAGAAACAGATAACTGACAATGATAGTTAAACAAATAAAATGACTCCCATTCAGGTCCCATTCTTTGCATACTTGGAAATGCACTCTGGTACTCTTATATGTTGCTTACAGATTGAAAACTTCAACTTCCTAAATATCATTTGGACTTAATGCTGACCTTGTCTTCATTTGCTTGCTGTTCCTCTCTCAAATTTTCTTGAACACTTATCATCTAATTCAGTCACTTACTTTTCATACATTGTCAAGACCAATGAAAGCGCACAATCTCACCTTGTCATTTAGCCTGCAGAAGTCAGTGTATCTTCGGAAGATGACCCAGCTGTCCCCTTCAGCCGTCGTCACATGGATCTTATAAACCTAGCAATTTAAAGTGTCAGTAATTGCATCTCATACAAACAAAACATAGGCTCCAAGGAGAAATATCTGAACTGTATTCTCTTGAAAGTAAGACTTTTCAAGGGAATGTTGTTTGTGTATCTTCAGCAGCTACCCCCCCCCTTCCGAGAGTGAATGGAGCTGCTAATTTGTCAGTCGTTTAGCAACACTCATAAACACACAAAGACATACACATTAACTCACACAAGCTGTACAAGCCTTTAAAGCGGAGCAAGTCATATGATGTCAATGTGACATCAGAAGCTAAGCCAAAGTCCATGTGCTTTTAAATCTTCTCACATTCATTCGCCGACATGTTTTTTCAAAGGATTTTACTTAAAATGAAAAAGAAAATGAAAATCAAATGTTTCACACAGTCCAAGAAACCTGCCAGTCTAATTCTTTTTATATTTTCTCTGTTGGTTTAGAAACTCTAAAGTCCTTACTGTGAATTTGGCCCTCTCCTCCAGGATCTCATATCCCAGCAGAGTTGGGGTGTTGGGTCTCTCCACCCAGCTATCCCTGACTCTCCCTTCACCCTCCAGCACTGTTGATGACCCATCCAGCATGTCTTCTCCCCAGGGTATCACTACTCTCTCAGAGAAAGTACTTTCTGGAGGCTGATGCTCACACTCCCTCTCGGCCAAGGACTTGCAAGCTCCAGTCCGGTCCACAGGGAAGGGGACTGGAACAAAAGGGGTGGCCATCTGTGGGGGGAAGGATTATGATTAGGAAGTTGATTGATATGACCACAGACCAGCAAGTTTGTGTGCTGCATGAGCTGAGCAGGGCTCGCCTTGCTTGATCATCATAAATACACAGACTTGTTCACTGGTTTGGTGACACCCAGTGTGTCACAGTGGTGTCAGATTACAAAGAAAAGATCATGTGCTTTAGCTTGTGCTGACATGAAGGATTATATAAACCAGGAGAACAATAACATTGATGTCTAGTAATAATGTCCTAGTGACGGCCCATCATCCTATTTCCCATCATGCTTTATTGGTTTCTTAAGCTCATTGTTTGTTGTAAACATTACTATTACTCAAAGGCTGATTTTTTTTCCAGTTGTGTGTAATTTTGCCGGTTTAACTTTTGGTAAATTAGCTCATTAATACCAAATTCATACACTGATAGCAGAGGCTAATATGTAACCCACTTATGAGTGTTGACTAATCAAGCTCGCATAAATGTCTTTACCAAGGACACTGCAGCATGTGGACAGCAGAACCTGAACCCTGTCAAAGACCTCTCACTCAACCAGTAATCAACAGCTTTGTTTGTATTCATTAAGCAAACAGCAGTTTGCCACTGCATTACAAACAAGTAGCTAAGTCATTTGTTATCCTTCTGTCTTTAAAATATGTGCCGAGCAGCTATAATTCACAATTCTATAAAGACAGAAAAGATATATATCTTCAAAGTTTAAAAATAAATACATGAAAACATCTTGAGTTTCTGTTAATACATTATCTACTCAATTTTGGCACCTCAACACATAAAATACAAGTTTTTATTCTTTGTTTGACAGTGTGTCAGGTTTGTGGTGATACCTGGGTTAGCCAATCAGATTTAAAACCACTCCTGGCCGTTTTTGTGGACTCAGTCCTTATAGGGACTTTGTAGATTAACTTTCACAAACAAGCATATGAGTGGTAGGACTATTTGACAAACATGTGTATCCCACCCTTGATGCAACTGCAGTGTCTCACAGAGTTATAGTTATATACTGAAAAATAGTGGTTTCTGCACTACTATTTAACATTACTTGAGTATTTTAATAATCAATCAATCAAGAAGTCAGTCTATCCGTCTGTCTGTTTTTCTTTCTTTCTGTCTGTCCATCCATACATCAACCCATCGATACATCTGGCTTTATTGTATATCACTTCCATCCAAAGAAATGCCAAAAAAGTGCTTTACACAAACTGAAAATCATTAAAAATGATTGAAAACTGATACACACTCAAAGACTGACACAGGCAAATAAACAAACAAAACAAAAATTTTAAAAAATAAAATAAAACAAACAAAAGATTCAATAAACTGAAACAGAAGAAGGAGGTTACATTATGTCAAAGCTCAAGACAGCAAAATAACCTGCATCAACCCGATATACAACATTAAGATAATAGATAAGGGTAACACTTTACAATAACCATAATTTATAAATGGTAGATAGATAGTTTATTAATGTTTAATCATCATTTAAAAACAGCACATAGACCAATTATAAATGGCAAACAGATTATTTATGTAAGTTAAAACTTACTTTACCATTAACAAGCAATAAAATTATGATTAATAATTTTCATTAATTACTAATGGACTGTTTAATAAGGTTTATATAGGGCTTAAATATTGGTCGCAAAACATCTAGATTTAAATGTGTGTCAGTAGCACTTTGTAAATTGGTTAATATTTGGTTTATAAACCACCAATAAGCATTACTTAGATGGTTATTGTAAAGTTAGGATTAGGGTTAGGTTTTTAAAATTGTAAAATTGACAATTTATTAATGGTCTATATGCTATTTATAAATGGGGATTAAACATCAATAAACTATCCACTTACCATTTATAAATGTTCTATTTACCATTTATAAGTTATGGTTATTGTAAAGTGTTACCTAGATAAGGAATAAAAGTAAAAGACCAACCATTAAAAAATACATCTCCTAAAAAACACAAACAGTGTGTTCATAACCTTCGCTCTCAGATGCTTCATTGTCCTCACACGACTCTTGAACCCCATCCCCACCCCGGTTTTATTACATATATTTACAAATGATGTCAACACGAGTAGATAAAAACATCACGAGTATGGGGAATTCCGACGCGTTAAACCCCCTCACTACTGACTGACAGCCTGGAGGAGGATCTTGTCTCTGTGAAACTGAAACTAAAATGAAAACTTGTAGCCTCGGCAAAGTTGGCTTTTGTTCATGTTACTTCTGTGTAGGCTAGTCAATACTCTAAGATTAGACAGAATTACAAAGTCCATAACAGCGCAGACAGGGAGCGTTTAAAAAACTATAAACTGTTTATTTGCCGTAAATCGTACGACCGTGAACGCCTCTCCTCTCCAAACCCGGAAGCGTGTCGTCATTAGCAACAACAAACCCACCTGCCTCCTTTAATGACAACGCGGCCCAGCAGTAGGTGTCTCTTTCTGTTCATAACCAGAGAGAGACCGAAGACAGTCAGGTGGTGTATGATGAATAAACGGGCATGCGGATACGCAGACATTTATTTTAAATCTTTTCTCATCTTTAAACCTGCTAATAGTGTGTCAGCTTTCATCCTGCTACGTGATCGTTAGCTTATTTCGCTAGCAGGGAGCGACATGATGGCATGTGTTTAAAAAACAAGCAGGTCTTCCTCATTGCGTTCACCGAAGGGGGAAGTTCTGCTTTCAGCGGCTGATAAATCCTCTCAGACTTCCCGTAAAGGGCTCACTACTTGCTATGGAGCCGTCCGCGGCCATGGGCTGTGTGAATATCGGCAGTCTGACCAGCACCTTACCGGTGATCCCCTACCAGAAACTGACCGACCTGTACTACCTGAGCAGGGGGGGCTTTGGCACCGTGTTCAAGGCTCAGCATTCAGATTGGAGGACCACTGTGGCCATCAAGTGCCTGAAACTCGACGCACCTGTCGGAGAAAGGTATGCTGAGACGATATAACTATTTTGATCATGAAATAGTGTTAAATGAAAATCTACAGCTGTAAATACCATGTTTAGGTGCACACAGTAACTATCCCAGTGTATGTTTTAATCCTTTTAAGAGGTAGTCTATGACTGAATCAGATAGGGGAGAGTGGGGTAAGATGAGCCATTTTTCATATTTCAGATCTTTACATCAAGTCAATCCTAGTTTTGTCTCTAACTAGTGTATCTGCATATATTTCAAGATGTTGTGCATCCCTGCAAACCAACAGAATGAGTGTAAACATAACTGTCTTTATAATATAGCATGCCAAAAAAAAAGTGGTTTCATATGGTTTCATAAGAGCGGGGTAAGTTGAGCCGTATCCCTACTGGCTCAACTTACCCCAGAACCACTATGATGACTTTATTAGTCCTCTAAGCTAAAATGGTGGATTTTTATGCAAGGTTTTGACCTTATGTTGTAGCTCATAGATACCACAATTGATGTATAAAACAAATTTAAAATGATATTTTTGGGTCTGAACACAATTCTAATTAAACTTATGACAGACTAAATTCACTAAACCCTTCATCCATGTGCTTCTAACCTTCACAGACTCCTTGAATTTCTTACCCTTTGGCTCAACTTACCCCACTCTCCCCTATATTAAAACTTAGAGTGTACCAGATGTAGTTTCATCATACTATGCAGCAGCAGCAGGTTTTGGATTTTGATGATAAGATTAATCACTCCGCATTCCAGATGTTTAGAGGAAGTAGAAACTTGCTTTGATCTACACCATCAACTCAGCATTATAACAGTATAAATTCTTATCCGTTTCCCCTCCCCTGTGTATTCAGGGTAAAGCAGACAACTCTCACATGTCGTTATCATAAGAGTTTAAAAGCTGGTGATACTCAAGAGTTAAAGATCTGATCACCAATAGCAGTTCTTGAAAGTACCTTTGCTGTTTTAACGAATTCATAACATATCAAACCATTTGTGATAAGGATAGTTTTATCTGATTGTTACAGAACTGAATCTCTAAGAGTTTTAATAAGCAGAGTGTCTCAGTTATAAAAGTGACAGCCAGTGATCTATGGTAAACATACTTCAAACCGAAGACATTATTTCTAAGCAAGGTTTTATTGTTTCATTAACAATCATGTAAACCAATAAAGATGAATAGGCAATAAAAGTTGCTTTTATGTTTCCTTGGCAGACTTTTCTCTCAGACTCTCATACAGTTTGTTGTTTCATTGATTTGTACAAGCTGCTCGGCCTGTCTCTATGTGACACAATCGATCAGTCTTACTGTGGTTGACATTCAACAGAAAATCACTCATATTCAGATTTCCTCATTTAATTTAAGCTTTATTTCTTTGTGATATTTTAACTTATTGAAAACAGAAACCCTGTTTGCCCCTGTGAAGGAATGGGAAGAAATACACACAGCAGTGAGACTGATATCATGCTATTAAACGGACATTAAACCACTTTAAACTTGATTGGCTACATGTGTTTTTTCACATTGATATTAAGGTGAATACTTGAATGATTTCATGAGTATCGCCCAGTCCTTTGACCTGCTCCCCTTTATTCTGTGTTCACCATAAACACTGCAAATGTCAACACTGCTGTGACATTTTTGTCTGTCTTAGAGCAAACACTGACTCTGTGTACCTGACGGTGTTTCAGGGAGAGAAACTGCCTGCTGAAGGAAGCCGAGGTGCTGCACAAAGCCAGGTTTAACTACATCATCCAGATTTTTGGCATCTGCAACGAGCCTGAATTCTTCTGCATCGTCACAGAGTTTATGAGCAATGGCTCTCTGGACCTTTTACTTCACGAGGTAGCTATTAATCACCATGTCACTTTATGACACACACAAAAAAAGCCTGTGTATATGAAATAGCCTTATCCTAACATCATGATCCAGGACTCATTGTTGGAGAGTTAAGGTGGATTAAGAGCTGAAAAGATATCATCTTTTCTTGGCTTGAAGGCAGAGAAAAAAATGAAATTAACTCAGAAGAAACACTTGCAGTTTTGTGCCACACTGAATTGTGTCTGGCTCTTGATTTGATTATAGAGTCACTCATTTAGAGAACTCCTTCCACAGCCCTTGATTTTCCACTTCTGATGCCAACAAGGCGGAAGTGAAAGAGCCTCTTTGTTTTGGCGAGCTGCGTCACAGTCACCTCAAGCTGTATTAGTTTGATGCCTCAGTATCACGCCTCCACATTCTTGTCTGTGTGGTGACAAGCAAAAGTGAAACTTGGATGTTTCAAAGTCTGGAAAGAAATTTTGAAAGAGGCCGGGAAGGAGAAGCTGAGCTGTGAGGAAAGCAGACAAATATAGTTTAGGGAAATTCCCACTTGTCCTGGTCTTGTAAATCTTCCCTTGCGTCACTCTTGAATACTTTGGATTCTAGCCCAGATACAGTTTAACACCCTTTCACTCCTCACCCTCATGAGTACAAACATGCTTTTATCATACCACAGTTGATCATTTTGACCTCTGTTCTGTGTGCATTGTACCCACAGAAGGACACGTACCCCGTACTTGCCTGGCCTTTGCGCCTGAGGATTCTGTATGAGATTGCTTTGGGGGTAAACTTCCTCCACAACATGAACCCCCCTCTCTTACATCATGATCTGAAGACGCAGAACATCCTGCTGGACGGTGAATTTCATGTGAAGGTATGCATGTCAGTCAGAATGTGGGAAGTGTATAAAAGATAGTCTACACTGATACTTTCATCTGCACTGTACATTTGCTTGTGTTTAACCCACTTTATCAAAACCAGAGCTAACACAATTTCTAGAGCGAGTAAAAAGTAAATGACAAAAATTACAAGCCACTACTTTGATCATAGTTAGGGGAAATAATCCACAAATCCTCTGGACAAAGGTTTTTAAATCTGAACTTTTTTTCTGCTGCGCTTTTTCATATTAGACATTAAGCCGATTGAGACTGTTGATCTGTTAAATGTAGCTGTCAGGAGATGTTTTATCAATCTCAGTTATCTATCAGCTGTAGTGGTGGTAGTTGCTGGCTTGATGATTATATTTAGGAATAATTCCACTCACACCTGTGGATAAGAGATTATAATACCTTTATAAAAAGTGCTGCCTCTGTATCTTACAATCATAAAACAGAAACATGATTAAAAAAAATGAAGGACTGGAATAAAACTATGTTTCAGAGAATCCTCACTAATACTGACATTTGGTTTTGTTTGGTTCAGATTGCAGATTTTGGTCTATCAAAGTGGCGGCAGCTGTCTGTCAGTAAAGGTTCAGGGTCCAAGCCCACAGAGATGGGGGGCACTGTGATCTACATGCCCCCTGAGAAGTATGAACCCTCCAAGAGCCGTCGAGCTGATGTGAAACACGATATGTACAGGTAACAGACCAGAATGTGATAACTGAACACAAAGCAGAACAGACACGCTGAGCCCATGACACGAGTTTCTTTAAAAAAATGTTTTACGCACAAGAGATTCGACTGTTCAGTGATTGTGATTGAGCAATATCTGTAAAAGGGTGAACTTTTGGGTGTTGAGCACAATCAGCATCTTTGGGTCACTTTCAGGAAGTTTCTCATCTGCTGAGGTGATCCAGTGTGTGTCAGCATGTTTGGATTGTTAACATACCATTTACCACTGCAGGGGTTTGAGCCCTAGAGCTGATTCTGTCAATCATTCCAGTCAACCGGTTTGATTTCAGGAGTGTGTAAAAGATAAAGTGGTTACCATTACAAAAAAAATGTTTGAGAAAATAAGGTTTTGTCCTGCAGGTTTTGGATTTCTGCAATAAGTCAGCATTTTGTAAATCCCCTCAGCTCTGAGGGGAAACACTGCTCAAAAAAGTGATGCAACTCTAATTTTCTTCACTATTTTTTCTCCCTGATGTCACTTTAAAGTTATGCCATCATCATGTGGGAGGTCCTGTCCAGGCAGATTCCTTTTGAAGGTACAGCAATTTATGTGTGATGAAATTTCAAACTTTCACTCTCTCTTGTTTTGTTCACTCACGCTTTCAGAGATCTGAAATCTTCATGTTGCTGCCTGACTAATCTCTGATCTGTGTGCTTGTTTGTCCCTCACATGTGGTCAGATGTGACAAACCCCATGCAGATCATGTTCAGTGTGCTGCGTGGGATGCGCCCTGACACCACTCTGACCAGTCTGCCAGCTGAGATCCCCAGCAGAGAAACCCTCATCAGTTTAATGACCTGCGGCTGGACCTCCAACCCTGACGAGCGTCCTTCCTTCCTCAGTAAGCTCAGACTAAACCGCAGCGACTAATTCCTGCTGGAAAAGTACTATCTCCTTTTTATTAACCGCTGTGACACACCGTTGTAGCTGCTTGACCTCTCGCAAAGTTTTCTAAGTCACCTCTTTTTACATTGAGCAACCAACAAATCCTTCTGTTGTGAGCAGAATTTCAAAATAGTGACTAAGAATCATCTTCCTGTCACGTTGTGGAAATTTTTTTTTCTCTGCCAAACCCTGTTTTGTTTGTTGGAAAATATGAAGAAACCTATCCTGTCCCGCTGATCATGATTTATAAGAAGTTCATAACTCATTCACTGCTCAGTAAAGCAAATAGTCAAAGTAATGTTTTGATATTTGAGCTTTTTTTTAGCCAAATAGATTTCAGAAATATCAAGGTGTTTTCAAAACTTTATAGTATAGTTTGTTTTTCATAACTTAAAAACCAAAACTGTAAAACTAAGAAATTACTTTTATGGTCACAGCAAATTAGAGGCAAATAACACCTGAACTTTAGAGATTGATAGAAACTGGAGAGTAACAACTCAGTGAAGTTTAAAACCTCTAACAGCAGTGTGCAAGTTTGTATCTCTCACTGACCAACCCATACAAACTAAGACAGAAATAATCAACCCCCATCATGTTGTTGTTGTTGTTGTTGTGGTGAACACATTCTGCTGAACTGAAGTTTAAAAGTTCATCTGATTTCCATTTTACTCTGGAAACCGTTCAAAAACCACCAGTGAAGGTGGGAAAAAACACACACAACTCGGTAAAGCGATTCCAGTTTAATCGAGTTGCTTCCTGTTTGCGTCATTGATATCACATTATTGATATGAGCTAAATGTGTCATGTGTTCACTTTTATTCCAGAATGTTTAATTGAGCTGGAGCCCATGGTGAGAAAGTTTGATGAAATCGACTTCCTGGAGGCTGTGCTGGAGATAAAGAGGGCAAAGGTCGGTAAAGAGTCTTCCGCCACTCCTTTTTTTGATTTTTAGTGGATATGCTTGACTATTATGATAATCATTACAATCATTATCAGAATCAGTGCCTGCTAGTTATGTGTCACCAGGCAGGGGTGAAATTTGTCCAAACTGCTTTCCTCAGTTTGCTTTGAAATGACAAGGGTGATTGTGTTGACCCTGGCTTTTGATTTTATTAACTACCATTTTCATGGGGTTTTGACCAACAGAGCTGGGTAAAAAGACGGACATTAGACGATAAGAGAGGGTTGAGACTAGAAAACACAAAGCTCTAGAGGGCTTAGACGGTAGTTTATTTCAAGGTCTCACAGCTGTAATGATCTGTATCGATGGAAACGAAGGAAACAGAGTATTGGTGTCGTACCAATAATAACACACAGACAGTGTTTCATTTCATTAAACACACAGCTGTATGGGTTCTGTATCTGTACCTTGAGGGTCAAACTGGAAGAGGTGACAATGAAACATTAAACCTGTGCTTTCAGTCGGGGTTAATCATTGTTACATAACACTGAGACGTGTTTGTCTCTGTGGTTTTAGCCAACACTGATCTGAATAATCGATGGTCACAAAAGAAATACCCTTCCAGAATAGATAGTGCAGCTACCTCTAAGCTACGCACCAGTAAGTATGTGTGCCATTTATAACAGTCAATGAACTGTGCTGTGACTAAGACAGAATGACAGGTCAGAAACTTAACTTCATGATTTCCTCTTTACACATCCTTCCTCTTTTGTATGTGTGTGTGTGTGTGTGTGTGTGTGTGTGTGTGTGTGTGTATGTGTGTGTGTGTGTGTGTGTGTGTGTGTGTGTGCGCGCGCGTGTGTGTGTGTGTGTGTGTGTGTGTGTGTGTGTGTGTGTGTGTGTGTGTGTGTGAGTGTGTGAGAGAGAGTGTGTACGTGAGTGACACCATGGCTGACAGAGCAATAGCACATGTCAAATGGTAAATTACCTGTATTTATGTAGTTCATCTCTGATCTGATCTACTTACTACACTTAGCCATTTATAACGCTGCTGACTAGGCCACCAGAATCCATAAGAGGATCAGCTGTTTAGTGGTACGTTAAATAATGTTGGAGAATATTGATTGAGGGCGTTGTAGACAAAAATCCAACTTAGTTCCCTCAGCACACTTTCACACATAGCAGGAACTTTTTTACTGCTATTTTTATACACTGAAAATTCAGTCACCCAAATCAAGTTACTGCGTCGTGTCAGTTTATCAGTTATTCTGTTACGCAAAGACCCGTTTTCACTTTTGGAGCGACAGTTTTTAACAATATTCTATTCTTCTAATATTCTAATTTCGTACAAAGCATCAGTCACTATTTTTGACATTGAGGTCCACAGATCAGTGGGATACACAATGATTGTGTTTGGTATACTGCTACATCTTGTCTTTGTTGTATATTGAAGTGAATATAGATTTTTATACAAAATCTTAACTTCTTTTGAATTGTGGCTTGTATGAAAGAGGAAGCTTCAGTCCAAACATCAGTGAAAGTCCCCTGAGGGAATTGAAGCAGCAACAAAGTGATAATTTTACTCTGTGGTCGAATCATGAAAACACTTCTGCTCCACAGGCTGTTTAACATAATAGTCATTTCCTCTCTTTCTTTAGTTATTAAACTCTTTTTATTCACATGCGTGTATTAAGAGTGGGTTCACGGACTTTGACATCGTTCCTAACTCTCCTTTATCCTTGCCCCCCCACAGTTTATGGGCCGATCAGGCTGTTGTTCATCTCAGACTGAGTGCACAAAGAGGAGTGAGGGAAGTTCCCTGAACATGCCGAAGGACAGACACAGCCCCTGGCCGGTCAGTAGTCAATAAGTCTTTGAAATGAATGAAGTGAGCAGTGACAGTCAACTTGAGCCATGTGGTCATCGTATTATGTTTTTAACATCCATCCGCTCTTTCCTCTGTCACAGGAGAGCTCCACCTCAGGCTCAGGCTCTTGTTCATCTCAGGACACAGACATCTCTCTACCAGGACCCCTCATGGCCCCGCCTTGTAAAGGTGATCACAGCAGCACTGTTGCATTATGTATTCCCCTGATGGCTATGCCACAGATGAGGTGTAAGGATAAAAGCATTTTAGGAGCACAAATGGGATCAGATATAAAGTAGTCGATTATTGTCCTCTGATTTAAAACCTGTTTTCATCTCTCTTCTTCTTTTCTCTTTCTTCTATAGAGGGGCTCCCATCCTCTTTTATAGCTCCCACTCTGGAGCCTCCAAAGTCTTTGATAGACATCTGTGGAAGCAACGATTTAAATGTCTACCAAAGTGCAAAGCCCATGAACATCCCTGTCAAACCAGGGCTGCCTGCCACTGAATACGAGACATTGCCCTTCAAACCTCAGCCACAAGGTACTTAAAATACTGATAGTGATATTACCATTTTGGAAAGTTTAATAAGATATGCTTTTATTGTGCTGTACACAAGGAGACACATTTTTGACAGTAACTGTTTGAGTATGGGGCATGTTCTTTAGTTAGCATGTTAGCTCACTTTAAGTCACTGTGAAGCACTTATTGTTTTATTCTGTCAGACTGTTTACTGCAACTACAAGAAAACTGAAGAGTCTCCTCAGAATCCTCAATAATATTTAATGATCATCATTTAGAAAGATGTTAATAAATAATATGTTTCACTTAGTATTTCTTCATCACAAGCTCAGAATATTTTGATCACGATCAACAACAAGGAATGATGAGGAACTGGTTGGAGGAAAATTTAGATGTCAATTTCACAGCAGAGATAACAGTGTCACAATTATGTGTGCTGTTAATCAGCTTCTTAGGTGTGATCTGTTTAGCTTAAAGCTCCTGTGAGAAGTTTTTAAACTGGTTATGATGAAACAGAGTAAAATTAACATTGAAGACTTTTATTGACTCACAGCAGCAAACAGGGCAATCAGTGTCACCGTGGACAACACATATATTGTCAGTTGTAACGTCTGTGACCAGTGTGTGGGCTTATGCTGCGTTCCAGTTACCTCAGAAGTCGGATGTCGAAGTTGGGGATGACGTTACACCTGAGTTGACGGCGTTTCAGTTAAAAAAGTCGGAAAACCGAGATGGACGCCCACTGTTAGCCTTTGCTAGCTGTTGTTTACAATTGTCAGCTGGTCTTAGCAGTTGTTAGCTATACTAGTTGTAAACAACCCATAACACAGTATTTTACTCTTACAAACACCATAGCACTGTTTTCACAGTTAGACGTTGGGAAGTACACCATAAACCACTTATTTAATTTCACAAAAACAAAACAGAAGTGCTCATTAATAATACATTACGGGAGCTTTCACTGTTACTCTTTACTGTTGATGCACTGCGCTGCCATCTTGGATTATGACGTTGTCGTCAAGTCGGGGTTGGTGAGGATAGTCCAACTTTCTGAGTCGGAAATCTGACTTCAGGGGAGCGTTACAGATAAATTTCCGACTTAGAGCTCGGAAATTCCGGCTTCTGAGTCCAACTGGAACACAGCATTAGTGTCGGACTGACCACTGGAGAAACAGACCTTATTTACATACTTATTTACATTGAGAGGGGAGATACAATATAGTTTAAGTGTAGGATCAATGACATGTTAATGACTTAAAGGAAAAAAAGAAGAGATTTTCTTTCAAAAAAATCTGCCTTCACATGCCAAACTGAAAGTTTCTCACAGAAGCTTTAATAGAGAGCAAGACAAATAACAAGTTTGCAAAATTTAGATACAACAATGAACTATCCTGTCTAATGAAGAACAGTTATTGTAAAATTCCTAAACAGATTTTCCTTCCACTGTGGATGAAGGTGTCACTGCTTCATGACTCCTCATGGGGGTGCTAATCTCATCAATCTTACACTCAAACTATGTTGTATCTACCCTCTGATTACCACCCCCAGTTCATTTAGTGAAAATGAAACTATCATTCACAACCAAACTTGATACGCTCCCCTTCTCTGTTGCAGCTGATTACTCTCCTCCCCGGCAACACTCTCCCCCCACACAAGGCCCACTCACTCAGTGGATCTCCATAAAACGTGAGGAGATTGTCTCTCACATGACGGAGGCTTGTCTAAATCAGATCCTGGATGCTCTGCTGGCTCGCTCCCTGCTGATGATAGAGGATTACGAACTTGTGAAAAACCAGCTGACACGCACAGCCAAGGTTCGCCAGCTACTGGACAACTGTCACAACGAAGACATGTGCCGCATCGTTGTACGCAAGCTGTACGACAACAAGCAGACGAGCCTGCAGCCGTACCCGTCTGAAATCAGCTCGCCTACCCCTGTCGTCTTCCCCTCCGCACCCCCACTGACCATATCACATAATTTCTCCAGGAATGTGTAGCAGCGGTCACGAACAGTGGAAACAGTCCAGATAATAGGCTGCGCTGAACAAACACTACACCGAGCGCTCAAAGGTCACATTATCATGAGGATGGTTGATGTGGTGCCTGTCAATTGTTTCTGAAAAAGGTCACAGGTACTGTACAAAAGAAACGGACTCATGCTGTTTTCACTCATTAATAAGAGATGAAATGATATATTCTGTTTAAGCAGAATCAGAAGAGTTTGACTGAATCAGTGGTTTTATTTAACTGTTTATTTTGTGGATCTAATGGGGGGATTTTATTTAAAGTGTCTTCAGGGTGGATTAAAGGATTGTATTTCATTTTGGTACTTTTTTACTTTTGTCTTTAAAGCTTAGTTACAATCTTCTTCACGTGTTATTTGATATTCCAATTGTTTATTTTATTGTCCGAGAGTTTAAGGATGGTTGTATTTTGATTCTGAGTAAACAAACATCTGTGGTACGCCTTGAGGAACAAACAAAAGGACTGTCAATATGCTGGAAAAGCTGCAGCTAAACTAAGGATTGTTCTTAGCAACTTCAAAGAATCAGGTAGTCGTGGTTCAAATTTCCTGATATCTTAGAGAGGAAGCGTTCACCACAGGGACCGAGAGTGTCTCTGTCCTCAAATATATGACCTACATTTATGAAGCTCACACTCACTGGATACTTCCAAAGTTATTCTTCATCCATGGACTCGGAGCTAAGATTTAAAAATAGGTTCAGATTTTTACTCCTACTGAGAACACGACTACACCTCTGCTTGTAGCACACATTTAGTTTACCTCCTTTTTAAGGAACAGTCCAGAGTTTGTCACTCCTGTCTCCTACAACCTTTTCTACTTAACCTGTGCTTCCTGTTCTGATGGAAATGACACTGTAATAATGTGGTTATTTCTCTGCTTCTCATGAAGAGGGACCAGTAAGTGTGAGGGAATACACACATATACATGTAAACCTAGTAGCAGCACTTGATCTGTAAAAAATAGGGGTATTTAATATTATTTTGTTTGTCCATGCATATGTACAGGGTATCTTTTTTTTTCTTTATGGCTCAGATGTGACTTTCATTCCTGGATTATTCATGCTTTCATTATGAGTTTGTGTTTTACATTTTTATTACTGTCAGGTGTTTACTTCAGTACCAGTTTGAGAGAATGCTCAAGAGATCAACCTGACATCCCTTAATAGGTTCACTTATTCACGCCACAGTCCTAAATCCAAAGGTATTTAAGCCACAGCCACCTTTTAGAAAGTGGATCTGACTTAATATTTATTTAGTTCATTTTCAAACTAACAGAAGCTTATCATAATCAGTCAGAATAAAACTTAAGAAGAATTCTTATCTCATGGATTTTTCTGCATTATGTCTGCTCTGTTTTTCTGAATTTACAAACAAACAAAAAAAAAAAAAAAATGGTACCTCACATTCCAGTGACCTTTTTAAGGAAGAAACTGGTCTGATCTGTCTTGTATAAACCAGTACTACTCTGGTTTGGGTTCGAGACACTTATGATGATGATGATGCTCATGACTTTGAATAACAGCATCTGGACATAGCAGTGTTTCCCCAGGATCAGTTGAGCTGTCACTGTATGATTCATGGACATGAGATGCAGCTCAGTTATGTGCTGACTTCAGACACAGACAGACTGCTGCTGAAAACATTGAGGTTCAATTGAGCTGCCAAAATATTGTAACTTAGAAAAACAGAGCAGATCATCTCATTTTCATAAAACCCTTCTGAAAGTCTTATTATGATCTCAAATGAAGGCAGTATGTTTCTGTTAAGACTCATTCATAAACTGATCATACCCACTCTGTCTTCATCACACCCTTCACTGCCATGAGCTTAAAAGGTCAAACAGTTTCGGTAGTTAATGTTTCATCACAGAGAAGTTCCTGTTTAGTTTACATTTCTCTGAATGCATGCACTCCATCCTTTCATGGTATCGATCCACAGGTTTCCTTGTCATTACAGTCAAAGTCAGTGTAGCTTTATAAAGGCTATACTTTTAACACAGAAACAAGTCACAGCAGGTTATTCTCAGTATGACACGTTGACATCATACATGAAAATACAAAAATATTCAAACAAAGGCCACACCGGGTCGATGCTTCCATAATCCTGGACTTGTATTGCCTTGATTTTAATACCTGTGCCTCATATTCAGCATTTAGTCTCAACTATGGCAAAGTGCAAAAGCTTTTTACACACATATCAAGTAAAGTTCAGTCAAATATAAATTTAATAATGAAATATGCTGTAACATATTTTTACTGTACATTAAACTTTCATCTCTTATTTGTATTTTTACATTTGTAATGTTTCAAACTCATTAAGTGAATGTTTCATATATGTAGAATTGCCTTGTGTAAAGTATCAGCCTGGTTTAGTGCTCATCTTTATCAGTCGTAACATAAAGAAACATGTGAGTTATGTTAAGTAAACTTTCAATAGGAACAATTTTTCATACAGTATATCAAATTCTCCATTAAAAAGATACTTTTTTTTTTACTCCTGTCTATTTTCCTCTGTGGCATCTTATTTTTTTTCATCAAAGCTATCCTTAGTGGGGAAAGTGGGAAAAAATGGTCTGTTGACTTAAAGATGCTAAGAAAATGTCATTTATAAACTGTACAGCAAACTTTCACTACATACAAAGAATGAGCTTTGTATATACATTCATTCTTTGTATGTAGTGAAAGTTTATACAACCCCTTTGCACACACACAGTGCTGTTCTGCCCTGTCAGCACTCATGAAACATTTTGCCACCGTCTCCCCTATCACATCTCTGAAACAGAGGCAGGGGAACTTTGCTGCATCATTACACCTCTGTGTGTACACGCTGCAAATGAGACATAACTGTGGTGTAAACATCTTCCCTTAAAATGACAGTATGTAACAGACTCATGTTTCTCAAAAAAGTACAATTTAAGCTAACAGCAAAGAAAACAGGAACAGAAATTTACAAAAACAAAACACAACACAGTGACAGAGTTGTAAAGAGTCATCGAAGGGATGCAACATATAAGGGACAGACACATTTATGAAAAAAACATCTACAAAGAGACAAAAAATATGTACAGAGACTGAAAACTATCTACAAGAGACAAAAGCACTTATAAAAGGAACAAAAACAATCAAAAGTAACCATCCACAGAGACACAACATTTACAGGACAATATATATATATATATATATATATATATATATATATATATGTGTGTGTGTGTGTGTGTGTGTGTGTGTGTGTGTGTGTGTGTGTGTGTGTGTGTGTATGTTTTTGTCCTGTAACATATGGGTGTGTCATTGAAATATATATATATATATATATATATATATATATATATATATATATATATATGTTATATATAACATATACAAATAATGACCATTATCTCATATCAAAGAAATCAACAACAACAAGTGGACCAGCAGAGGTGCTCCACAGCCAGAAAAACAGATTTACTCAGTACACTGGAGTGTCAGGTTGTCCTTACATGTGTGAGCCTGAAGCCACTGAGTGCAAATTCATCACGTGTGGATCTCTGGTGATGAAGCGTGTGTTGGATGAACCACATCACACTCAGTTATTAATGTGTATTTTTCCAAACGTGTTCATGGTGAATGATGATTTACACCATCTACTGACTCTCTCCTGTATGTTGACTTGGTAGCAGCCTGACTCCTTCTATGTTTGCTGCTGAGAGCTCTCTGGGGGCAGGGACGAGGTCTCCTGGTCTCCAAAAATAGCACAGGAGGGGAACACGAGAGTGCGGTTTGCCTGGTGCTGGAAAAACACTTTGTGGTCGTGCTAAGCTGCAGGCATTGCAACATCAACTGTCCTGTTGCTGCCTCTAGGAGGTGATCACTGATGTCTTCTCAGTAGCCATTTACAATGAGCACGGTGACTTGAAGAGAGGAACAGAAACACCTGTTGATTTTCTTTGAAAAGTCTACAAAGTAAGTTCATTTTTGTGCTTTTTCACATCTGTCTTTTAAGCCATGAATGCTAAACCTTCAGGATGTTCTGTTCATGTCTGGATGCAAACTGATGGGATTGAATGGGACTGCTGTGTCATGCTGATCTTTTCTGCTGAGTGGAGTCAGACATGACAAGAAAAGCTTCTTCAGGACAATCATATCATGTGTTCACTAAATAGTAGTATATTTTAGGTGTTTTACTCAATGCACAACCCTTTAATTTTTGTTCTAGCCTCTCCACACCATTTCTGGAACAATGGGGGATCTCAGGCAGAAGATAGGGGTCATGTCTCAGACGATATGTGCAAGCTCCCAAGTTCCATCTGTTGAGGACTTGAAGGCCACAAATAATGGAAAAGACGAAAAGATGCAGTTGAAGAGGGAAATCTCCCTCATCAACGGTATCTGCCTCATTGTTGGGAACATGATCGGCTCTGGGATCTTTGTCTCACCTAAGGGTGTGCTCATGTACTGTGGCTCGTACGGGCTGTCCTTGCTGATTTGGGCAATTGCAGGAACTTTCTCAGTGTTTGGGGCTTTGTGCTATGCAGAGCTCGGCACCACCATCACCAAGTCTGGAGCCAGCTACGCCTACATATTGGAGTCGTTTGGAGGTCTCCTGGCTTTCATCCGTCTGTGGACGTCCATTCTGCTGATTGAGCCGGCCAGCCAGGCAATCATTTCATTGACTTTTGCTAACTACCTGGTGGAGGCTTTCTACCCCACCTGCCAGCCCCCATATGACTCTGTACGACTTATAGCTGCAGCCTGTCTCTGTGAGTAACACCATCTTTGTATGAATGAGTGTCACAGATGGATCTGTCTCATCTCACAGGGTCAAACACCACGTAAACAGTTTCTGCAGTTTTTATCTGTAAACTGGGTTTTGATATTATAACATGTTTACAGCAATACAAGAAGTTCTTAGTTTACAGCCACTTTTACTCTAATGCCTCTTTGGTCTCAGGCCAAGCCCCTATGCCATCCTGACCGCTCTTGTCTCACCTCAACAAGCCTTTAATAAGCCTGAGTCAAAACATATGAACAATCAGTGAGTAAGATTAAGGCTGCTGTAAATTAACCTCATTCGTTATCATATGTAATCACATTAATGGTAGAATTAATGTGTTTGTTTTTTTTTTTGGTTTTTTTTCAAGAAAGAGCTCATTATTTCTACAGACGGATCTTATTTTATCAAGGCAAACACAATCTGCTGCCATGTTTCTAAAATAGCCCAAATCAGAAATCATATACTATTGTTTTTCTTTTTATTTCTTGTTTTTTGGACAAAGTTTTGAAAAGCAATCTTCAACCTTGGAGCTAAGTATTTATGTGTCATTTACAAATTCAATACCTGCCTAACCATAACCCTAACCCTGGCCGCATCAAGATTGAAATTTTGAGGAAAAAGTTGTGAATTTTCCGGTATAAATGGTTGTAAATTTATGGGACATAAAGCCGTAATCTTGTTAGCGCGACATGTCACAATGCAGACATAGTCATAGATATGATCATAAATATCTATACGTATATATATATATATATATATATATATATATATATATATATATATATATATATGTAAACAACAGTTTCAAAAGCATGCTCAGGATGTTTATTAGCCTGCCCCTCTTTATATCATACTGCGTTTCTTGTATAATCAGTTTTAAATCCTTCTGACAACGTGGTGCTGATACGCTGAAAGACAAAGTATTCAGTTATTTGCCACATCTTCTTTACACTTTAGTTTAACTTGACAATGACTTTAACTTAACAATATCGCCTAAGTTTCTGAGTTTTGTCTCCAAAATTTAGGACACTGTTCCTGTAAAGTTAGGATTAAAGGTGGCGTGAGTGTTACAACCTTGTTTTCTATAGCTCTTTTTAATGTCCTGTTATTAAGTATAAAGATATTGTGATTGCAAGTAGTCAAGCTTGATATTTGTCCACGCAAACAAACAAACAAACAAAAAAAGAGGCATGCAAGTTCTACAGTTTAGATTTATATAAACAACAACCTCACTCTCCTAGAATTCAAACCTGAGTTTAGCCTTATCAGGCTAAAGTGCATGTCATTGGCCTCGACTCTCTGCTGCATGTCTTTCTTGGCTCTTTAGTCTCTATATTTCCTCTCCCCTTTCAGCTGTCTTATTTAGTGGAGGCACAAAGAGAAAAGAAAACATGAAACTTATTTATGCATTAATTTGTCAGTGTTTATATTTTTCATTTAGGAGTTTAAACTCCTGTTGGTTCCACTTTTAAAGAATGAACCTCAAGTGGTGGATTAGTAACATAGCCCCAGCACATATTTAACTGTCCCTTAGTCCCAGTCCCTAACCCAGTTACCCTGTATGTATGTATGTATGTACATATGTAGGACTGGCATCAGCTATAGTTAGACCACCAGTCCTCTTAAAATACCAGTATATGTTTAGACCATTGCTTTGTGGTGGTGGTGTGGTGTTAGCAGACATGGTATTCAGGTTAGAGATCATAGATGCAGGGAGTCAGACACTGCTGATTTTCCATGTCTGAGTTCTCAGATGAATATGGCCTCTTTTAAGATAGAGAGGAGATGGTTATAGAGCTTAAAACCAGGGCTGAGAAATAGCAGCTTCAATGACACATCCAAAACATTAGAGCTGACCTGTGGATATCTCTCTTGCTCTGCAGAAAATACTTCATTATCATATCCCCCTGTTTTGTTCCAGGTATGCTCATCTTCATCAACTGTGCCTATGTGAAATGGGGTACTCTGGTCACAGACATTTTCACTTACGCCAAACTCATGTCACTTGTCCTCATCATCATCGTAGGAATACTGAAAGCATCCACTGGTAAGACTAGGTTAGAGGTATAAATACAACAGAGGTAACGCAAACAAACACTTTCACACAATATGTGTCTTAACCTTTGACTTCTCTTTGTTTAGGTGAATCCAAGAGCTTTGAGAGTCCGTTTGAAGGCTCCTCCAAAGACCCTGGAGACATTGCTCTCGCTCTTTACTCAGCTCTGTTCTCCTACTCAGGCTGGGATACTCTTAATTTTGTGACTGAGGAGATTCAGAACCCAGAAAGGTAGCACACCGTCATCACAAAACATTCATTTTGAGCCAATTTCATCCCATGGGATGAATACTTCACAATTTGATAAAAATAACATTGATGCTGATCCATCAATGCTGTAAATACGAAATGGTTTTTATTATTGTTGTTGTTGCAGGAATCTTCCTCTGGCCATTGCCATCTCCATGCCCATCGTGACCATCATCTACCTGCTGACTAATGTAGCGTACTATGTTGTTCTGGACGTGCCCTCTCTTCTGGCCAGTGATGCAGTCGCTGTGGTGAGAGACACTCAGTCACCTTAGAGACAAAATTCACCAGGCTACAGTGCTGTCCTGCTCAGGGACAGTCCACCTTAAATGTTTTGCTCTCCATCATCAGGAAGTATACAGTAGTTTTGATTTCTTTCAGCGGTCTACTGAAAACAAATGAGATTGAAAGAGTGTAGTTTTCAATAATCCATATTAATCTGCCTCCACAGACGTTTGGAAATGCAGTCCTGGGGCCCTTTAAATGGATCATCCCTGTTTCAGTGGCCATGTCCTGCTATGGAGGACTCAATGCTTCCATCATTGCTGCATCGAGGTAATCAGAAAATACAACACCAGTACCTTCTTTGCACCAGTATAAGGGGTGTGTTGGTCATAAATTTCCGTCACTGTCAACTCTGCAGGTTGTTTTTCGTTGGGGCCAGAGAGGGTCACCTCCCAGACAGTCTGAGTCTGATTCACCTGAAGAGATACACACCCATACCTGCTCTGCTGTTCAATGTGAGGACTGTTTATCTCACTCCAACACACTGAAATTTCCCTCAATCTTCAGTTTAACAAAAAAAAAGCTTTGTTTAAAAGATGAAAACCTTTACTTTGTGCTGTTTTCCTGCAGGGGTTGATGGGTCTGATCTTCCTGTGTGTGGAGGATGTCTTTCAGCTGATCAATTATTTCAGCTTCAGTTACTGGCTCTATGTGGGTCTGTCTGTGGCCGGCCTCATCTACATGCGCCTCACTCAGCCAGACAGACACAGGCCTGTGAAGGTGCTGTTTGTTTTATCATTCAAACTCACACTGAATATGACAGAACACACGGTTAACCATATACTGTATCTAAACACATTGCTGTGTACTCTAGCAATTAAAGCTACAGTGAGGAGTTTTTTGATGTTTATGAAACAGACTGGAATTTATATTGATGCTTTTTTATGGTATCCAAAAACAAACAAGACTGTCAGCGACAAAATTTAAAACGTTGATATCCTGGATTTTTAATGCCTGACATTGGTGTAAAGGGCTAGATGTCAGGCAAGCCACTAAAAAAAATGCTGTTTTTACAAGAGGACAAGTTAAGCAGAGACTGCTTTGTCTATGGGGGGGCGTCAAAATTGACACAAACCAAAAGTTCCTCACTGGAGCTTTAAAGCTATACTTGTTGAATGATGAGCAAGTGAAATGCAGCGTGGTCTGCAGGGTGGAGCTGTAGGTCAAAACGCAACATTCATGAAAACAAACACATTTCAGATTTTTTTTTTTAAATAGTAGATAAACCCTTATTGAGTCTTGTGAAATGTTCTGTTTTGTAAATTCTGCTTATGATTTATGAAATGTTGTTTTTCATCTTTATTTTTTGATATTAAAGTCATCTCTACAAAAAAAAAATTCAAATTTGTTTGAAATTTAAAGATCAATTTGGCTGAGTGGCAACCCCCCCCCCCCCCCCCCCCATTAAATAAATAAATAAATAAAAATTTAATTTTAAGATATTTTGTCAAACTAATCTGATTTTTTTATGTCTCTCTCTCTCTCTACAGCTGACATTGTTCTTTCCCTTCATCTACTGTCTGTGCAGCCTGTTCTTAGTCATCGTCCCTCTGTACGGAGACACCATCAACTCTCTTATAGGAATTGGCATTGCACTTTCTGGAGTGCCGGTCTATTACGTTGCCATCTACCTGCCAGAGGAGAGGAGGCCTAGGTTCATTCGCAAATTCAACAGTAAGTTTCCAGCTTGAATCCACTAAAGTCAGGAGTAGCCATACTCTCAATTAGGCTTTGTTTCAATTTATTAAAACACTTAAACTTAAACTTTTTCTACCATTTCCCAAAGCGCACCAACATGGAGTGGTTCTTTAAAGGGATATTCTGCCGTGAAAATAAGTTAGGGTCAAACACGGCGTAACACCGAGTTAGACACCCCGTCGAGAGATGAATGTTGCCAACTGCATGCTTCTCTAGTTATACCAACTTTATTAACAACCCCAGGATAGCAATACAGAGAGCCACACACTCAACCAAAATCGCCACTCTATAACCACAAATAATGCTCAGAACAGCACCTAACTTCATCAACAGTAGATATAAGGTCCTAGCCATAGCACTAGCCACCAAACATCTTTTTAACTTTGCCTAATTTCTTTGGCAAAGAGACTAAACACAACTCACCTACTCTCTTCCAGCAGCTGCTTGTGTACAGAGATCTCAGGCAAGTCCATTACCGCATCGGGGTGACGCAGCTCAAGGAAGAACATTTATGATTATTTTTTCATGGAAATGATATCAGATCGAGACACTAAGGCAGAAGAACTACAGCGTCTGCAGTGCAAAATGATTAATATGGTGATTATTACTTCAAGGAAATGATAAAGAAATTATCATAAATGTTCTTTCTTGAGCTGATTCACCCCGCTGCAGTCATTGATGGACTAGTCCAGGGTCTCCCTAAAAACAAACGGCTGCTGGAAGCGAGTAGGTGAGTTGTGTTTAGTCTCTTTGCTAAAGAAATTGGGCAAAGTTAAAAAGATGTTTGGTGGCTAGTACTGTGTCCAGGACCCTATATGTACTGTTGATGAAGTTAGGTGCTGTTCTGAGCATTATTTGTGGCTATAGAGTGGAGTTTTGGTTGAGGTTTGTTTATGGCTCCTCAGACCGCTGTGCATTGCTATCTTGTGGTCATGACTTAGTAAGTTGGTAAAACTAGAGAAGCAAGCGGTCGGCAACATTCATCTCTCCACGGGGTGTCTAACTCAGTGTTACAGTGTGCTTGACCCTAACTTACTTTTAAGCTGGAATTAAGAACATTCATGAATCAGTTTAGTGAGTTATGTACATGTAATCAATATACTTGTCAATAAAAAGTACACAAATAGGTTCACATGCACAGTAAGTTATTTAATGCTCTTTTAACTGTGATACAACTTTAGCAAGGGCAGATACAGTTAAGGCTCACATGCACTTCACTTGAAACATGTAATAGCAGCCAATGTCAATTTCATTGTACCACCGTGTTGTATAGTGATGTATTAAGCACGTTAAAATTAGATGATTGTAACACACACAATTGATCATCAAGGATTTTTCTTCTTATTCTCTACAGCCTCCTTCACCAGATTCGCCCAAAAGCTGCTCTTCTGCTGCCTGACTGAATTTGACACCGACATGGTGTCACAAGCAGGCAGTAAAAGTCAGTGAGCTGCAGACAAACACGGCGGCTCAGTAACCAGCTCCCTCCTGGAGGCCTCAGCATGTCCACGTTTTGACACTCGTGCTCCCTGAACACGGAGAAACAAACCTTTCATAGACAGAGCTGAGAGGGAACTAGTGTGGCCTCAGATCCCAGATGACTGCAGGAGAAGAGCAGAAATGACTCTAGAAAAACTGCTGCTGTATCCTGAAAATGTGACTGACATTTCTACAAAGATCATGGTATATCTTCTATGAGGATTTTCAAAACAATCTGTTCACTATACAGTCGAACATGTTTGACTTTTCAGACTTTTGTGATTACTTAGTGTCTGCGAAAGACATCTTAAAATGTCTATGTGGCTGGAGAACAATCGTGTTTTGGAGTCTCGTGAGCTTTATTCACTTTTTTCTGTCTTTTTACAGTTTGATTGGAAATTCATGTCCCACAAACATATGTCTTCAGCTTTCCAGCAGCTTCACTTATCTTTTTCTACCTTTAGTTTGTTTGATGTTTTTGTCATTGACAGTTACTTGAAGTGTATTCCAATTTTGCTGCTTTAAGTTGAAGACTTATTTTGACCACTTTAATGATGTTTTAACTCAACACACATACTGATACATGATTGCCAGACCAATTGTTCAAACTAACCTGACCTGAGGAGGGACATGAGCAAGAATTTTTAACTGAGTTAAAGTAAGGCGGGTTTATCTGAAACTGCAGGTTCAGTACTGATGCACACTCTCTGTCAAATTTCATTGTAGAAGAGTTTTTGTTGTTTTGACTCTGGCGCCCCCTGTTTGCAATACAGCACTTCTTATTTTTCCTAATCTTGTCTTTTACATGTTGAAGTAGTCTACTATTGTGTTGAAAATCTCCTTCTGCAGTCTTTTAATGGTCAAATGTATTACTATCTGTGGATCTTTTCTTTGGAGGATGTAAAAAAGTCTGTTTCTGCTTTGTATTGTGGGCCTGTCTCCTTTTCTGTGACAGCAGGCATTAAAACTCCTCCTGTAGAAAAAATCTCATGTTTGCTTTTTTAACTCATAAAGAGGCATATGTATTGGTATGCAGATAAAAACTCCTCACAGGAGCTTTAAATTATGCTCAACCAATATTTTTGGTTGACTTTATTACATGTTGTAGGAACTGTTCTCTCTCAGATTTATTGGGCAGTAGCTAAATAAACTCTTCATTAGAGATGAAAGTTTTCCCTCTCTTTGGTTTGTTGAGTTGTAACAAAGTCAGTCTGTAACTTTTATGATAATTTTTCACACTATAAACCCTTGACTTAGACACTGAGCTCTTATTTTTTTCTTTATAATGTGTGATGTGATAAAGATGTGTGCAGTTTTTAATTCATCTTGAAACTTCCTCATCTTTGTCATTGCAGAGTTTTTACAAACTGTGTTTTTGTATATGTTACGTCCCCTCCTTTCTCTTCTTCAAGTGCTGCTTCTCCTTCTCTTCACCTTAGAATAAGCTGACCGATCACACCTGAAGCTCAATGCTGATCGAAAAAAGCAGGAGCGGAAACACAGAGAGCAGCTCTGAGTGTTTTAAGGCTGAAGAATCAAATTTTAGCCGTGCTGTTTTCCGCAGAAGATACTGTTCTTGTGGGATTCAGAGCCAAGATGTTTCCTGCTTTTTTCTTTGCAAGAATAGCACATTCTTATTTTTTCGTCTTTTTTATTGTCTTATGACTCAAAGGGATCATCCGGCGTAAAATTAAGTTAGGGTCAAACACCCCGTAACACCAAGTTAGACACCCCGTTGACAGATAATTGTTGCTGACTGATTGCTTTTCTAGTTATACCAACTTAAACTAACTTGTATGGTCATTACTTTCTCATTTCCATGAAGTAATAATCATCATAATAATCATTTTGCACTGCAGACACGGTAGTTCTTCTGCCTGAGCGTCTAGGTCTGATTGCATTTCCATGAGGAAATAATCATAAATGTTCTTCTTTGAGCTGCGTCACCCCCCTGTAGTCCGTAATGGACTGGCTCGAGTTCTCGCTACAAACAAGCAGCTGCTGGAAGAGAGTGGGTGAGTTGTGTTTAGTCTCTTTGCTAAAGAAATTAGGCAAAGCTTAAAAGATGTTTGATGGCTAGTACTATGACTGGACCCTATATGTACTGTTGATGAAGTTAGGTGCTGTTCTGAGCATTATTTGTGGCTATAGAGTGGCTTTTTGGTTGAGCATGTGGCTCCTTAGACCACAATGCATTGTTATCTTCGGTCGTTACTAAAGTTGGTATGACTAGAGAAGCAAGCGGTCAGCAACATTCATCCCTCGACGGGGGTGTCTAACTTTGTGTTACGGTGTGTTTGATCCTAACTTAAGTTTACGCCGGAATATCCCTTTGAAAGCTCTTGAACATAAAAATAACTTCGCTTACCATAATGAAAGGAAGCATGTTTAAACATTGAAGTTAATTGAAGTTTATTTCAGATTTTAAGTTCGACAGTTCCACCAGTGTTCCATCTGTTTATACGAAGGAGGCGGGGCCTCTGACAGCAGCCAGTCAGTAGGAGGAGCTCTAAATGTCTAAGCTTTACAGTGAACGCTCATGGTGTCTTTTTAACATGCAGCCTGTGGGCCTGGTAACATCTAAGTTGCATCTTAAACTTTCTAAGCTTATCTATTTTTTCTTTACCTTTTTTTTATTTATGCTGAAAAATCTCACTAACAGTGTGGATTGGACTTAATGATTGTGTTCAGTGTTACTGAATCTAAACCATGCTAAACCAAACCAAGCACTTTTGAAGCTGCGTTACCAACCCTAACGGCACAAACAGAAAATAACAGAAGAGCAGTACACATGATGCTTAGATCCAGCTATGACATGGTGCAGTTGGCAGTATCAAACCCCGCACAGATCCACTTGTTGCTGAACTGTTTGTAACCCTCAGCAGTGTTGAGGCTACTACCTGGACAGAGGAAAACAGAGACACCCATCAGGACTAGAAGAACAATGAAACCATGTCTTCTGGTTTGGAGGCTGTTTAGTCAGGTGCAAATATGACTTGATCCAAAAAATTTCTAGCAAAAAATTTCACAGCTGTTTTTATGATATTAGATGTCCTTAATAATGTACTAAAAGTTAACCAAATTTTGACCACTTGAAAGGTGTCATTTTTAGGATGGCTTCCATGATGGTCAGGAAGCCCAGGGAGACACCCCAGGTGAAGAGGGTAGAATTTTTAACTAACAGATATCACCATGAAACTTCCCAAGTTTATAACATACATTAAGACAAATATTTTTGTATCAAAAGTTTTGTCAAATCGTATGCAAATTGGTGCATATTTAATTAGATATTGCTTCATTTATATATTCAAACATAAGATTTGACAAAACTTGTAATACAAAAAAATATTTGTCATTAAGTAACTTATATACTTGGGAAGTTTCATGGTGATATCTGTTAGTTAAAAATTTTACCCCATTGACCTAGGGCAGGGGTCGGCAACCTTAAACACTCAAAGAGCCACTTGGACCAGTTTCCCACAGAAAAGAAAACACAGGGAGCCGCAAAACCTCTTTGACATCTAAAATGAAGATAACATTGCATATATCTTTTTTTTTTAACCTTTGTACAAAGTATATAAAAAACTGTAGCGAGTTGCATTTATGAAATAAATGAACTATTTCGGCGAGTGTCTGTCTGCTTCTGTAGTTAAACCGCAAGATATCAAAATCTACCCGGATACAGCAATGCTGCTTTTTGATTGGCTGTTCAGTAGATATACTTTATTTGATTGGCTTGTGCGTGGCACGCAGCTTCTGAACTCTCGAAGGAACTCAGTTGATTTCCCCCAGTTCAATAGTTGAAGAAGTGCAACTTGGTGGACATCACTGTGTTCATTTAAATGCGTGAGAAATACAATGTGTGGTGTGTGAGCGTGTGAACGAGTGGGAATGCGTGTGTCATACGCTGAATGCGTGAGACTTGAGAGCCCTGTGCTCACGCATCATCGATGTACTCCCGAGCCATGCAAAACGGTCTTTGCAAATGTTGCACTGAACGCCTTCCTTTTCAGTCTTGGTGAAGTTTTCCCACACCACTGATGTTTTAGGTCGGGATTTGGGTTGGGTTGTGTCCATGTTTTTCTCAGCCGCTGCCTCGGCCATGGCTGTTTCTTTTCTGTGCGTCCAGCTGATGTTTACACACCGGTGTCCATGGACATACATAAAGACCCGACGAATCGATTACAGAATTTGTTGGCAACGGATTTTTTCGTCACGACGAATCTACTTAATCGATTCGTTGTTGCAGCCTTAATAGTTTATTTAATGTTACAAGAGCATTATAATCTTTGAATATAGAATTACAAAAAAATAATAATAATAAAATAAAATAAAATCCAATTAAGTATTTATTATTTATTTTCCAAATCCATTGGGAGCCGCAGCCTAGGGATGAAAGAGCCGCATGCGGCTCCAGAGCCGCGGGTTGCCGACCCCTGACCTAGGGTGTCTTCCCGGGCTTCCGCCTATTATGGACGCCATGTTGAAAATGACACCTTTCTAGAGGTCAAACTTGAGTAAACTTTAGTACATTATTAAGGACACCTAATACTATAAAAAACAGTTGAGCAACCTTTTGTTAGTATTTTTTTAGGGTTAGGTGTTGTTGTTTTTTTTTCATATATGCACCCGCCTAGTTGTCTGAGATAACATACACTCACCGTCAATCAGGTTCTGCAGGCTGCAGTAGTTTGTGTTGTTATCAGATGGATCTTCAGAGTATTGAGACACTGCATCGCCCTGTTCGTCAAAACATCAACACATACACACACGCACACAGACAAATGAAGCTTTTTGATCTGCAAAAAGGGAAGCTGTGTTTAAGAACGTCAACAACTGAACCTGATAAACCTTTTCAACTCTGAGTTTTCTCTTTTCTGAGATCAGAAAAACAGCATAGATCGACACCATACATCATGTCTACTTGTTTTGATCATATTCAGACTAAATTAAAAATCCAGGGAGACATTATTGATTGTAATATCTTGCATTTAAGCAGCAAAAAAAAGAACTTACAGTCACTTTGCAGATGGTGGTCTGCTCAAAGAGAAACTGCAGCTCGCTCACTTTTTTGGAGGTTGGGGACGTGTATGTGGCTCTGATCATATACGGCGCCGACAACACGAGCTGCAGCACAATTCATACTTAGGTCAGTCAGATACCCACTGTGCAGCTATCACAGGTCTAAAAATGAAAGTTTTTCAGATGTCTAAATTTAGACCAAGTTTATCTATACTTCTCAGTATTTATATATCTACACTACACTGTATATCGCTCAACGGCTATCATAATTGTTTTGGTTAAGTACTTGGAGATCAGTTATGCAACTCACAGTTGCTTTTTGAAATAAATAGTTATCGAATAATGGGTTAAAGTGCAACATCAAAATTGTGTCTAAAAATATACAGAAGCTAGTCGGTTGAAATTAAGTCTATTGCTCAGTGGGTAGAAACATCATACACACCCATGGTCTGTGTTTTGATATGGCAAATAGTGATATTATCTCTACTGTGTATCAGCTAGCCTTCTAGTCATTGCAGCAGTCTGTTATCCAGACTTGTGCTTGGAAACAAAGGAAGTATTATAACAAACAGAGTCTCTTCATGTTTATCCTCGTTCATTATTTTAGAGAGTTTTCTAGAAAGCAGTTGAGTGAAATGTGTCTGACCTCATACGCGCACTTCTCTCCTTGGTACAGACAGCTCTGTTTGATCTGCCAGGTTTTGATCTGGTTCACCAGTTTCCCCTGAACAACTGGACAAGAGATGCCAAACAACCTGCCCCCCCAAAAAAACATGTTATTAATAAATGATGAACTTTACAAACTCTATGTATTTTTTTTTTCCTTATAACCAAGACGTTGTATTTGTCCTCAGGTATGGCTAATGTGAGTCATATGAGCCATGTAGTCTCCACATATCCAGGGTAACATGCATGAGAAATGAGTCCGCAGAGTTTTCACTTTACAAGAACCTTGTCTAACATGTGTTTGACCCTTTTGACACTGTGACAGACAGGGATTTCATGCAACCCAAAACCACACAGAAAGAGTGATCTGTCTACAAGCTGGTCACATGGTAAAGTATGCGCTCTGGAAATGTAATTTAAGTATTATATCAGCACAGAAAAACTGAAAATGTATCAAAAGGCCCCTTAAAACAAAACTTATACATGGATTAGCCCTATAATCTCTTCAAGAACACAGACTACAGAAATACTCAGAGACAAAATAACATTACCATTTGATTTTGCATGTTGAGCTTTGGTCCGCCAGGGAGATGGTGATCATGGCCCCCAGAAGAGCAGCCGACGCTATAAGCAGGAGTCTCAGGTCCATGCTAAAAGGTGAGACTGGTTCGGGTCTGCTTGTGTCCAGTGTACGGTCGGTGCGAGGATACCTCGAGAGTGTTGGCTGGATTCGTCCTCCGGGCTTAAAAGAGCAGCATGTCATGTGGCCATAAAGACGGATCATAATTGATTATCATGGGCCACAGCTGGAGAGAGTGGACTGAAATATGCTAAGTTAAAAATAATATGAAGATTTTTTTCATTCATTTTGGTAACATTTATGAATAATTATCATCATTGAGAGCAACTTTTCTTTATCCACAATCAACTCATTTATTCTGAGTATCCACAGAATACAAAGTTTTATTGTGACTTCATTTGATGCACTGTAAAAAAAAAAGAATAAAACTGAATTGTGCTGTACTTTAGAGGTAGCTTGTTGCTTTTAGTGATCTTAGACTGACAACGGCAGAATTTGGGATGATATGGGACAACAGAGTACACAAAACTGCCTTTATATTACCCTTTTAAATTAATAATGAAAGGGAAAATGCTGCTATTGACACACCAAGCAGACAAACAAGAGAATTTGCATTGATATAATTTAGGTGAAATCCACCTGATGGTTGTCAGTTACTTTTTCTGTTTTGGTCTTCTCTTCTCTTTGACAGCTGGCTCTTTGATACCTCAGTGTATGTCAGCTAGACGCTAATTTCGCTTTGTACTTGGAGCTTTGCAGTGGGTTAAAGTAGTCTGCTTGTTGTTCTACTGGAGACTTTGCACTAACCCGACAGGAGCCTCCATGGGGGTGGCATATACTGTATAAGGAAAATGTGAAGATATTCAGGCTGCAGAGGCTGAACTGCAAGGATAAAAAGTTAGGGACTGCCCAGGAGAAAAAATAAGATGCAGAGGGTTAGTAGCATGTTCAAATATGAAATCGCTCAAAAAATTGAGAGTGTATGGACAGAGACAGCAAAAACAGTTAAGGGTATGTCAAACAAAGAAGCAAAAACAAGTTGGAGATCTGGATGAGGGGAAATAAAGTTAGTTTGTGGTTAAAGCAAAAGAAGAAGACTGTACTGGCTGTCAGTGCTCATTTGACCTCTTTCCTGCCTTGTGGTTGGCCATGTGTGATCAGAGTTAACAGAACAGTGAAGTAACCACTGTAACACCAAGCCAAAAGTAATCAAATAACATCCCAAAGCTGAAAGGCAGGGGTGACAGTTACAGTTCAGGTCAGTAACACATTTTTTTTTACATTATCAAATTAGTTATTACCTTTATATTAGAAACCAGAGTGTTGGGGCCTTTAAATTGTATTATTTTGTCCCTCAATCATAAATGAAGTCAACCCTGTCAAAGAGGTCAGATGTCAAGTCCCACCAGCTCCTTCAAAGATGTTGTTAAAATCTGTCTGTAGCTCTAGTTTGGTCGCTGTTTGTTAATACCACTCTCTTGTGTGAATTTGCAGTGCTGGATGAGAAGTTGTGTAAGGCGTGACTGGAAAAGTTGAAGTAGAACCAGGAATAGAGGCTGTCTTCAGATGGGAATGTGTGTATAAAAATGTGAATGCATATCAATTTTCACACCCTGCATGTGTAGCGTGGGAAATCTGGAAGCTCTTGTTTATTTGCTTCAGAAAGCTGCAGATGTAGGCGAGCGCTCTGAAACTGCTTCTGCTTCAGTATTTCAAGAATATGGCTTGAGTTCATGTTACAGAAAAGGTGCTAAACAGTATCGTACTTAATATCAGTAGCTTTTCCAGGTCGTAGATCTTTCTACGTTATCATGAGGAAGCGACTCCATAACTTTGAATGAGCTCTTTTAGTTTCTAAATTCAAGTGAATCAACAACTCCTGTCAGAAACCACTAAAATAAAAACCTAATTTCTATGAAAGCACAATGACTTACTAGTTTATTCGTCAAGCTGCACTGCAGTAGTTGGGTTGCTCCTATGGCTCATCCCATGATTTATACAGTTCAAGTTACAAGCTGAGAGTCAGGTGAACTGAGGATTTTGCCCAGGGAGAGGAGGATGGTTGAAAAGATGTGTCATGGAAAATGTCAGACTAGGATGTTTCTGGATGTTCTAGACACTACTACTATGATATCTTTGACAACCTATATCTTGTGATCCCTCTAACTTAATGGATACAGTTTCAGGTGGAAAATCATTTATGGCATCAAAGCAGAGTGGTGTAATAGGAATGGAAATTACAGCTATAGAAGGAGCAGAAAGAGGACAGTTCACACATAAAAATCTTCTTCTGCCACAGTTGAGCTCAGACACAAGACAACTCATTAACTATAAAATATGTTAATCTGAACCTCCTCCCCCATTAAACACGGCATACAGGGCTAATGAGAAGTAATTAATGATTTTCATGTGATCATTTGTTCTTAACAATCATCTTATGTTTTTATTTTAATTTCCATGAGATTGATTCAGTTTTTATTACTTGTGGTCTCATGTGCACATGTCTTGGAGCTGACTGCAGCATTGATTTCTGTGGCACGCATCGAGAGCACGAGCGTGTGCTCTGCAGGACTCTTTGCATCAACATTGGGCAGGATAGGTGTCAAGACCTGTCACGGGTGTGTTTTTTTGCAAAAAAGGAGAGGTGCTTGACAGTCCCTATGGTCCTCTTAATGAGTCCCTTTGATTTAGGATATCCTGGGTTGTATTCCCAGGATCTGACAGACATCTTTATCCCATGACTGGCAAATGGGACGAGATCACACACAACTTCTTTGGGAATTCCATGCCCTACGAAGGCAGTCTTCATTTTCTGAATTATTGTGTGGGCTGTTTTGTCAAGCAGGCCCAGAACTCCTGGATACTTAATATGTAATCCACTATCAGAAAATGTGACTGACGTTTCAGCTCGAAGATATAAACTCTACAATCTAAAATTATCCCCATACACTTCCCTCTTTGTTACCTGATAAATAAGTTTACCTTTAATTCAGACAGTCATTCATTCTGTTGCTGGTAACTTTTTAATGAAGAAGAACATCGACTAAGTTTTTCAACTGTTTAGTGTCAAACAAGAGTTTTTATTTTAGTACCAGGGTATGAATCTGGCAAATAATTTATATATTAACCAAAAAGGACAGGACCCAAGACAGCCCCTTGTAGGTTACCTGTTTCAGTTATGTAAAAAAGCAGACCCTATCTTATTGATCTCAACACACTGTTCCCAACCTTTTAAAGTTGGAACGCCGATCACAGAGCCTGTTTAGATTGATTGATTTTCAGTGGTGAAGACCTTTTTCAAATCTAGAAACACTGTGCCCACTACACTTATTTTCTTCAGAGATAATCAATAATCAATGGATGGATGTCCAGCTCTGTAAATTGTTTACATTTACAGTTTTGATCAACAGTTAAAAAGTACTAGAATTACATAATACAATTATATAAAAAGAAAAACAAAGACAAATTAACCTCTGGTGAAGGACTCCAAGCAGAGTTTTAGCCCCATTTGTGTTCTTAAAGCTTTGGTGTCTCCCCAATGTTTTGAATTTGGACTGCAGTTTATATTGTTATAGGTTTATAGGTGTGTGGGCTCCCATTCCTTATTCCACCCAGCAGTGTCAGTGCGGAGGATGTGGCGTCCCAGTTGGAAAGGTCTAGACAGGTTTCTGCTTGTTAGCAAGTATCTTGCCTCCAAGTACCTGTTATTTTAGCTCAGCGTGACTGAGAGAAAGATCTTCAGCGAGCTCTTTGAAGTATACCCAATATAACATATAAAAATATAGAATAACAAAGAGTAATTGTTTGATTTTTTGCTGCTCAAAGATTAAACTGGATTTAACTCTCACTTCTGTGTGTTTCTGTGTCAAAGACCAAAATAAAGGACAACCAATGAACTGAGTTTTAGTTTGTTATGGTGTATTCATTTGTACTTCAATTAACATAAATCTTTTTGACTTCTTAGTTCTCATTGTGTCATCAATTACTCTGATCAGGTGGCAAACAGGTATACTTTGATGAAGTGGAGTTAGAGAAGGGTTGTTTTCCTGGGGGAGCCTGTGCTGCCCTCTCCCAGTAAAGCAGGAAAGTGCATTGAAAACGATGTCTATATTTCTACAACCTCACTTCCTATAGAATTTCCAAAGCATTAGTTACTTTTTATTCTGTACTGTGAACTAAGTTAGTGAAGACAACCACACAGCAGGTCCTCCTCTGTGCCCAGCTGGCAGAGTCTCTTTCATCAGTAGAGCAGTTCCATAACTGAGCATGATCTCTGTTTTTGTTGGATGTTGTTTTTCTTCATGCCATGAATGTTTCAGATTCATTAGGACACCAACTTCTATAACTGCATATGTTCAGTACAGTCAATTCTTTACTATATGTTTTATTTCATTTGCTCAGCTTGACCTTTTTTAACTAAAATTATATAGAAGTGATGCACAAAATTTTAGACTTTTGGTTCCTATTTAATTTTTTTTTCTTCCTCTGATGGCTTTTTTAATCTCTTCTGTCATCAGAAACTGACATGAATGAAAACAAGTCTATGTATTTCTGATCCTTTCAAAGTTCATTGGCTAACAAATGATGAAAGAACCACAACCACAGGGGAAATCCAAGTCCAGGCAAACATTTCCTTTATGCATATATTAAAAACTTCATAACAATTGCCTGATTACAAGACTGTAATAAAAGTGAGAAGGTACAGACCAAAGTGGTCAAAATCTGGTCAGAGGGATCAACTTCCTGTCTACAGGGATGTTTTGACTGCACTGATTGGGAGATGTTTAAAAGCTCCTGCAAAGACATTGATGAACTAACTGAAGTGATATGCTCTTATGTTACATTCTGTGAGAATATGATCATTCCTTCCAAGACTATCAAGGTGTACCCCAATAATAAGCCCTGGATGTCTAAGGAGGTAAGGGCTCATCTACAGCAGAAAAATCTCTCCTTCAAACATGGAGGACTGGCTGAACAACATGCAGCTAAAAGAGAGCTGAGAACTGAAATCTTACGGGCAAAACAAAAATATAAATCCAGAACAGAGAGTAAACTAGCAGGGAATAACCTCTCTGCTGCCTGGTCTGGTATGAAGACAATGGCAGGAATAAAACAAGTTAAGAGCAATCACATCACCATCGATGGTTTCGGGTCAAACTGTGAGTTAGCCAGTGCTCTTAACACATTTTATTTGCGTTTTGACCAGTTTGATTTCAGCCAGGAAGTCCAGAGTCTGAGAGCTGATCTTGAAAATGATCAACACTTTAACTTAGAACAAAGCGAATTGAAAAAGTGCTTCCTCTCTCTTAAAACAAATAAAAGCCCAGGGCCTGATAAAATAAGTGGTAGTTTACTCAAGTCATGTGCAACACAACTGACTCCCATCTTTCATTATATTTTTAATGTATCATTGAGGCAGCAGAAGGTGCCCAAGTTGTGGAAACAAGCGGAGATCATCCCTGTCCCCAAAGTCAAAAAACCTAAAACCCTTAATGATCTTAGACCAGTCGCCCTCACCTCTCTTTTAATGAAAGCCTTCGAAAAACTTGTTAAGAAAGAACTTTTAGAGAAAACTGCACATGCACTTGACCCTATGCAGTTTGCTTACAGGGCTCATAGAGGTGTGGAGGATGCCATTCTTACCCTGCCAAATCTTTTATTTAAGCATCTAGAGGGGAACAAAAATCATGCTAGACTGACTTTTATTGATTTTTCTTCTGCTTTTAACACTATCCAACCTCACATTTTAGCCACAAGACTGATCGCGCACTTTCAACTGGACCAGAATTTGGTGGGTTGGATTTTAGATTTTTTAATAGATAGAACACAAAGAGTCAAAGTGAATGGCTTTGTATCTGAGTCACTAAGTTCTTCCACTGGCTCTCCTCAGGGATGCGTTCTTTCCCCTTTGCTTTTTATCCTTTACACAAATATGTGCAGAAGTGTGTATGAAAACAGACACATTTTAAAATTTGCAGATGACACTGTTATTGTGAGTCTGTTGCACGATGTAGAAACAAGCCATGGTCCAGTCCTGCAGGATTTTAGCAGTTGGTGCGATCAGTCCTTTTTGGTGATTAACACATCCAAGACAAAGGACATGGTTATTGATTTTAGAACCCAGACACCAAACCACAATCCCACAGTTATCAAGGCGCAACCTGTGGAATGTGTGGGAAGTTACAAATACCTGGGGACTATTATTGACTCAAAACTGTCTTTTAAACTAAACAGCGAAGCTGTGTGTAAGAAGGGACATCAGCGTTTGTTTTACCTACGGCGACTGGCCCGTTTTAATGTTGATAAGACCATGCTTGTTCTCTTTTACCGAGCTTTTATAGAGTCTGTTTTATCTTTTGCACTGGTATCCTGGTTTGCCATCTTGTCACTCCAGGACAAAAACGCTCTGGGCCAGGTCGTTAAATGGGCTGGAAGGCTAATTGGGGAGCCTCAACTCTCCATGACAGCTCTCTATGAGGCCCAGCTGCAGCGTAAAGCCAGCGCTATTGTCTTGGACAACTCGCACCCTCTGCATAGCGAGTTCCAGCTCCTTCCCTCCGGCTGTCGCTTCTTGGTCCCCAAGGCCAGGACCAAGCGTTACAGAACCACCTTTCTCCCAGCAGCTATTGCAATGCTTAATGGCAGGGCTAATAGATGAGGGAGTCGTATTGAACCTTCGGATCTGGAGAGATTTTATGTGATTTTATGGCTCTTAACGATTGGCATTTTTTCTTTTCCTGTACTTGACTGATGTATTGTTGTTTTTATGTGTGTCTTATCGGGACGGCTGGGTTCCTGCCTGCAAACAAAATTTACCGCAAGGTATAAATAAAGAAACCTTTGACCTTTGACCTTTGACCTTTGATTATCCTTTGCACTGCGCAGCATCTTTACTCATTCCTCTTCTCTCAGTTCCATGTCACTTGGCTTAAGATTAAAGTTGCAGAAGTCAAACCTGAAGATGTTATTATAATCAATCAATCTCCGTTATCTCCTTTCTGGTAACACTTTTAGTTCTCATGATTACAGGGAAGATATTGTTGGAAACTTCTTCATTTGAGATATGATAAAAAAAAATACAAGAATACACATGTATTTACTTTTAATTAAGAAAAATTAACTGAAAACTCATCAATTAAGATCCTCAGTACGCACATCCTGATCCTGAAAATCTCATTTGTAAGTCTCAGTACAGTCCACCTCTAGCAAAACAAGTGATCACAAAAATACTGAAAGTTGCAGTTTCACACTCGGGTGATTTTCTTCAACTCCACCTTATGGTCCAGACCTGGAAAGTTCTCCTGGATCACCCCTATGATCTGGAAGACATGACAAGCTTTAAACGGATAAGAAGCAGGTTCATGTGACTGTACTGTCAACAGCAGCAGAGCTCAACACATTTAATCATTCAACATTGTATTTGTTTATTTAGATTGTTTTCACTGAAGTAAGATGCATAATTTGATAGTAAGATACATGAAGACATGAATACTTGTAAGATTAGTGAGTGACCTGGTTCAGGGCTGAAGCAACTGTTGTTTCATTTAGGTCCTCCAAAGTGGATCGAACAGCCACACGAAGGACCACTATGACGGCTTGACAAATAAAAAGAAACACTCAGTCATTTTGATCATGTTAGGATCAAAGTTTGATTTTATCCTAAAAGCTCTTACTGTTCTTACTGGTGCCTGTTGAGGGAGTCATTGGGAGGGATGGTGTTGGCTCTATTGACTCCACAAATGGAGACACGAGGGTTGTCTCTTTGCTAAAGTCGGGGTAATATGCTGTAGGAGGAGGGGGCACACAGACACATTTAAAATTCTTGAATTAAATCACACCGCACATTTTTTAAGAGGATTTTCATTATAGATTCTGGAGATTTCTGCCCGTCTACTCACTTGATTGTGTCCAGCATAAGCTCAAATATCCAGCAAGCAGGGTCAGCAGCAACATGTTGAAGTTTGAGTCCAAAAATATAAAAATGAAAAGACACCTGTGGTGAGTAAACGTCCCCTCTGCTGGTTCAGAGGCACTGGCTATGGTGGTGTCATACGAGGAAACGATAACTAAGTCAGAGGTGTGGCATTTAACAACAAAAGCTTATTTCCTCAACAACAACTGAGAGGGACAGACTAAAGCTGGAAATGCAGGTGAAAAAAACTCCCATAGTCAGTGAAACATGATAAGGCCTGATGCTTTTACTTGTTCTGTTATTTACAGGTGTGTGTGTAGCCCAGTGCTCTTAAACTTTAATCTGTATTAACTTTTACAACTTTAACAACAAAAAATAAAGGCTGTTAAATCTGTTTGGCTCCAGGATGAGCTTCTTTTGTTAAATTCCATTCATGAACCGTTTTTTCTTCTTTCCGAGACAAAACACACAACAGAATCACAAATAGCACAATATTCAATGTACAATGGCTGTTTGAAAGTGCAGTTTTTAATATTCACATATCACATCTGTAAATAAACAATGAAAATGAAACAGAGGAGAGTTGAATTGAAGGTTTTTCATCTTCCTGCTGCTGCTGCTAGTGGAGCTGGGGCATCTGAATGACAAGCGAGGAGCAGGAGTCTCTGTCAGAGCCAGACTTTGTTGTGGGAGAGTGCAGTGCAGACCTACAGAGAGAGACCATAAGGATACTGAGCAAGGGCCGCATACTGATTTTCTTTTTTTGTTTTTTTTTTCTGAGCACACAGGGTCCTGTCTATATAGATCGAGTCAAGATATCTGACCTGAGGGAAGCTGAGGTGCAAGTAGAGTTTGCCTTAGAGCCCCGGTGACTGCTGGGAGTAGAAGATGGAGAAGGAAGAGACAGATTGGCCTGAGAGAAACAACAGGGGAAAAAAAAGATAGAAAATAAGAAAGTTATGGAAACCTGTTTTCCATCACAAAAAAGAGGAAATACTGAGGTCAGGCTTTTATTACTCAATATTCATTTTATTGTGTGAAGATTGAAAAAAATTGCTTGTTTCAATGTTTCATACCTGCAGAAAGTATTTCTCCAGCACTGATCTGAGGTCAGCTTCATCCTCCATTGCTTCATTCAGTATTTTATTGATACTCTTGTTGAATTCGATCATCTCCCTCAGCTGGATGTCCTTCACCTCATAAGTCTCAGTCTTTGGGTTCTGGTCTGAGCGGACCTCTGTGGTCAGCTTGGAGCTCTTAGCAAACAGTCATGCAAAATTGAAACAATATCATACTAATTTTGGTTTAGCAGGTTGTAACATAAATCAATAGAAAAATCAGAATGAATATCAACTGAAAATCCAGTTATTGTACCAAAGAGGAAATATGTCAGTGTTTTAGTGTTCAAACCTGTTTTGTGGCTCTCTCAATTTTCTCCTGCTGGGATGTGATTTCTTTTTTCAGCTTCCCGATGAGCAACTCTTTGTGCTGTGTCTTATCCGTCTCCACCTGCTCTTCTTGCAGCAAACTCTCCAGGGTATTACTTATGACCTGGAAATTGAGAGCAGTGCACAAACACACAGACACAAATAAACCCACAAAAGTAAAGTTAGGAGGCACACGCATACACAAAGTCTCATGTGAGGTCAACTTCACTGAATGACTGATGGAAAAAAAGGGATTACAGGAGTCTACAAACAACTTGATACTCTCAAAGAGACAAAGTGAACAGTACAACACTGGAGGAAAGAGTGAACACAGGAATAAAGAGAGAAGACAAAGGAGATCACTTCATAAATCCAAACGTAACAGTGTGTAAAATCAGACAGCAGAGGGCGCTCAAGATTACTTTTACCAATAAATAATATTTGACAGTTTGAGCACCTCCTTGAGTCATTCTGTAAATAAGACCAAGTTTAAATAAAATTGATAGGTTTAAAAAATCAATAAATACGGTTCTGCAGCCACTTTTTTGTTGTTTTTCATAAACGCTTTGCATTAAAACACATATTTTAATGGAAAAATCTCAGACTCGTAATGATCGAGCTAAATATCTGTTTCACCATCAGAAACTACATGTTAGAGCTTGAGTTGCTGCAGTGACTCTCTGTTTCCATTATTGATTATTTTTGATCAAACAGAACTACAGATGCTATTCTTCTTTCTCCTGTATTCTGAGCAGCCTGTTTTTTTTTGTTTGTTTGTTTGTTTGTTTGTTTGTTTGTTTTGTTTTTGTTAACGAGATCACCAGAAATGATTCCCTTATCACAAGAAAATGATTGATCATCTCAAGATAAATAAATAAAATCAGTAAAAACTTCAAGCAACTAAAAGTAACTTATTACAAGCATATAAAACGTATAGATGCATCCACTGGGGGCTTCTGTTACGCATCTGGCATATTCTAAGTAAGAAACTAGATAGGACCTTACACAGAGAGATAACAAGAAAATGCTTCTGCTTCTTCTTCAGGCTCTCCAGTATTTTGGTCAACCTTGTTTGTTTTAAATGTGCTCTTTAAATAAAGTTTGAGTTAAGCTGAAGTGAAGCTTCTGTGTCACTAAATATTCCACAACAGGACTGTAACAACGGTCTGCCATCACTACACCATCATACACCTCTGCAACTACCTCTGAGGGAGCATCATAAGCAGAACGTGGCTCACCATAACTGTGAACTGCAGATGAGGCGTAACAGGGATGTACACCCCTCACCTTAAAATGGTAGAGATACTGTATAATGAACCAAGAAAGGATGGTGTTTGTTTTGCAGATGTAACTAGAGGAGCAAGTTTCTCTGAACACATACAAAAAATGTCCAGGCTGGGGGTGATTTATGGCAAGTAGGTGGCTTAACCTGAACCTCAGAGCATTTCAGGGACACTCCCAGAGGCTTCATAATAGCAGATGGGTTTTGGGATTGATTTAGTTTTTGACAGTGATGCTGAGCTGTATCAAAATGTAAACTGATTTCCTGTGGATATGTGTAAAAAGGGTTTGTTACTTCTGGGAGAATTGTAAAGTGATATGTTGCTGATTCAGTTTGAAATTGGAGTCGTTGTGGTCTGACTGCTTCGTCTATAAATAGGACTAGCCTGTATGTCCTGTTGGAGCTCTTGTATCTGTCTTCCCTTATACTTCACAGTCTCTTCAGTCGCCTTTAGCTGCTCTTCCGGTTCTGGATCTAATGAAAAACAAACAAAAAAAAATATATATATATATATTTTTTTTATAGAAACCTACTAAGTCCTGTAACTTTCTGCTGGTTAAAGGGGTATTCCAGCATAAAATTAATTTAGGGTCAAACACACCGAGTTAGACACCCCCTCAAGAGATGAATGTTGTCGACCGCTTTTGATGTGGTGTGTTTGACCCTAAGTTAATTTTACGTCGGAATATCTCTTTAAGTTGTATTTGTTTTACTTAGCCATACATACCCGAGCAATTTTTGTCAGTGAAGGATTTGTGAAATCCTGTGTTACTTTCACGGAACAACATGAGGGTGTTCTCAAAGGCTTCGGTTTCCCGCTCCATCTTGCAGAGCTGAGCATCTAGACTGTTTCCCTCCTGCTTCAGCTCCTCTTTCTCTTGTGCAGCCTGATGAAAAAAAGTCCACAGCAGTGATTCAGTGCCACAAAAAACAACCATAACTTCTTTCAGTATCAATGGAGAGTTTACGGCCATCTTACTTTGATGATGTAGTAGGCCTGTGATTTCTCCTCTTCCCCCTCTGGAGTTTCCATTGAAAACTCTACAACCTCATAACGTCCCTTCATTGTGTCGACCTTGGATAGTTTCTCATTCAGTTCAGCACTGAGAAGAAAAGTCACAGTCTGAGTGAGCATCTATCCAAAAAAAGGTTTTCTGGATTTATGCTTAAGTCAAAATCACGTGAGCATGGCATAAAACACAACAGAGCAGATACTGGTACTGCGAGCACATTAGAAGAAGAAGAGCTGGTGGTGAGATCAACACAGCCTATAGTAAAACATCATCTAGTGTTTTCACCTGAGCTTCTGCCTCTCCTGTTCACTGATCTTGAAGTGCTGGCCAAACATTTCTCTGCTTACTCTGATCTCATCTTCACGCTCCTTTATGGCTCTCTGCACTCTTTCCTTCCTCTCCTCCAGTGAGAGCATGCTGTCCTCATTATTGTAAAGAAGATAGCTCCTGCGCTTCACCAGTGTCTTCAGGATGTTGTGCTCCACCATGTTTTCCTAATGATGAATATGTGAGGTTAGCAGGCAGATTTAGACTTTGCTGACTTTACGTGTTATTTTATTTCTTCTAAACTGATCCCTTTTAATGTTGGACAAACCGACTAAGGTTTTAGAAAAATTGTCCGAAAAGTTTTTTTTCCCATTTTTTTAAAATAAAATTTGTATCATTTAGTACATAGGTAAAAAATTATTTGATAGAAATAAAATCTCTATGTACTTTAACTCTATCATCAAAAGGTGCTGGGTTCCAATACAGATCTCTTTGTCAGCTAGTTTATAGGAAGCTGTTCCTTTCAAAATGGTGTGAAACTGAGAAAACCAACATATTTTTATGGTTAACCAGCTTTAACAGTCTTGTGAATGGACAATATCAGTGCTTTGCTTTAATAATTAATATACCATATTTTTTTCCTCTGTTATTTTTCGGTTTGTTAATCAACACATGGGCAGAGCCCTTTCAAAGTGAAACACGGCTTTAAAACTCTTGTGAAGAATTTGCTGTATCTTTCTGTCTATGTCACATCGGGGTCTCCAGACAAAATCATAAATATTTGCTCTGGAAAATGTGAAAAAAGTTGTCTTCGCCTTGCTGTAAATTACCTGATCTGACAGATAGCTAACACAACATTTTCCCTAAAGCAGTTATTATTATAATTATTCATCTGTAACTCAAAAGATTTCATTTCGCCTGCCATGACATCACTGAGTTACCAGTTTCCTGCTCTTGATTATCTTCAGCTCCTTTTCACAGGTGTTTCTCTGCAGTCTTAGCTCCTCCGTCTTCTCAGTCAGATCTCTCTTTTGAGCCTCAGACTTCTCCATCTCTTTCTTTAAGAAGTACATATCATCCTGTCAGAGACACGAGGAATTAAACATCTCGTTAGATACCTGTGTGTAAAATACAGAACAGGACATGAATGAAAGTAAAGCGAAAGAATAGCGCAAACCTCAGCCTCCGTGAGTGTGCTGGTAAGGATGTTGGCTGTCCTCTTCTTCTCTTCAAGGACTTCGGTCAGCTTAGTGATCCTCTTGTCCAACACCTCCTTGTCATCTTCATTAGTGTCACCTTGCAGTCTCTCCAGTTTTTTACTCAGTTGCATGATTTCAAACTCCTACAGGAGGCAAAAAAGAAAAGCTGATCGCACAATTTAGAGACAAACAAAGCTCTGTAGCAGGCGAAACTTGTGTGGGTTTTGTCCATCGTGCCTTTGTATCTAGGATCCGTTGTTGGTTTGTTAATTCTTCCTCCAGTTTTCTTAGCTGACAGTCCAAGGTGGCGGTAGTGCTTTGGCTCTTGGAAGCCTGGAGAATCGAATCACTCTCCTTTATCTTGAGAGCCTGCAACTTATTGTCCTGGAGACATAGCTCCTCTCTGAAGTCACGCAGCTGGATGTCCAACTCCTACAGCAAAGCACAGACCAGAGCAGGGTCAGGCAGTACTTTTACACCAGTGTTATATGAGACACTGACTTTGTAAAACAAGCTTATAAGGATTTCATCCTCATTTAATATAAACCCTGCAATTTCCAGTAATGTAAAGATGTATCTCAATTCAGAAAGATAAAATTATCTTTAATTATTGAGTTTTTTTCCTGCTTTTCATTCACATGGCACAGGTACAAGTTGGATTCACTTTTCATTATTTCTAAATTTAAATTATTTCTATTATTTTTAATTGTTTCTAAAGTGAGTTAGTTAAATAATACTGTACTTAGAGCCACTTGAGGAACAGAATATCATTCATTTGTGTTTTTAAAGCAAAAAGCAATGTTGTTTTTTTCCACACTTTTGATGGGTATTTACTCTAACCTCTGCTTTAATTGAATTAAAAAAATGTACATGCTTTGTCTTTTTTTGTTGTTTGTTTATTTATAGTTGCCTACGCCTATGGTTCTTTCTTGGCAATTTAAATCAAAAAGACTTCATTTTGCCTGGCATATCTATGAACTCCAGGCTTCTGTAAAAAAGCAGTATTTGATATTTGAACTGTGTACAAAACCTTCCTGCACAAATACTAGTAAAGTGAAAAACAGTCCAAAGTTGAAAACAAGAACAGAGGCAGCTCTCTTAAACAGCAGCGATAAAAAATGAAAAGCTATCTGATGACCTTGATCGCCTCCTCCTCGTTCTTGAGGAACTGGTCCATCTGCGCTGCTCTCTCCTCCTCACTGAGAATGCTCTGGGTCACAGCTTTCAGCTTCTCCTCCAACGCCACATTGATGCCCCTGGCCAGGTTCAGTCTAAACCAAAAATCAGATTTATACAGAGTATACTCCTGAATATAAAAATACAACCAATTCAATTCAGCAGATGTGTTGGAACATTTGACTCACGTTTTATTGTTGTCTTGGATTTGTTTCTTCATTCTGGATATTTGGGATTTCACAGATTCCACAGTGGATGTTGTTTTGTCCAGTGCACCTTTGCAAGTAAGCAGCTGCAGAACAAACAGCAAAATGTGTCATCTTATAAACTATGGCACATCTTTAGGCTCATTTTTTCTTTTTTAAAGATGGTAACAATCTTTATGTGTACATTCAGGGTCCCTCACAGCTATTAACACTTTTCATGTCAGGTAGCTTTGAGGAGCTGACCTCATCCTGCAGCCTGATACAGTTGTTCTCTAGTTCCTTCAGTTCCTGCCCCAACTTTTCAGACCGTCTGTTGGACATAGTTATCCTCCTCTCAGTTTCCTTGTTGTCGTTTCTCTCAGTGTCCAGCTGGTGCGTCAACTCTGTAATGGTAGCGTTTCTGTCCCTGACATTCTGGTTGGCTTGGGCAAGTTGCTGGACAGTTAAAAGAGCAAGAAAAGGTCAGGTTCAGATTTTTTTTTGGTTGCACCTTTAGCTTGAGTTGATCTTTGCTTTGTTGGAATAAGTGTGAGGTCACAGACTTTACCAGCGCACTCTGCTGCATCTCAGTATCGCGTTGCTTCATCTGCTTGATGATGTTTTCCCACCAGCGAATGAGCTGCTTGGTCTCCATATGGGACTGCTGCAAAATCTCTGTAGTTTTATCCAAAGCAATCTGTTTATAAAGCAGAAAGTAAAATGAATTCTCAAACAAATGGAAAGATTTCCCATTCACAGCATGATGAAAACCCTCAGGTCCACCAGAGAATTATGTTCCTTTATACATTATATGAGACTAAAAAATCAAAGAGTCAAATATTTTGATGTCAAACCTATAAAGTTTGTTTTGAACACACACCAGACTGTGATTAGCCTTTTCTTTGGCCTTAAAAAATGAAAGGGACCTGACAAAAAATGTTTGTAAAAAATGTCTAATTTATTTTATTTTTTTTTTTTTTGCCGGTGTTAAATTTCATACCCTGTTTTTTTTTTTTTACAGTACCTGTGTAGATAAACTCTCAGTCAGTTCTTTGTCCAGTGCTTTGCGCTTTTCATTGGCTGTCTGTGTCTCTTTCTCGATAGCCAGAGTGAGTGACTGTTTTGAGAGATAGCAAGACACTTAGCTCAAGATATTTGTAGTTTCTGCTGAAAACAGAAGAGATGAAAAGCTTGCCTGAGAATACTGTTAGTGTGTTTGTTGTTGTTTTATTTTTTACCTTGATCCTCTGCTCATCCTGTTGAGCATATTTGATGATAGTCATTGTATCCTCATCTTTGCATGCTGACTCCTCTAAAAAGGCAACTATGGTCTGCTGGTCCCAGTTCATCTGTTCCCTGAAGCCCTCCAGGTTCTGCTTGGCCCTGTCGATGCGCGACTGAGAAAAACAGCTATGGTCAAGAAAACCCATTTGGACACCACTCTTTACTCATGTGTCTATGTTATTGTAACATGGTGTGCATGTGTATACCTCCAGCATTTCCTTCTTCTCAGCTAGATTGCTTTCATCATTTTTCATCTTAGTGGTCTCCTGCCCCATGCCACCCGTCTCCCTGTCAGCGAGGGCTGTAAGGTGTTTCTCCGACTCATCTTCTTTCTTTCTAGCCCTGCGTAATCCCTAGGTTCAGGAGAATCAACATGTGAAACCAAATACACACCATGACACAAGTAATCAAGCCAGATAACCAGAGGAAAGCTCTCCAACGTGTGTATTGTGTGACACCTACCTCAGTATTTCCAAGCTCTTGGATGACATATTGGCGATGTACAGATATGGACTCCTGATGTTCCTTGTCTTTTTCAGCTTTGTTTTCCTGCAGCACCAGTTCTGCCTTTTTCTTACGAACCTGTTGTTGAAAATAAACACTTACAAACCTGGGCCAACTAATGCAATTCAATGCAACAGCTCTACCATACAGTCTACTCAGGATGCGTCCAAGTTTTTACTGTAGTAAACTGTGGATTCCTAATTGAAGATCTATTCTATTTTATTCAGTCTTGATGTTTTCATGCACATAACTTGATTAATGCTACTCTGAGATCATCAGAAAAGTGGTCTCCTATGGTCAACTTACCCGATGTATGGGGTAAGTTGACCACCTTTGGGGTAAGTTAAGCTGTATCCCTAATACCCCCCCACTCTCCACCCCAGCCCTCCCTCACCTTCTCTCTCCATAAATAACAGTCACTTCTTCACGTTCATGTGTATTTTTATCTATTACATGCTATTCAACTGGTACAATAATTCTTTTTATTATTATTGCATATAACTGCTAAAAAGCAGTTTTGTAAAAATCAATTTTAACATGAGAATGTCTTTAAGTGATTCAGAACATTCACAGCTGTATTTCTGAAAAGAAAAAGTAACACATTTCAACAATGTGAACTGAAACTCTGATCCTCTCATCAGACTTCTTTACTTTCTTAGTTGAGCAACAGACTCAACTTACCCCAGAACTACTATGATGACTTTATTAGTCCTCTAAGCTAAAATGGTGGACTTTTATACTAGGTTTTTGACCTCATGCTATAGCTCATAGCAAAAGTGATGTATAAAACAAATTTAAGATGATCATTTTTGGTCTGAACACAATCCTGATAAAACTTATGACAGACTAAATTCACTTTCAAGAGGGAAAAATGTTTTTTGGAAATAAATGTCTAACCCCTTCACCCATGTGCTTCAAACCTTCACAGACTCCATGAATTGATGCCCGTCTCCTAAATACATTGGTCACATGATCAATTTCTTGACCACCAGGGGGTGGCTCAACTTACCCTTTGGCTCAACTTACCCCACTCTCCCCTATACAGAGTAGTACTATGGATACAGCCCAGATTTAGACTTGGTCTAAACTTAGACGTCTAAAGAACTTTAATTTTTAAACCTGTGCTAGTCTGATTTTAGATCAGTCGTCCAGGCTACATTTAGATGTCTATTAGACCTCTTATAGACAAAAAAAGCTCTGGGATTATAAACTTGGAGAGTTTTTCTCTCCAACATTTAAAACTATTCACAGAATAAGATTTAAGGAGATTTTGAAGTGATTTCATTTTTTAAAATCGTTAACTTTTCAGTGCTCACCTCCTCTGTCAGAGCCTTGTTTTCAGCGTTGAGTGCGGGGATACCGAAGGGCATATCCCAGCCTGTCTCAGGTAAACCCGTATTCACAACGCTCGACATTTTCAGGGTTTACCAGATTTGTAAAACAATTATTGTGACTACTAAGTGGCTTCCTTCCGGAATTAAATCGTAAACTATCAACAAATTCCGTTGTTTCTCTCTTTACTCTTCACTGTAGGGACCCTACATCCGCAGTCTGTTGTGAGTCGCTCCTAGCAACCAACCGCAGTGTTTTCTCCACAAGGAGGCAGCGCGAGGCTGGAGAGGAGGCTGCCGCGCACAAAATAATACTGTTTTTTGTCCTCTTCGTTGTGCTGAAGGTGCAATAAATTAACATTTGAAAAACTCAAAACATTCAGTGGAAAATGCTAGACAATATTCTGATATAATTAAAAGTGCATTGCCCGATAATAAGGAGGGCAAGACGCTTTCATAGTTGCTTCATCAGTTATCATTCTTTTGTGTTGTGTTACTTTTTGTATTCTTGTATAACTTTGGCATACTTTTTTTAAAATGCCCCAGGAATACTGAAATTCTGTTACATTTTGTCTTTCCAGTGTATATTTCTTGTCTGTCTTTTGAAATTTTTAACTTACTTTTCAATACACAAATAATCTCCTATATACAGTGGCCGAGCACCGTCACTGCTGCAAATAAAAAAGAATGCAAAAAAAAGGAGAAGAAGCCACAATAGAAGTTACTTATGCAAAAAAAACGAAGGTCACTGCAAATAAAAAAGAAATGGTGCAGATCAAAAAAAAGGAAAAAAAAAAAGAGAGCCACAACAGAAGTCAATGATGCAAAAAAAAGTGGAGATGGGAAAAAAAAAGTTACTTATTGCAAAAATTAAAGGATGCAAAAAAAAATCCACAATGAAAGTGAGCTTCCGGGGACCAATAATGGTGATGCAACGGTGTTTTACGATCTAGGCACAGAAGACGACAACGAGAAGATGAGCAAAGAAGTTAGTGGAAAGGTAATTGCTTGATTTTGCCTCGTGTGCTTTTTAATGTGTCATTTGTTTAGGCCATGTTGCGCCTGAGTTGATACGAAGTTGAACTGGAGAATGCCAATGTAGTGTTAGCTTCAGTTCAACTTCATATCGACTCAGGCGCTACATGGCCTAACCAAATGACACATTAAAAAGCACACGAGGCGAAATCAAACAATTACCATTCCACTAACTTCTTTGCTCGTCTTCTCGCTGTCGTCTTCTGTGCTTAGATGGTAAAACACTGGTGCGTCATCGTTATTGGTCCCCGGCAGCTCACTTCCATTGTGTTTTTTTTATTTGCATCCTTTTATTTTTGCAGTAACTTTTTTTTTTCCATTGCCACTTTTTTGTTGCATCGCTAAACAACTTCCGTTGTGGCTTTTTTTGTACCTGCACCGTTTCTTTTTTTATTTGCAGCGAGCTTTGTTTTTTTGTTGTTTTTTTTTGCATCTGTAACTTCCGTTGTGGCTTCTTTTTTTGTTTGCAGCAGTGGCGGTTCTCGGCCACTGTACCTACAAGATAGGCTCAAGGTTTAAGTGTGTTCAGCTCAAATTGCTTGCAATTTGGAGACCATAACCTTTACCAAACTGCTGATGAGAGCATCAAACAACACCTTAATTTGTGAAATAACTGAACTGGGTGTAGTTCAATGTGGAAAAATATCTTCAGATTAATCCAAAAATACTGCGCAATATTTGATGGCTGTTTGAAGTTGTTACACTACTTCTGACAATATTGGTCTGATGGACTGAGCAGATTCAACAGATCAGAACCTGAACCTGTTCAACATTAAGACCCATCTTGGGCTCAAGTTAGAGACCTGACAGCTTTAAAGATAACAAATTGAAACATTTATTTTATCTTAATACATTTGTGTTTAAACAAAACAGCATTATCCTTAAAAAATTACAATCAATTTTTTATACTGACTTGTCACACAAATGTATCATAAAACAATAACAAAATCCAGAAAGCACACAAGTATTAAAGTCAATATTAAAAGAACAATATCCCCTTGCAAACCCTTGTGTTTAGATTACAATTCAAAAGTGTGTCTATCTACCTGCGTCTGAGTGGAGCCCAACCACATCAATGAACCATGTGGACCAAGATGGCGACTCCTCTCTATTTGGCTTGAGCGCACACAAAAAGCCCAATACTTTAGATGAAAGTTCCAAACCACCACAAGGTGACCAACAAAGAGATATGCCTTTTTTATATATGTAAATACAAACAAACATATATAAAGTCTCTGCTGTGTAAAATATTTCAGTCCTGAGGGTTGAAAAGGCAACATAGTTCTCAACTCAGTGCGGTCCCCTTGTCATCCTTTCACAGCGCGCTCTCCCTTGTAGACACCTCACTGGATGTCTCCTTAGTGAGAGCCGCTTTTAAACTGCTGTGCTTTTTGTCCCAATGTGTGGCCGTGCAAACTCCACAAAGTCATCGATAAGGACAGGCCATGCTCCTGTTGAACACACATACACACACAAAATCAAATAAAACAAAGACTATGACAACCCGTCATTAGTAAGTACATTATAATGAAGCTGGGCAGGCACTCAAACAATAAATTATGCAGAACTGGAAAATGAGTTCCCTTTCTGCTTTGACTAAATGCTACACAAACCTTCTTCATCATAGTTTGACATATCATCTGTGATCATTGTGCTGAAGTCTAGTAAGAGGTTCCAAGTGTCTTTAGGAATGGATCTTTTGTGATGCTCCTGTAAAACATGTTCATGCAACAAAATGTGAACATAGAAATTTGCATCTCTTTTAGCAATCTTGACTGTGATTGTTCACTTACAACTAAAAACCTGTTCCACAAATCCAGGAACTTGAATCTTCCAGCCAGTACTAAGTTCCAATATGCAATAGCCATTTCTAAATCTGTAAGAAAAAAAACAGTCATGGGTCAATACAGGTTTAATAAAGTGAAAAACAAGTGCTGTAATGATCACAGAAAGATTCTTACCCAAACCTTTCTGGCCTGGATTTTTCGCAAAATTAAATGTAAACTGGTAAAAGTCTTTAAATTTCCCTTGGTCCTTCAACTCTTGCTCCATTTTTGGCAGCTGAGCTTTAAGCTTCTCTATACTGTCACAGCTGGGAAAACAAGAAAAGAGACTGTTTGTTTTATTTTATGACGACGCAAAAAATATGCATTTGAAGAGAAATAAATGTATCACTTTGTAAACCAGCAGCTAAGTAAAAAAAAGCCTTTCCTCCTGTATTCCTAACAATACTGTATAACTCTTTGCAGCACTTGTTACAAGCTGAACAGTATTTCTATGCATATCAAGGGAATACAATAAAAGTGATATTTTCAGAGGCTGAATCTGTGCTCTTTTAACAAGAGAGTGTATGTAATCAGGAAAACACACAGTTAATATATTACACTGTTAAATACATAAACAAATGCAAACATTTGAAGTCTACCACCTTGTGACGCCATATTTTAAGACATTCTTGGCGTGTTTACCTGACCTGAAATTCTTCTCTAAGAAATCAAAAGGCAGCTCTGCATCCTACACAAAAGTAAAAAGGAAAGATTTCATGTTTGTTTGGACCACCTAACACACTCACCCCTGTTCTGCCATGCCATCCATGAACTCCTGTTTTGAGAACTCACACTGTGTTGCTGCCCTGAACTTCCAGGCAATAAGTAGTACACTTATACTAGCCGGGTCAAGACTCAGGTCATCACAGAATAACTGGATCCCGTCAATACCGATCTTGTTGTCATCATGCGGATCTAAGTAAGTAAACAGAGTGTAAGGGGTGATTTGATCTTTCAGTTTAAAACCAAACAATTTTTTATCAGTTAATAAAACTTTACACTTGTGTTCATTTTGATTAAATTGTGTGATTCTTCCCTGATTTCAGCAGTAGATCAGCAAAAAGATGTTAGTAGTGGCGATTACATAGGTTCTTCAGTCTTACACATAAAAGAGACTTTCATACCTCTGTATCTGTTGTACAGCTGCTCAAGCTTCTTCCTGTCTAAGGCCCCCTTTAGGTTTGAAACATAGAGCTCCGGATTTTGGAAAAACTTGTCAGTGGCAACATCTAATTTCCAATCATTCTGTGACAGACAGGTTAGTGCAGTCTTCTCATTGGACTGAGTGAAAACCATGAACTGACGAACTTTATCCTTCTGTGAGGACTTCAGCTTGTTCTGAACAAGGACACAGAAAACATCAAAATACATGATCAGACAAGAGCAAAACAAAACAATAACAAATACACATTCAGAAATGCATAAAGCACAGTTACAAATCAAACTCATATTTTGTGATGCACTAAGTACAATAACTAGCCATAACATTATACACTTCCAGGCAATCAAATGCATTTACTTTTATGAAGCGTCTACTTTTTCATTTTTGTTGGCATGATTTGCTGCTGTGGGTGTTGGGAGTGTACCTAGGTGCATAATACTGACAGGTCTTCCCAATATTTTGCTTGTTTCATGTTAATTTATTAATATAAATATGATATAAGAAACATATTTTAAAACAAAATACATCACCATGACCCCATTGTTCACTACACCTTCAGTAATAAATACTCAGTGCAATAATCACCTGTCTGATCATGTCAACAAAAGCTGAACATGTCAAAGCTTCCTAAAGAGGAGTTCATGGTACAGCTGTTGGATTGGGTTGCATCAGATTACCCGGGTGTTTATAATGTTATGGCTGGTCAGTGTTTTTTTGGTCAGCTGGCAAAACTCTTCTGATCAACATCTGTGGGTAAATCATACATTGTTAACCATGGTCGAACACATCCAGATGAAAGCAACAAGAAAACTAGCATAACATGCTACCTGACAGCAGTAAACGGTTGCAATAAACTGTCAGTATGCAAAGGGGGGCTAGCTTTACGTTTAAGCAACGGTTGAACAGATATTGTAATAGCAAAATCCCATCGACTACGATTCACAGATTGAACCATAGTAATTTGATTAGATAATTGTGTTTGTCAGCTGGCTTTCAGCCTAGCAAGCTTAGCGATGCTGGCTAGTCACAATCGTGAGCTAGTTAGCTACTGCTAACGTCGAAGGCAACGTTTGTTTTACAAAAATAGAAATAAAATACCCCATTATTGGCGCATTCTCTGGTTATACCAACCACCACATAAATAAAGAGTATATATGTTAGAGCTCTCTTCATGTTTGGGTCACGGCAAAAGAATTAAGAAAGTATTTTCTTACCATGTTTGTCTTTGCCTGACTCTCTTTCCTCCCATCCAGCTGGCTGCAAGCGTCAAGATTTCAGGAGACAAGTAGGACGCACTTCCGGTTGATATATCCCCTTCAAAATAAAAGTACGAAACCAGTTGCTCATTTATAATGCTAAAACCTATGCCGTAAAAATCGATTTACTGTTGGAATTTACCACATTTGAACAACATATCGAATCGAGAATAAAAACATATTACATAGGTTTTCAGGGCTCGACAGTGCGACCGTTTCACTCGCATTTGCGACTGAAAATAGTGTGCGAATTGTAAAATGTCAGTAAAATGTAAAATGTCAGCCGAGGCAACAAATATTTTTTTATGTAAATACCGCGGTGAAGTTAGTTTTAGGTTGGATATCCGACGGACACTCATTGCGAACCTACCGGTGTCTTCTCACTTTCCATAACCGGTAATATCAACAGCAGTGCGGTTAAATCTACTCGGCACCCCTCGCTGTCAATGTGTTGAATAAGGGACTATCAATATGTTACCGGTTGATTTTCTCAAAGAAGGCTGTATTCCTTCAATAGCTTCCATGTCATGTGCCAAATTCTCCTAAAGTTGATTTCAAATAATAGTACTAAGGTCGACCAATAAGACACACATTATTTGATCAGTTTTCATTGTGCCCCTAAAGTTCGTTCATGCTCCTTACTTTTTCAACTTGGGAGCACATGTGCGCCTTGTGAAAAAAAAATAGTGTCAAGCCCTGGTTCTGGACATTTTACCTTGGTTATAGGCTATTACCAAGACCTTTTATTCTGAAGCGACTGATTGGAAGTGAAACGAGAGGTCACGAAAAGAAGCTTATTATTTCATGTTGGTGCGGAAGCGTATCGCTCTGGATGTTAAGGAGCGGTCTTCAAGTGTTTCGGGACAAATGGAGGTCGTACAGACACCGATTTGTACCTTGGATTGCGCTGAACCTGTCTAAAAATGAGAAAACTTTGCGGCAGGTCAAAGAGCGCTCAAAGGACAAAGTGATCCCAGATGAGGAGGTTTCTCAGACTCTCCTGAATCTCTTCCAAGTCCTATGGAAGAGTCCGTGGGCTGACCATGTTGAGTTGCGGGCTGCCCAGGCTCACTTTCACAGACAGGTAACAAGTTCAGATGACCAAAGTGGAGGGTTCCCAAAGAGCAGAGATGATGCCATTGTCCAGTGTCTGGGCTTCTGCATTGATCGGTGTGCGAGCTCGATGCCCTCTGCGGGAACTGGGGTTTTTGTTACCAGAGGTTTTGTACCCAAAGGGGCTACAGTTGCCATGTACCCTGGCACGGTCTATCAACCCTATGAGCCAATTCTCCTCCAGTCCATCAGAAACCCCTTTATTTTCAGGTGCATTGATGGTGTTTTGATCGATGGAAACGACAAAGGGATCTCCAAAATGATCTACAAGTCATGCAGTGGAAGAGACAGAGTAGGACCTTTCACAATGAGCGACACCAGCTGGCTGACAGCTGCACCACAAAACCCACTTGCTGTGGGTCAGTATGTCAATAACTGTTCCAATGAATGGCCTGCTAACGTGTGTTACCAGGAGTACGATGTGCCAGACTCTTTCCCCTTTGAGCTCCGCCAGTATCTACCCAATGTCAACTACAGTCAGGACTCACAGGGGCCTCTACGCTGTGTAGTGCTGGTGTCACTCAGAGACATTGCAGTCGGAGAAGAACTGTTTTCCAACTACTATACCATTGTACATTAGACTCAAACACCTGTCTGCTTTCATATTAACCCAAGGAGACAAATATTCTTGTCAAATTATGTTTCTATTGAAGAGTACCTGGAACATTTTTGTACAATGTGAATTGCTATAAAACAAATGTGAAAACATGTGTTGTCCCGGACATTCTTAGATCATCTCAATTTCTAATAATTTAAAGGGATATTCTGGCGGAAAATTAATTTAGGGTCAAACACAGCGTAACACAGAGTTAGACACCCCCTCGAGAGATGAATGTTGCCGACTGCTTGCTTCTAGTTATAGTTATACCAACTTTAGTAACGACCGCAAGATAGCAATACACAGCAGTCTGAGGAGCCATAAACAAACCTCAACCAAAACTCCACTCTATAGCCACAATTAATGCTCAGAACAGCATCTAACTTCATCAACAGTACATAAAGGGTCCCAGCCACCAAACATCTTTTTTAACTTTGCCTAATTTCTTCAGCAAAGAGACTAAATACAACTTACCAACTTACTTCCAGCAGCCGCTTGTTTGAAGCGAGACCTCAGGCCAGTCCATTACACTCTACAGCGAGATGACCCAGCTCAAGGAAGAACATTTATGACCATTTCCTTATGAAAATGCAATCAGACCAAGACACTAATGCAGTAGAACTACTGCATATGCAGTGCAAAATGATTAATATGGTGATTAATACTTCAATAAAATGATAAAGAAATTATCATAAATGTTCTTCCTTGAGCTGCGTCACCCTGCATCAGACCGTAATGGACTGGCCTGAGATCTACAAGCGCTACCAACAAGCAGCTGCTGGAAGAGAGTTGGTAAGTTGTGTTTAGTCACCTTGCTAAAGAAATTATGCAAAGTTAAAAAGACGTTTGGTGGCTAGTGCTGTGGCTGGGACCCTATATGTGCTGTTGATGACGTTAGGTGCTGTTTCTGAGCATAATTTGTGGCTATAGAGTGGCTTTTTGGTTGAGGTTTGTTTATGGCTCCTTAGACCGCTGTGTATTGCTATCGAGCGGTCATTACTTAAGTTAGTATAACTAGAGAAGCAAGTGGTCGGCAACATTCATCTCTCGAGGGGGTGTCTAACTCGATGTTATGGTGTGTTTGACCCTCAATTAATTTTACACTGGAATATCCCTTTAAAGTCTTATGAAAAGACAACCTAGTCCAGTTGCCCTGTGTATGAAAAATTAGTTGTTTCTTATCCTTAAGATACACTAAGGTCACATTTGTTAATTATAATCATTATTATTACATTAGGACAGGCTAAAAAGACCAACACCTGAGTTTAAGTGCTTTACTTTCATCAAATAAAATATTTATCATTAATTAATTGGTATCACTGTTTTTCCAATATGTAAGGGGCATGCTTTTTTTAATCTGGCTGGAGCAAAGACTGCTGCTCACCTGTTTAAATGAATATACTGTATATGTATATGTATATATTTAAATATACTTAATAGGCAAAGTAGTTTTAACATTTTAAAATGTCATCACTCAGTTATGATTATCTCAGTTTTATAAGACCAGCTTTGAGCAGTTTAGCTTGTTACTTTCTCCCATACCCTATAATATATTCAAACGAGGATTTTTTTTTCTTTTTTAAAGAACGCTTAAAATTTGACATCAAATACAAATACATTTCAGGAAAATACAGTTAATAAAAATCTGCACATATTAACAGTGGCCATGTAGAAATAGATCAAAACAGTGAAATCCTACAGTTTAAATGTAAAAGAAGATATTGGGGGGGGAAACAATTGGACCATCGCATATATACAGTTCAAGGAAAACGTTACAATCTATGAATTAACCTGAAAAGCAACACACCATTCAATCTAGTGCCTGCCTTTCTGCTGAATATAATTTATTATATTTCTCCGGCCTCACACGAACCCTCTCCAAAAAAATGTTGCACAAGCTTGTTAACAGCTTTTTGACCTGTCAGGGCTTCTGTAGCCGCCGAATAACCGGTTATTACTGCAATATCCCTCCGCTGATAAATATAGTGTAGAACAATTCTTTATCTTTTTTCTGGTTATTCAAGTAAATCTTTCTGTAGGTGATGCATACAAAAATTGATTGAGATCCATTTATTGAATTTGTCAAATAAGACACTGTTGTCAACGAAAGTGAGCGCCATGTTCGTCCAAAGTGAAAGTAGTCCGGCCACATAAAAGCAATTGGCATCGCCACCAGCGATCTTTCCAGTCGCATGCTAAAGTTGGGTACGGATGATGTCTTGCGATTCTGCTGATTTCAACAGGTAAAACTGGAATTGTTGGTTGTTGTTTTGTGACACCTCCCCGTTTTAAGTGCATTTACGAGTGTCACCTGAGTTGGCACTCTGTGTGTTGCTGAATTACCAATATCGAGTTAGCTAGGCCCTAACGTCTGTCAGGGTGATGGGGTTGCTAACCGTTAGCTTCTCAGCCGTGAGCTACATAGTTACTCGTACCTCTGAAAAAGCGCCAACATGTATTTCAACGCAAAAAATGTCGTGAGTTTGTTGTGTTTAATTTCATAGAGATGTTGATATTGCTATTTTGAAGACAGCATTGTCCTTTCGTAGTGTGTGCTGCTGTGTGAGTTGAAGTAACGGTTGGGCCAGGCTGCAGCTCGGCCTAGCTCTCTCTTAGGAAACTGAAGCCCCCGCTGGCAGCACAGGCCCGACTGCACGACATATTGGTTTACGTTTGGAGAGCAGGGCTCCATATTAAGACATGCAGAGGCTGCACAAACGGGACTTTGCCGCTTTTAAAACTCAATATTCTTAAGACGGGGCGCCCCAATCGCTCCGACACCTTTTGATCGTTACATAATCGGTCGTTTAGGAGGAGAAGGTAGTCATGGTTCGCTCGTGGAATTTGACACGTGCGCCCAGCGACGGCCTGGACTCTGTATTGAGACACTCTGGGCGTAACCCGGTCCACGAGAGACTCACTAATTTAACATTTTGTCGTAGCTTTTAGTATTAAATCGCGTTAGTATGGATGTAAAGTGCTGCTTTTTCAGACAGTCATGGCAGGACACGTGGTAACCTAACTGATCATTACACTCTAACATCTGTAAATGTACGTACGGTATCTGCAAACGCTAGTTCAGCAAAATCTCAGTATGAAAGTGTTAAAATAGTGTTAAACGGAGGTTCTATAATTTTAAAGCTTTACATTAATTATCATGTCTGAACGTGTGATATCTCTAGTCGGTGTTGACTGCATTATTGTTGCATATTTTAGTGGTATTCCTCTGTGAATGTACTGTGTGTGATTTCAAAGTGTACCAGAAGTGAAATTTGACCAGAATAATAACTATTTGTATAGAACCTTTGTAAAAACAGATGTTTACAAAGTGCTTTGACATGTAGCCATAGAGCACATGGAATAGGACAAGTTAAAAACAAAAAGCTCAGTGAAAACTGAATTGAAGTCCATTTTAATGTCATAAGGGACCCAGACAATACAAGAACCATGCAACATAAAATGAGACCATGAGGACCAAAATAAAAACATGAAATGGTGAAGAAAGAAGGAAAATGCAATTAAAAGGGAGGACAAAAGTGGAAACTGGATAGTAAATATAAAAGACAATATCAACAATGATAATAAAAGTAATGATAAATTAGAGCAATAGAAATGAGCAAGAGATCAAACAATAAAAGGCCTAAAAGGTTAAATAAGAAAAGAGAACAAGTATAAAGAAAAATGTAAAAAAAAAAAAAAAACAGTAAAGCTGGAATAAGAGGGGTAAAAGAGATAAAAGAAGGCATCACGTAAAAGCAAGTCTGAGTTTTTTTAATTTGACTTTTTTCTTGCAATAGCTCAAAAGAAAGAGGCCATGGGGGCCCAGATGGAATGGAGCCTGATGGAGTCATTGAGGTAAATATAAGAGTGAAATTTCTTCATTTATTCACACTGATTTTAGGTTTTATCAACAGCTTCACTTTCTGTGTGTTGCTTACTTGCAGAGCAACTGGAGTGAGATTACAGACAACTTCGATGACATGAACCTGAAGGAGACTCTTCTTCGGGGAATATATGCATATGGTTTTGAAAAGCCATCTGCCATCCAGCAAAGGGCTATCATTCCTTGCATCAAAGGTAAATCTATCAAATAAAAACCATTGTTAATAAAAAGAGATGTCAAGTTGAGTGAAGTGATGCTTAACCATCTTTCGGGACTTACCCAATAATGGGGATATTTTTTTCTCATACTGATCACTCAATGTAGTTGACCTGACCTGCGTACAACCAGGACACTTAAGTCTTGTAATTTATTGAACTTCATAATATTCCTTTACTGCATATAATATTGTTTCTTTGCTGTCAGGCTATGATGTCATTGCCCAGGCCCAGTCAGGCACTGGCAAGACGGCCACGTTTGCCATCTCTATCTTGCAGCAGCTGGACATTGAGCATAAGGAGACTCAAGCCCTGGTGTTGGCTCCCACCAGAGAGCTGGCTCAGCAGGTATGCTGTTCTGAGGTCACAATAACCTCAACAGTGTCTCAGACCTAGACAGCACATTGAGGACACTGATTCAAATACGAAGGTACCATTTTTTTAAAAACCTGTCTAAATTCTGATTTTGTGAAACAAAAGCATCCTCTTGCGACTGGTGTAGTCTGTCTCCATGGCTACATTGGCCCGAAAGGCGATCTGGCTTCATTGAATGATTGTTCATAACTATTTGATTGCTTTTGTGGACAACTGAGTGACATGATGGCATACCATCTTTCGGGACTGACTCTTTTTGTGGAGAGTTTCTTGTATTACACTGATCACTCTGAACAGTTGTTCTAAAACAGTTGTCGTGTTTTCATTATCCTGAACTTGTGTTTGTTTTGTCCTTTTCCCATCCTGTCTCCCTCCATTAGATTCAGAAGGTCATTCTGGCTCTAGGTGACTACATGGGGGCAGCCTGCCATGCCTGCATTGGAGGGACTAACCTCCGCACAGAGATACAGAAGCTCGATGCGGAGGCTCCTCACATAGTGGTGGGCACACCTGGACGTGTGTTCGACATGCTCAACAGAGGACATCTTAGTAAGTCGGTCAGGTCTTGATAAAAAGAAATTTCTTAAGATTTGAGACCCATTCCACAATATTTAATTTTTATTGCCACATTTCCTCAGGTGCGAAATACATCAAGATGTTTGTTCTGGATGAAGCTGACGAGATGTTGAGTCGAGGGTTTAAAGATCAGATCTACGAGATCTTCCAAAAGCTGAGCACGAACATTCAAGTAAGCATTCGTGGCAAAATGCTAAACGCTAGCCTGTTCCTTATGATGTCCTTCTGCATTAACAGAAGTCTGCTATAATTGTGTGAATCAGATCTGATCTGTCTCACGCGATAATGCTAGCAGATTATTGCGTGGAAGGAGATGAATTCGCACGGCACTGAAAATGAGATGTGGTCGAACCTCTTTCTTAATGTTCATTGGCCTCTGTCTCAAGGTGCAGTGTCACATATTTATATTTATATGACATACATATATGTCACTATTTACTTTCACCTAAATGCCTCACATCACATTTAAGTAACAATCCAAGGAGGGCAAAGCAAGACCAGAATGCTGTCCTGCTGTCAAATTTGCTCATCAATTGTGTCAGTGAAATACTTCATTGATCATAAAAGTTTAACAATCGCAACTCTCCTACCAGTGAAACGTAATTGAATAATGGATCTGCTGCAGCACACAAAGCAAGCAAATTAAACTTCCTAGTCTTCCCAGTAATTGATCGGGATGAAGTCTGGATAAGTCGACACCACACAGAAGTACGGTGGCACTTGTCTGCTTGGGCTGGCTTAAAGACTAGAGTTCGGCTGTTTTTGTAAAGGTGTAAAAAACAAGATTTACCCTCTGAAGGATATGACACAGTATGATTTCTAAAAACAATAGTCAAGTGCTTATATCATGGTCTTGCATATCAGAAAAGACTCAATAAAACAATGTTCTCATTCTCTCTGTTGGTGCAGCAGGCTGATTCACAGTTCATTATTATCCTGTTGAACAAATGTCTTCTACATTAAATTGATGTTAAATGTCTACTCTAACCTCTGCTCGTCTGTCTAAAAGTACAGCATGAATAACGAAGGAGGCGTACTCGCTTCACGTGTTAATCCTGGCTTTGTAAACCTGCATCCTGTAGGTCCAGTTTATCATGAATAGGAATTATGGTTGAGATGCCAGGTAATTTATTACATTGCCTGTTTTGATATTTCCTGCCATTAAATCATACACAGGTTATCAGTAAACTGGAGTTGATTTATTGATCAATGTTGTGCACATGTGCTAAGACATGGAACTACACTGGGAATAAAGACCCTTTCTTTAAAAAAAAAAAAAAAAGGCACTATAAAGATGTTTTTTTTGAGAGGTTTAATTTTGGCCTTATAAGTAACTCACCTCCAGTCTCTCATGTAGTGGTTCCTTCTTGTATCCCAGCAAGGAGTTGGTGCTACTCTGGAACCGGTTTTGGTCAGAGCCAGTTCTTTGGCGATGGAAAGACAAAGAACAGGTTCCATATCAGGCACTGGCTTTGAATCGTGTCTTTTGTGGAAAAGAGGTAATAATGGTCACATGTTATCTGTCCATAGGTGGTCCTTCTTTCTGCCACCATGCCAGCCGAAGTGTTGGAAGTGACTAAGAAGTTCATGCGGGATCCCATCCGCATCTTGGTGAAGAAAGAGGAGCTTACCCTCGAGGGTATCAAGCAGTTCTACATTAATGTGGAGCGAGAGGTGGGTTTACGTCCCCCTGAAATCACTCAACACTGTCAGAGGTAGTATTTTTTTTTTTTTTAAATTGCCCAGCTAGTTTGGATTTTGGTTGTCCTTCTCTTTAAAGCACTCTGCTAAAACTGCAAAAGCCAGGCCCAAATGGGTTTGGCTCATGTGGCCGTGTAAGCATGGGTACACCAGGGAAGGAGAGAAAAGGCACAGTATCTGAAATGAGGCATGGAGGGACCTCTTTCTAAATGTCCAGTGTCCTTTGTCTCAGGATCCTGTGTTACAAATAAGCAGATTTTTTTTTTTTTTTTAAACAATATCAAATGGAATGTAATTTAGAGCGGTGTGGTGAAATGATGATGGCCTTTTTTGCATAACTAAAGTTTACTTTGTCTGCAGGAGTGGAAACTGGACACCCTGTGTGATCTGTACGAAACACTGACAATCACTCAGGCTGTCATCTTCCTCAACACCAGGAGAAAAGTAGACTGGTTGACCGAGAAGATGCATGCCAGAGACTTCACTGTCTCTGCTCTGGTAGGATCTGTTCTTGAGTATTTTGCCTGAAAAATGATCATCAGAAGACTCCAGTTGGATTTTGTTGTTGGCACTGTAAATGCACATTTCCCTGATGAGTATATCCTTCCTTCACAGCATGGTGACATGGACCAGAAAGAGCGGGATGTGATCATGAGGGAGTTTAGGTCTGGATCAAGCAGAGTGTTGATCACTACAGATCTGCTGGTTAGTATGGGAGTGGGGATGTAAAGGCTTCAATGATTAGTTGAAAAGTTTGCAACCCAAAATGTGTCAAATCTGCAACAGTCCTGAAATGACCAAGCAGTCAAAACTTTTGGGAGATCAGGGCTCGTTCTCCACAATGGGTTCTTCTAATGTAGGAATCTGTTACTTTTAAAACGGGCGACATTCGATGTTTGAATCCACACCACCCCACCTTCTCCATGACTATTTGATTCAACTGCTTTCTTTTTCTTCAGGCTCGTGGTATTGACGTACAGCAGGTTTCACTGGTCATTAACTATGACCTTCCTACAAATCGAGAGAATTACATTCACAGGTATGTTTTATTTTTAAGAGCCGCATTTTCATAAGACACACACACACCTCATTGTCCTGTGGGTCTAACATCTCTCCTGCCTCTTTCTAGAATTGGTCGTGGTGGCCGTTTTGGCAGAAAAGGAGTTGCTATCAACTTTGTCACTGAGGAGGACAAGAGGATTCTTCGGGACATCGAGACATTTTACAATACAACCGTGGAGGAGATGCCTATGAATGTGGCCGACCTGATTTGAGCCCTGAGAGTTATCTTTTTTTTTTTTAAACGCAGTGATAGCGATCGTCCACTTGCATTGTGCTTATATTATTCGAGGGGGAAAAAAAACTTCTAAATGCTAAACCTTGGATCAGAATTTTGGTATGTGTTAAAAGCGAGGCGACTTCCTATGGTGGTCCCTCCTGGACAGTTGTAGATTCTAACCTCGACAGCCGGCTGGTTGGAGCTACAAAGCCATGGGGTCTGTAAACATAAAGGTCCTTATCAGGTATTTCTTTCCATGTTCAATTAAGATGTGTGTATTCGATGTTCTCCACCATTTAGTAACTTACTTGTGGACTAAAAGGTATAAGTGCTGTATAAAGTCTGCAAATTATGTTATGCTAACATATGTGCGATGTATTGTGGGCCTGCTTAATAGAGGCACTTGTCATGTTAAAATGTAGATTCACTTGCTTTTTTGTTTATCTTTTGTGAGTGTTTTATTTAACTGTACCATATATTTTTTTTTATCCCACTTGCTCTATCAGAATTCCTCACTGGTTGGCCATATTTTGCTGACGTGGTTTTAACCTTACCAGAGTATATTGCTATTTCCTCCCCCTTGACTACTTTTCAGATTTCTTCCTCCCCAGAATTGTATGAATGTCTTAATAAACTCAAATTACTGTAAGTAAACCTGCTGTACGGCCTGTCATGGAGTATGCATGCCCATCAGTTTTGTTCTGCTTCTTTCATGTTAAAGAAACTTTGTTTTTAAGTAACTGAGGTCACCAACTCTTTTAAAAGTTGGAGAAGGGTAATGGGCACCACCTTAGTTCCCTTACTGTAGCAATGCTGTGTAGCATGAGAGAGAGCAACTTAAGACTGCATTGGCTTTCCTACAGCCCCACCTAGTGGCCAACAAACTTCAAGACAATAACCAAATGACTGAGTTTGAATATCAAGAGAAATGGTATGTTTTTAAACTCAAAACTAAGTATAATACTGCTGAAACGCATTTAACAGTATTTAAAGGGACTTAAAATGCATATAGTACTGCAATCCTTGAAAAAAATCTGCCTTTTGAGAAAGATCCAGTCTATCAAAATGATCCTTTTATTGTTTTGCTCAGTGTATAGAACCATGGAGGGTAACAAAATCCAGACTTTGCCATGTTCAGGGTCTTAAATGAAGACTGAAAAAAGCGAAAGTCCTGATTGACTTTCATGAGACTCTCAATTTTAACTCCTTCACATTTCAATAAAACATTGTAAAACACATTATCCTCTATTTAAAAATATCTTCAGATCATTAGGAATTCATTTGTAAAGGTCTAGTAGTAACATTAAATCATTCAAAAAGCTGGGCATGTGAAGGAACAAGAAACTAATGAATTCTGCACTCGCAAGTTTCCCACTGTCAAGTAACAACCTCTCCCTCAGCCAGCAGGAAACACCCTGTGTTATTTAATTTTAAAAATGTACCGAGCTGAGCCTTCAGTAAGAATAAACTAATCAAAAAATAAATAAATACAACAACCTCATTTGTCCTGACCTATTTTGTGGTGCTCAGAAACCACTTTGTCCTAGTTAAAGGTTTCCTATTTTTCTCTGTGGTTTACATGTGGGTACAGAAAAACAGACGTGGTCTGAGAGAGGGCCACAGTGTTTTTCCACTGAACTGTGTCCTGCTTCATGTTGGCTTCTTCTCTGTAGCTTGATAGTTTTTCATATGAAAATACTGTCTCCGAGCAATCAGAATAATATATTTCCCCTGAAAAACAAACAGCCAACTGCTGTCTGCCTCTCTGTCGGTTGAGAAGGAATGCATCTATATCCAACATTTTCAGACATTCAGTTGATATGAACACCAAAGAGTTTTCAAGCACTGCTTTATCTCCGTTGTCTATAATTCAGCCCCTGTGATGTCTGAAATGTCTGTCCTTTCAACAGCACTTAAGAATTCTTAATGTGTTACTTTTAAATGTCCCATTGAGTAGTAAAGGGGAAAAAAAAATCCCAGACCTCATAGACCCAAGAAGTTTATCCAGTTTGGACCTTGTATGACTAGTTTTGTGTTATTTTTTCTCTCTTTTTTTTTCTTTTTTTAATTTTCTTTTTATTTATTTATTTTTGTACTTTTTAAATTAATTACTATTTAATGCAACAAAAAATCGGATTGTCAAAATCCTTGTTGATTGAACATGTATTTCTCTTTATTTTTTCCCCTTTTTAAAATGTCAAAGCATCAAAAGTTTAACCAGATTAACAAAGTATACAATGAAGTAATTTTCAGTGTCAGTGGACACGTGGTGATCGTGTAAGGCTTGGATTAGTGTGGGATGTGTCATAATTTCCAGTGATTCAAAGGTAATCTATGATCATGACTAAATGACTGTATAATGAGTTATCTTTGAGGTAATCTGAGAAAATAGAAAAACTGTACTTTCATTTGGAAATTCAGGTTATTAGTAAACCAAAAGATAGTGTCAACCAGCTCTTCATCATCTGTGTGATAAGTTGAACTCCTGTACTGAACATTCAGAGGTAAGACTTGTATCAGTCATGTAAAAAAAAGAAGTTACGGGAAGAAAATAAACATTAAAAAACCCTGCTCTCCAAATAAAGCACATAAACATTTTCTTTCTGATTGAGCAATCTTTTTTTTCTTTCTTTTCTTTTTTTTTTTTTTTTTTTGCTATTCACATCAAGTTACAACAACCCACATGTTCATGTTCGTATTGAGTAAGCTTCTTCCCTGGATCTAAGACACGTAGAAGATTTCTGCACTTCTGCTTAATCTGAATGAGGTCATCATCGAAAATAGCTTATTCATCAACAGGCACAGTCCCTATCTATATTTAGTATTTCAGTTTTGTCTGTCACAACTATTCTGCTAAGCCAAGTCTTAAGAGGTGACTAAAGATGAGCTTCGTTGTCCTGATGCCTGAAGTTAGCAATGACTCCTCATTAATGATCACTTTAGTTAAAAATAAACTTATCTATCTCTCCAGGGGGTATCAGGCTCAACAAACAGCACATCCTCCTGTCTTCATTTTAACAACTCCTAAATTTAGCAGGCTTATTTAGTAATGTAAGCTGTTTGTTGTGGTTTTTAGACCCATCTTGGTCATTTATATGAATTATTCTTCCTTGTGTGTTGCCCTGGAAACAGAGCATCTGTTTGGGGAGCAGCTAATCCAGGCAACATCACATTTCAGTATGAGGCGCCCTGAATAAACATATAGGATATTCACAGTGAGGCAGGGGGGAGGAGAGGGAGACCTTCAGTGACCTTAAACTGACAGACAATAGGATGGTTGCTAAGTCTTACATGTAAAAGAAAACATGCTGTTGTTTGAGACACTAAGTAGAGTTCATGTGGGTTCTTGCACTACTTAAACAGGCGATCATAACTTGGTTTCAATCAACAGTGTCTCCTCCTGATTGAATCGCACAGTCACAAAACCGAAAGTGGCCCCCAATTTAGTTTGTTTGTGACCTTAATTCAAATCTGCAGAGCGCTGACACAGTACTAGCCTCAGTCATTACTATCAGGACTGTGCCAGATGCCTCGATGGATCAGACGCACTCAGACACACTGATGACTCTGTAGCCGATGCCAAGGGTATTTTTGGCTCTGTGTATCACATGTCAGATGGAAAACGCCTGAATGAAAATCATAGTGAGAAACATTCCAGTACACGCATTCAGGCAAGGTTCATACCTTCACGCACAGTGTAAAGATGTTTGTAGATTGTGTGTGTGTGAGTGAAAGATGTTAGCGCTCCCCTTCTAATGAGGATTGTGCAGCCCCCTCACCTGCTCAGCTCTGCAAACTGTTGCTATGGAAAGGGGAGGCAAACACTTAAAAGCAAATAAATTAAAATGGTTTAAATGTATGACTATGCTTTCAGCCCCCACTGAACTGTGGTTAAGGTGTAAAAGCTAAAGCTTTGATAATATGCAGGATGTGCACAAGCAGATGCAGCCATCTACAACCGCTTTAACCGCACTTAGCAGGAACTCCATTTTTATGACTACAAGAAACACTTTCTTTACAACAGAGTAACTTTGAAATACTTGTCTAATTTGTTTTGAAGTGAAACACCAAGTATGTCTTTATATATATATATATATATGTGTGTGTGTGTGTGTGTGTGTGTGTGTGTGTGTGTGTGTGTGTGTGTGTGTGTGTGTATATGTATATATATATATATATACATGTATATAAAACCAAGTTTGCTGACACCAATGGATTTTGATAGTTACATAAGAGCAGGATCAGATAAGCTATTTTATCTATTTTATCACGTGTAGCTTCATAACTATCCAGCATCACTGACCATTAACAAACAAGCAAAAACAATTAAAGTAGAATATATCCCAGTTTTAACTAGTAAAGGTCCAGACAATTGTGAGTGCTAATTCTTGTGTCTCAGTATTTAATTACATTTTCAAAATGCTATTTAGCGCAATTCCTGTGCTACACTGTGCTTACGCTTGAGTTCACCAACACTGTCTCATGCTTGATATAACTTAAGAAATTGACTTTTAAAAATGAGAGACTAAACAACCAACATGAAGTGTCTTAACTGTAGAGGCTTTTAGTGCTGTAAGCGCATTTCTGTTATCTTTGGATAAAGCTTACCCAGCCGTTTACCCTTGTAAATCTTAGCGTGCTGCTGTCCGTACCATCTGACTCTGGGCAAAAAAGTGGATTAGACAGAACATTTTAGAGATACCTCAAAGTTGAACACTAATTTGTCCAGTGAAAAAAGACTGTTTCTTGATATGCTCAGAGAGCTCAATTCCTTAAATAGATAATTTACAGGAGTCAATAAAAAGGTAATAGTGGAAATAGTGTTTGTGGCTGTACTTTCAATGTCTGTGAAATGTCTACAATTACAAGAAATTTGCACTCAAACAGGATAAAATTAAAAATACTAATAATGACAGAAACATTTTTCACTTTTCACAAGTTTTATTTCTTAGAAAAAAAATTTAAACAAAAATTATTAGAAAAAAGGATGTCAAAACACAAAAAAACTATTCTTTAATCCACACTTTGTTGCTCACCATGACTTCATTTGTATTTCCAGAACAGGATCAGCTCAAGTAGCGGTTTCACATGTGCACTGCCTCACTGTGAGGAATTTTGCACTTCACGACACTGAGACATTTTTAGTTCTGACCAGTCACTGACATACTGTGTGTTTTTGCTTGCAATAACTCACACACCTGAAATATGTTATCTTTCTTTACTTCATGAACTTTTTTTGACGTATGACTTTTACAGCAGTGTAACAGACTTGAGTACATGTTTTGGGCATTTTTGGAAATGCAAGTTTTGGTGACCCTCTGATGTCTGACAGCAGCTGAAGGGAGCAGGAGGGAGTTGTTAAGTACCTGGTTCAGATGGACAGTACATTATTTCACCAGTTAAACACTCATTTATTATTAACATGGTGAGTTTGAATTTTTAACCACATCAGAGCCAGTGTTGTCACATCATTAAACCCTAAGGACTCAACATCTTTGACAAGGAGGTGATCACACAAACAAACACTTCAGTGTTTGACACAGGTGTCCAACTGAAAGGACTGAGGTAATATTCGCAGCACTGATATTACTTTCATTATGACTCATGACTCTTTCTTTCTCTCTGTCACACACAAAAACCTTGAGTAATTCTACAAAAATGCTGCTTTGCAAGGGTATGTGTTGAAAAAGTACGGTTTACAAAGGAGAGAGATTTTCACGGCCATGCAGTACAGCCTCCCTTTGAGTCCAGACGTCCTCTGTTTCACCTGCGGGTCAGTCGCTGCCTTCCACAGGTCATAGATATCTTCAACGTGACCATGTGAAGTCATCATCTGATTATAGATGCACAGGTGGTACGGTGATTTGCCCTCACCTGAGAAATAGACATGTTCTTGTGGGGATACACCAATGGCATTGGCACAGATGCCCATGAACACATCATCTATGTAAAGCGAGGCATTCAAGGTTAGTGTGGCTTGGTAGATTCTATCAGCTACATCCCTAGACACAACATACCCAGCCCCGGCTGTGTAGTCAGGGTACGACATCCATTGGTACATCTCAAAGGGCACATAGTACTTGCTGTCTTTGCTGCGGATGGGTGGTGCTCCTCTGTGCACCCGTCCAATCCAGAAGTCTGTGACACCCCTGCTGCTCACATCTTGCAGATAGCTCACCAGATTAGGCATGTGGACGAAGATGTCATCGTCTGCTGTCATGAGGAAGTGAGCATGTGAGCAGCGGCTGTGCATCCAGTGGAATTGCATGATGAGCTTCAGGGTCAGGTTGTGGAAGGAGTCTAAAAAGTCTTGCTGGATCAAATCACCATGGATACGGTCCTCATAGATGAGCCGCTCCTGAGAACCAACCCCGCTTCTCTTGCTCCATGAAGGCTCCCACTTCTTGGTCCGAGGTGCTCCCAAAGCAAACACCACCTTGACTGTCACTCCCAGGGCGGTTTGGATGTAGGTTTCATTCCCCCATGTGGATCTGATGGCGTTTCGCCTCTCGATATTCTCTGGAGATGTTTTGACGAAGAGGAGGAGAAGGACATCTTTACCGACACACTTGTCTGGGTGGTCCAACAGGTAGTGGAAGTTGCTGAAGCTCCTGGCCTGCTCCCGTGGGATGGTGAGGCTCTTGTTGATGTAGGTGAAACCATTGACCAGGTAGCGAAAGGAGTAGGACTTAACATGGCTGACCACGTTGCTGTCCAGTGGTTCCCAGCAAACCATCACCACTGACAGCACAAGGCAGGTGGTCATCAGCTGCACACACTGGCATCTTCGTATACGCCGCAAATTCATATACATCCTGGAATCTCGTCAGCCAGTGGCAGTGGTCCCTGTCTGGTTGGAGATGGAGGTGCAGCAGTTAGTTTGTGAGGAAGAGGCAGTCAGATGGTTGGGGATGTGAAGGTCAAGAGTGTTGTTCCAGTGCCTCGGACCAGCACGTGGCGGGGCTTCCATCCTAGGCTTTCCACATTCAGCAGGAGGCATAGATGGGAGTCAGCAGGTCTGCTGGGAAATGTACGCAATCTTAGAGGAGTCGCTCAAATGCCAAAGATTCCCCAGTTGCTGAAGATTCATCTTCTGTCCATGAAGAAGTTTATCTGCAGAAACGAAATAAGAAAGCACATTTACTATTGCAACAGATTTTGACGAATGGAAACCAACACTTAATCTTTGCTTCCTCTGCTTTAAAAAGAGGGAAGCTAAAATATAGAAAAAAGCACATTTGCACAATATCGGATTGGCCAATGCCTTCTCTAGTCAGAAAAATGTCGACACATGCTGTTTAAGTTTTTTCTGATCTGATATGTTGCAACAGCTTTTCGTAGAGCAACTTACAAATGAAACAAACTGAAGAATTATAGCAGCTGCGGGATGAAACTTTGTTTGATTGGGACCATTTTCTGGTTGGATCTGAACTTGGCCTTTGACATTCCTCTCTTGTATTCAACGCAAGAGTACTAATGTTGACCGAAAAGTCAAACGTTAACGGGTGGTGTACAGGGGGCGGAGAGGATGACTGAATGCAAAAGCCAACACAGCAAATATGGCAATGCAAGCAAAGTCCATAATGGAGGGGTTTAGGGGGGCAGACCCTCTGAAATCGCTGAGAGTCATGGAAAGCATTGGGACACAATGGACAGCGTCAGAATAGCTCGGCAGCACAATACTGGACAAGAATAGCCTGCTTCCGCCCGGGCGCGGTCTGAAACCAAGGGGGATCATGATGGGCCCAGGGCCTGGGACTCCCAACGCACCCCGAGAGCTTTTTAAACATATTGGATGGCCTGTGCCTAATGGGGTCATTGGCTCAGAATGGCTCTCTTTTCTCTCAGCCTGATAATGAGAAACTCTGCTTCACCTCTGGTTCACATCAGCCTCCTGCTTTTGTACCAAAACTGACTGTTACACTAAATTCTTTACCACACAGTGCATTTTTATAACCCATACACGAATGTGCACATGCCTGCTGGACAGTGGACTACACACACATGAACATATGACAATTCCTGTGACTGAAAGGAAGGACTGACAGTTATCTAATAAGGCTTATCGTACTTCAGCTTTAAAATGGTCCAGTCCATGTAAAATGAAACAGAAAAATACATACAAAAATGTTATAAGTTAATTTGATTGAGTTGAATTAATCTGATTGCTTATTGTCTCATCAAACCATGCAGGGGGTTAATTTTGTAGATTTAAAATACCTGCAGTCAATATCTCTGTCTTTACACTAATTTTAAACATAATAGTACACGTTGGATCAAAAAAGCATCCAAACAGTTAAATTTCCCCCTGTCACCATTGTAAATGTTTTTATAGAGACTTTTTTTTTGTTTTTGGCTTTTAGCTAGGGGGTGGGGGGTTCAAATGAAAAGTGCCTCGAGTTGTTAACAAAGGGCTTGTTTCTGGAATAACAAGTTGCTGTTTGTTTATTTATGTCATTATGAATGCCTTAAAACCCACCTTTCTCTGTTTTACTCAGTCAGACGCACAAGTCAAAATCATCTGTGTGGATGTCAGAGAGAGTACATAAAACTTTATTTTCTCCAGGTTACCCTCTAAATAACAAGCATGTCCAACTGTCATTAAAACAGTGGAGAAGTGTCCCTTCATATAAAACCACAAAAGACACACAGTCTGATACCTGCCTGTACATACCTGACCTGACTATCTTTTTTTGATCAGCGGTCAAAATCAAAGACAACAGATAACTAACTGAACGGTCTTGTTGATGTAGAAAATACACAAGAACAAAATGAGTAACCTTTTAACTTGTAGCACATTGGGGCAACACTCTCTTGTAAGAGATTTTTTATATCTATAGGACTTTTTGATTAAATAAAGGTTAAATACAATTTAAAAAAAAATACTTAATTTGTATTTTTTTTTTGTTTGAGTAGGCTGTCACCTAAGAGGAGGAAATTAGTATTTTATTGCACAACCTTTTTTTTTTTTTTAACAACACACTGATATGAACTTAAGCGTGCTCTTAAACTTGAAGCAGGGAAGATTTTAAAAACAGGACCCTTAAATTAACTTTTTTTTGGTTGCTTAATCCTGCAAATTCATTTAATGTGAAGGCTGCAAATAAAAAATTCAAAATTGATTAATTAAATATATATATATATTTCCTACATTGATTATTTTTTTACGATAATAATTCTTTAAATCTTTTGATGAGTAGTTTATCTTTATAATTTCATCAACTATTTGAAAAATATAAAAGATAAGTTATAGAAAAAAAAAACTTCTTTACAGCACAACCCTGTCAATAAACTATGATGGCAAAAAAAATTAAGAAGAAAATGGAACAAACAAAATCAAATGTTCATTAATCTAAACAGGGTTAAATGTCCAGCTGATCCTGACATTACTATGAGGCCATATTGCCCAGCTTTATTTGGTATTGTGTAGTTTCTTTGTGTGTCACTAGTTCTCTAATGTCCAGGACTCTTTAAAACAGATATTATCTAAGTAAGGATATTTATAATTAAGGTTTAAGTGAGTGAAAATGATCTGGGTGTTTCAGGTAGTCACACAAAGTAAACTTTTAGCTGCTTACATTGATCATGTTTACACTATTTACCAAAGGTGTAACCGCTGTCATGTCCTCTGAACCGGATTCTTCTGCCATCACTCTGTCCTGTACAAAACCTGAAGTGAAGCTTTGAAAAAACTAAGTGTTGATCCTCATTCACAGCCTCAGCTGCATCTAAAACAAGCACTGTGAAAGTGAACCACTCGGCCCGACACGCATGTTTCCAAAGACACTATCTGTATTTATAGATTTGAAGCACACAGGGGGTGGGAGGGACGGAAAAGTACACCATCACTGCACTTTTAAAAAACACCAAGACTCACCGGTAAAAAGAAAAATCTGATCCCAAAGAGCAGCAACAATTTCCCTCCACGGTTGTCTTCTTCTTCGCTGCACAGACGCCCCTGTTCTTCGGTTCTCCCTCAGATGTAAGCAGAAGCACCCACCCCCTCGTTAAATGGTTAATTCCTCCTGAGTGTGTGTGTCTGTGGGGGTTTCTGTAACACTGACTGGTTTTTCTTCTCTGCCTCTCTGACTGCACACTGTTAGCTGGCTTGTTAATAGTGTGCAGGTTGCCTTGGTTCTTGCCTCGCCCCCCTCCCGCTTTATTTTTTTTGCAGCCAACTTTAAACCCCGCCCACCAACGCTTAACGAGCACCTCGGTTGTTGCGTTCCCATGGAAACCACAAAGAAATTTCAACGACAACGTAACTTTACCGTCGACATATTCATGAAATATTCAACCTGAAAACACTAAAGTAAGCGTGTGTTTTTAGGGGGGTTGACCTCGAGAGTTTAGAGCTTTGATACTCGTGTTGTTGAGACCAGTTGAATTATATTAATTTAGTGTGAAAAAAGACACCAACACAGTGGTCAATGCTACACTTAAACCTCTGCCATGTAAGAACAAGAAAAATTTTACAAAAATGTAGCTTTACCGTCGACATATTCACGAAATATTCAACCTAAAAAACACCAAAATAAGCGTGTGTTTTAGGGGGTTGGCTTCGAGAGTTTAGAGCTTTGATACTCGTGTTGTTGAGACCAGTTAAATTATATCAATATTGTGAAAAAAGACACCAACATAGTGGTCAATGTCACACTTAAACTTCTCCTGCCATGTGAGAACAACAGGTTACAACTTGAGAAATAGCAGCATAGGGTAGAGCTGTTAAAATTTACAATGAAGTGTTTACTATTTTTAAACAGGCATCATTTCTTCATACCCAAAGTTGAGTTGATTCCAGCAGGGGGAAAGTCTTGAAAGAAAACTGGGACTGTCTGAATTTTACTCCCTCAGAAACGAAAAAGACTAGAAAATAAATTAAATGTCAAAAGTCAAGTCAAGTCAAAGGTTATTTAAAGCACCTTTCAAAGACAGCAGTGAAACAAAGTGCTGTACATGGGATAAATAAAAGAAGTAAATATATACAGTAAAAAAATTTAAAAACATAAAATTAAAAACAGTAGAATAAAATACAGACAACAAAAGAATAAAAGCTACAGTGCCTATGATTCCTGTGTGCTCATTTATTAAATGCAAGGGAGAAAAGGTGGGTCTTGAAGATGATTTTAAAGACTCTTAAGTCTGTGAGGCTCTACTATGGCCAGGTTAACTGTTCCACAGTCTAGGGGCAACCACTGAAAAAGCCCTGTCACCTCTAGACTTGACTCTGGTTTCTGGGACGCTCAACAGTAACTGGTCAGAGGACCTTAAGGCTCTGGCTGGGGAGCGGTAATACAGGAGTTCTGACAGGTAAGGAGGGGCAAGACCATTGAGGGCTTCAAAAATGAAAAGACATCAGCTTCTTGATTTGAATGTTTTTTTCCTATTTATCTATCTGTGCTAAAAAATGTGATTGATTAAAACCAAAGATAGTATTTAGAATAAACAAAGTCTCTTCATCTCTGCTTGTTGTGGGATATGAAGCCAAAACACCTCCTCCCTCTGTGCTGCAATATTTCACTGGAGCAGCCAAGGCGTACTCAGAGGCATCCTGGTAAATCTTGTGGCGTAACTCAACTCAAGCTGCTGGTGTCATGATATATTCTTGTTGGCTTAGTTTGTCTCCAAGTGTATTTGTTTCTGTTCCCTTTTGATCCTGTTGGTCTTGTGGTTAGTTTTCAGTGTTTCATGGGTTTGACTTCCTGTTTTATTTTGTAACAGTCAAAACCCGGTGTGTCAAGTTCGGTTTTACTTCCTGTCATTTCCTTCATTGATTGTCTGCACCTGTATCTTAATGTCTCACCTGTCTCTCGTTATTCCTTGCCTTGTGTATTTAGTCTTTGTGTTGCCCTCCCTGTTTGTCAGATCATTGTCAACCAAACTTCATGGTTTCCCAGTGCCTTCTTGTGAGATTTGTGATTCCTATAATGTTTTGTTTGGATGTATTTGGAGTTTTTCATAGTAAGTCTTTGTTGGACTGTCTTGTATTGTCATTTGTTAAATTAAACTGTTTTAGTTCTGCATGGCCCTTCTTCTTTGTTTAGATGTGACAGTTGGAGCGAATAGGATTGAAAAGGCACCTACTGTATGCCCTGGGGCAGTAGCACACAAAGTTCAGATTGCTTCCAGAAGCACTTAAAAAAAAGTGTTTTAAGCTCTGCAGTTTTCTGTCTCTCTTTAGCATTCTGTGAGTACACAGGGGGTTGCACATGCCTTGTTCCAGCCTGTCAAAAGAGTGTGCTTGTAAAAATTTGAGGCATGCGCCCGGGCAGTAGCCTGGAGGTAGCTGAGTTGTAGTATCTTTCAAACCCCTGAAACTAACAGTGAAGGGTTTAATTAAAGGTATTGAGGTACGAGTGATAAAAGAGGGGTCCTGAGATCCATCCCCAGGAAATTTCAAGTGTTTAACTTCTGCCATGTAGTTTTGTATTTTGAGCTGAATGCTACACACAACACACACACACACACACACACACTTAGATTAAAAAAAAAAAAAAAAACTTGTCAGATTTAACTATTGATCAAAAAGACTTTGTAGTGTATTAAACTTTATTTACATAACTTGGATAACAACCACACAGATAACAATCAGACCTTTAATTCCATTTCATCAACAGGGAGGTCATCCAGAGGCCTTACTGTTTACATTTCAAACCTCTGATAGAGTCCCTAAAGAGACTGAGATATGACTTCCTTAAGAGTGTGCAGTGAACCACTCAGTTCACAGAACCAGAAAACATTTTCCTTACATAGCCTTTGTGATCTTAGATAATCACAGTTATACAAAGTAGCTTGAGTTTTAGCTGTAAAATATTTGTAAAGGAAATGATGAATTAAATATGTTGCTTTTTCAAGCATATTTCTATGGTGAATTATTATTACACATAAGGTTATTACTTTAAAAGATGCAACCCATTCCAAGGAATTAACATTTAATAACAGGACAGTGGTAGAGAGCATCGCTATCACTTCCTCTTCGGAGATTTGTTAAACAGAAGAGGAAATTAGTCTTGTTACAAATACAATTTTAAGAGAAGTTATTTCTTCTTAAACATCATACATATTCTATCAGCTTATACTTCTGAACAACTACTTCTTATTTTTACCCATGTATTCATCCGATTCCTATTTTTTCCCTACTACTGCACCATATCATACCAAATGAATCAACATAATGAGCACCGTGTGGGAAATTCTCGAAATAATCAAAGTTAATTTCAAATATTTTACCACCTTTACCAACATTTTTCCATTTGAGAGTAGGAGAGTAGTTGCTTCATAGAATAAGTTCCTCATGAATGCAACATTTAAATAAAAATACACGCTGGTAGTTTTGGTTAAGGTCAAAGTCTCTCTGTGTTGGATAATGTTTTCGTTAGTGATTTGAATACGTTTTCTGACTCAGGTGAAAGCAAGAACATGCAAAGCATCCTCCGCTTCTCTACTTTGCATATCTGGATCTGTATAGGAACTTTAAAAGTTTGGAAATACTGAATACTTCACCCCATATATTTCTCATAAAACAAACAAAGAAACTCAAACTACTCACCTCTCTAATGTTGTGAGAGGCTCTGGTGCTGTTTCCTTCACTGCGAATGTCAATCCTCTTCTGCATTTTGAGTGATTAGTTTTGCCTAATACAGGAACAAGATATCAAATTACTGCAGAACTGCTCTGGTAAAAATCTTCAGCAAATGCATTTAAGTTAAGCTGTATGAATACTTTTCATTCAAACTGTGTAATACATCGTTCTTCATACTAATGCTCTGAGATGAGTGGTTTGCTGCAGAGACGGTTGTTTGCATTCACTTTATCAGTTTTTTCCCTTCACTTCATTGACAGATTCTCACCTGCAAACTGTGAAACCTCATTTGATGCAGCTGCTGAGAACCAAAAGGTTTTGCAGCAACTGGTTTCACTGAAAGACCTGATAGAGTAACTGCTCTGAGAGAGGCACATGGAAATAAATTATAAAACAGACTGCTATGTGAAGCCTATGTGCCAAATAATGCAGAAATACACACCTGCGTGTTTGAGACTGAAGCAGAACATGCTCTCAGAGTAAAACTATAGATGTATAAATGCAGGGTAGGCCTTCATTTCTGGGTTGTATTTATAAAACATTCAAATGGTGTGTGAGAAAAATGCATTCAGTGCGCCCTGTCAAATTTCCCTTTAACCAAAGATATACAGACAGACGGAGGTGTCAGATAAGACTCAATAACAAACTGAGTTACTTGGTATTTTCAAAACTTCCAAATTGAAAACTCTGATGAAACTGAAACTTCTGGTTAGTCTTGATAAAAGGGGCAGTAAGACAAAAACACTCATTAGCTTTAGTGGTAATCATGTGGTAATAGATGGAGCTTACTTTAGAGCCAGTGTGACAGAAATGCATATCAACATACATTGTCATCCTTGTGAGAACTGTATTAAGACAGGCTTGAGGATAGGAACGCTTCACACTAAACTGACCTGATTTAAACTGTTTGAAACTAGTTGGAATATTTTCCACATGAGAAGATCAGGTTTTTTCCCATGTGGTTCACAGTCAGGCTCTGTTCAGTAGATTCTGTAGAAGGTGAGTAACCACAAACTGCTCAGCAGTTCACTATATGTGGGAAAACACCTACACACGGGTTTCAATTGTAAATCTAGTATTAAGCAGTATTAAGAAGTATTAAGAAGACTGAAAGGGAGTATTTTCAAGAGTGTAAAAGTTGGTCTGATTGGTTGCTTATGTATTTTATAAGGAAAAACTCCATCAAAATATGAATGATAGCTATTGGGTTTAACTTTGGGAAAGCATTTGTGAAAATTGTAAAACAAAGTTATTCACAAAATTGGGAGATGGAAAAATGTAAATGCATAGGATGACAAACCTCTTACAAGTCCAATGATATGGTTTGCACTATCAAAGCTCCTATGAGTAGTTTTTGACATATAAGAATACATTTATTGAATTTATACAAAATAGACTGAAATTCTTCTTGATGCTAATGATATAAAAAAATTAAACACGACCATCAGCAACAACACTTGAGATTTCCATATCCTTGTTCTAATTGTCTGAAATCGGTACAAGGGGGTAAGTCAAAGTCCTGCAACTGAAGAAACTGCCAGATTTTTTTTTTTTTTTTCAATTTTCACTAAAAATATTTACAATAATACTACATTTGACGGTGAAAAGCCAGCAGGATGAGATTTGTTGTCATGAACGACAACTTAAGCATGTGGCGGACAAGATGAGTGAAGACTGCTTTGTCCACAGGGGAAGCCAAAATGGACACAAACCAAAAGTTCCTCACAGGAGCTTGAAGTATAGCCACCAGACTTATCAAAGCTTTTTATAAAAGTTATAGTTATAAAGTTCTAAATGTAAGAGAAACTGTACTTCAGGATCTTATTACATGAACAAGAGATGCCTCCAGTGGTTCATATCACACACATGCTATATTAGCTACAATCTCCCTGAAACACTACATATCACCACAGTAAACGTCTGTTTTAGATGACTCATATTTTCTATTGTTTGGTTTTGCATTCGTGACACCTTTCGTGATGATTTGTACCACCAATACCTAGTGGTCTGGTGTGGCCACATGAAATGCTAAATAGAGTCTACCCAGCAAACACTGACGAGAAGAGGATGAGGTTTCTGAGTTTAAGGTTAAAAAAAAAAAAAAAAAAAAAGAAAGAAAAGGATCTATCACACTTTGAAGTAAGTAGTTTATGAACTTTAAAGTTATGGCATTTTTTTCTTCAGGGTCTAATAGCAACATTTTTTTCAAACCTGCTCTGGAGGCAGGTTGTTTAATTCACTCCATTTCTCCAAGCCATTCAGTTGCTGGATCAGACACTTATGAAAAGTATACATACATATACACACACACATACAGTATATATATATATATATATATATATATATATATATATATATATATATATATATATATATATATATATAGACACACACACACACACACACACACACACACACACACACACACACACACACACACACACACACACACACACGTATATATATATTTATATCACTTAAGAGCTGTAAAAAGACTTAGTGGTATCTTGCAGACAAATCCCTGATCCCTAATCCAAATCCCTTACTTTTCTTCACTTATGGGTTGCATTGTGAAATGATATTAATATATATATATATGAGGAAAAACCTTTCTTCTGTTTTGACAGATAACAAAACGTTCCCTTGCTGTAGCCAACATTTGACCTGAATTTAGCATTTTCCATCCAGCCATTCAGTCAGTCAGTCCTGCTTTGTGAAATCCTGACCCTAACCCTGATCCTTCAACATGCGGGGCAACACAACATGTTTTGACTGAGAAACAGAAATGCAGGTAGGACCTTTCAGATTTCTCCAAGGTCAGAAATAAAGTGACTTTTTTATCAAGCATTTAAACCCTGGGAGAAGCTTGCCTTATCAAATTTTCTCAAAGCCGCACATTTTGTTTTAGATTTTAGTGAAGGTCTTAATGCCTTCAAAGGTGCATGATTCAGGCTGAATCATGACGGTTCATTGTCCCACAGTTGATATACTTTTGTCTGACTCAAAGCCCTGTATTTTAGAGGGATGGGAGCTTTATGAGGTTGAACCCACATACACTATCCATAAAAAATAAAATCTGGAGACAGGAAAGACAGCAGCTCTGGTGACAAAAGTGACAGAAAAATAAGTATAAAATGTGTGAAAATCGATGGAACCAGGAGATGAACTCCTCTCTGTCACTTTTAAGTGCTTCATAATTTACATGACATTTAAAAAGGCTGCCAGTAGAACCTTTACCCTGCTGAACTTTTTCAGCAGTTTAAACCGCACACTGTGATAGCAGAGAGGAGGAGGAGGAGGAGGAGGAGGAGGAGGTTTCCTGTTCGCCAGCTCAACAAGGTTAACAGTCCACATCCATATCAGCAGCTCTGTGAGGCAATGGAAATGTTACAGCTACAGTGTGTAGAAATGGGAGTATCAAACGGTAAGAATTTACATACAAGTGCTTAACTGCTCAAAGCTCTTATCAGAGAAACTGCAGTGGCCTTTGAGGACAAGAAGCTGTGAAGCATGACAGAACCAGAACAAAAACACCTAATTTAATTGCAATAACCACAATATTTCTTGGACTGTTCAAGTTTTTTTACTGACTATAATGATGGATGGATATATTAATATCTTGAGAGCCATGAAGCTGAAAGCTTCGAATCAGATTGTCCATTAGTGCATGCATGACACTGCAGTTTGGGTTTGTCTCATCCGTTGCTTTCTACTCACAGACACGCCTTTAACAAACAGGAGGCGTTAATGCAGCAGTGGAAAATAAAAAGCAAACAATCAAACATTAATATTATCAAAATAGACTTTATTCTAGACCTTGAAATCTGAGTGATATTACAACAGTCAGATCAGGAGGCTGCAAGCTGCAACCATGTGAGTGAGAGAGAAAGAGACAAAGGTGTGGGCAAAGACAACACAACAAAAAAACTGCGAATTGGTATTTACATGTTCTGTTATTGTACATCAACAATGAAATCCAATCAGGTTTTTTTTTTATATCTTTTTTTGTTCAATTGGTGTATGTAGCTACAAATAAATCAAGATTACAAAAGTTTTGAGAAGTACAAAACCTTCAAGGACTCTCCAACATAGCAAAGATAGAATGAACATTAGTACTTTTGTAGGAACAAAAATAGCAAACACACTTGAATGCAGTGTAAAAAGCTTCTTGTCTAAAAACAAAACATTATAAAATACCATTCCACTGTCATAGACATCATTGAAATAGTGTCTTTGTAGTACAGTCTGATCACTGCTGACTGTATTAAAGCAAACTTCAAATATAGTCTTTAGCTTCAGTACAAAATTTTTAAAACAACAAACATTCTGAAGGAGACCTCTGAAATGTCCGGTGACATATACGCGCGTGTGTGTTTGTGTGTGTGTGTTTGTGTGTATCCAGCTGTTAGCGAGATGAGACCTGGAATGCCATGAAGTTGGCTTGGTTTTGATTAAAGTTCGAGTAGACCCTTATTACCCAGCATACACTGCACACTTTCTGCATTAGGTCGAGTTTATTATTAAGAGCATTTTAAACAGATGTGTCTACGGTGGCTAACACACCTCCCTGTTTCCCCGTTTTAATCTAAAGTGCAGGAAAGAACCCCCGTTGAAAGGGCTGTTTTTTTTCTGTTTTCTATGACTGTTTAATGGTATTTTATAAAATTAAAAAAAAAAAAACATTCCTCATGACTGCGCCCTCTAGTGATGCTCAAAAACATCACTTACTGTACTTCAAGCGTTTTTGTAAAGTAACTGAAACACCCACTCTTAGCGTAAGAGTGGCTTATAAAAGAATCCCCTGTGGTAGCACAGATATATATTTATATATATATATAGATTTATTTCATATGCATGTTACATTACAGTCATACGCTGCCAGTCTGCCTAAAACAGGAAGCGGACTTGCCTCAAAACGCCACCTCTGAACTCTACAAACAAAAGCGCAGTCTATCGATGCATAGGCCTGAACTCAGCCCGTCTCCAGAGAATAAGTGTGTGTGTGTGTGTGTGTGTGTGGGTGTTTGCTGGACATCGGCTGTCTTCAAAAAAGCTTCCCCTGTAGTTTCACCAAATTCAGTGCTGCACATGAAAGCTGCAAATTTAAAAGCCAAATTTGGACATTTTGGGGAGACTGCATCTACTGTTCGAGGTGACAAACTGTGATATGACCTTGAGTGTTGTCAATAAGTTAAGCAGTGAGCTGAGTTTTCTAAAGGCGCCATCAGAAAGCCTGTGTTCTACCGAGGAAGTGATACTCCATATGATATCCTGATGTTTAATGACCGTGGAGGGAAAACAGGACACAATTAGAGAGGCTTAGTCTGATTACCGTTCAGCATTACATGGCAACAAGACGTTAATGGAGGAAATGAGCAGAATTAAGAGCATTAATTGTTTAGGTAGATGGATGTGAGCCGTCACAGGCCTGGTTTCCTCTATCTCTCTCTCTTTCCAATAGGTCCTACAAACTGTGACTGGCACCAGAAATCTATCTATTCCTGTGCCGTTACCTCACCGCTGACACAGGAGCACAGCCGTCTGTTCGTTTGGATCCAGGAAGTTCTCGGTGACAGAAACCTGAGGCGTTGAAGTCTTTCTGACCAGCACGCAGTATGAACATGAGATCCACACGGTGTTTAACAGCTATAGATTATCTCTCTCAGCCTGAAGGTTTAAGATTCTTTTGAGCTCTGTATTAACCTGATCAACACCTGAAAAACCATTTCTGAGGATAAAAGTTGCGAGGGCAAAGGACTTGTTTTCCTGCTGCTTCATACTTAGTTATAAAAAAAAGCAAGAATGAAACTAATCCATTGAATAAAAATCGGATTGCAGTGATTCTACCTCATTGAGCTGTACATCTGCGTGTTTTAGCCTTCATGAGTGCCTAGAAGTGGACGAATGGATCTCCCAATAAACAGATTGAAACACCCATCCTAACGAACAAACACCCCCTTCCCTCCCCTTCTCTCCCACCCAGCATGAAATATCAAATCCCCACAGATCAGTACAATCCCAACTCAAACTCAACTGTCCACAGGACGCCGGATGCTGACATATGCAATATGCACACACCAACAGAAACCTCGAATGTGTGTGGGGATAAAAAGAGGAAATCAGGGCGGATCCTGGTGTTTTGGTTTAAATGTGATGGGTCCAACAAGTTTGTACAGTGTGGCACAGGAGACGTGTTTCTCCCCTGCAGGTCTGTGAGAGTGGCACACGTGTCAGAACACACCTGTTGCATGTCTGACGCATGTGCACAACAACGGTGTGTGGTGAAGGTGTGTCCTTGTGTGTACACATGAAGAGGTGGAGGGGGGATGCTTGGGGCTCCGTTTGGCTCTAGTGGCGGGCCATGGCACCTGATGGGACTACAGCAGTGTGGCGGACAGGCAGGGACACTCAGTCATTTTGGCTATGTACACATTCGTAGTCGGTCCATGGCTCCCCAAGTCGAGTGTCATTTCCTCAGGTCTAATACACAAACCTGAAAAAACAATATGAAGGAGTCAGACGAAAACACTCTCTCTCTGCAGAGACACTTTCCCACTTCAGTCATCACTTACTTGAGAGTCTAGTCCCTTTGACACTAAAAGCTTTTGCTTGATTTTATTTTCATTTTAAGTCACTCAGAAAGCTTTCAGTCAAGTTATTGTCAAGCACTTTTGCCTTTAGTGCCTTTTTGGGTTGGTACAGCTGACAGAAAGACAGGAAAAGGGATGACGGGAAGTGAACCATCAACTGCTGTGGATGAAGCAGGACTCATCACGCCTCTTGACCGATTCATTTGAACAACAATAAAAATGTCACTCTTGAGTGTCTTCTCCCTAAAGTTCATGGGAGATTGAGTGTGACACATGAGCGGTTGAAAACATGCCGTTCATGCTCGTTTGGAGACATTGCTGCTACACTCCAGCATTTTGACTCTGAAATCCTGAATTCTTTGTCTGATATCCTTGAGGAAAAAACGCTGTAATCTTTTTCCCTCCTGCTACTTCACATGTCCTTCTTTAAGAGACACTCATGTTTGAAGTGTTAACAGAGACACACAGACAGACCCTTCCTGGGTTGAACGGTGTTGACACAAACAGGGACTGAAGCAGTGTGGGGGAATAATCCTAACCCCCCTTAACAAAAAAAAAAAAAAACATTTGGAGAAAAAAGGGACACAGTTTTAATACCAAATAGTAGTTATCATAGGAGGATTTCCTGCTATGATCTTTTATTTATGTTTGCGCAAAGAGCCAAGCAAGGCATGATGAGCATGGATTAAACCTGCTGAGGAAACTCGCTGCGTCTCTGAAAGGACTGACTGCTGTGCTTCCTTTTTTATTTTACTACCTACTTCTACCTTTTTTTGTACTGTAATAGAAAATACGATGTGTTGTTAAAAATACAATGAAATGAAACAAAATTGCACCAGAGGTTTGAAGAGCCTGGATTTCCTTGCTGTTGGACCTTATCTAACCTTAGTTTCAAATCCAGTGCGCTCCAGTTTGGTCTGATCAGCTGTAAGCAGCAGTGGACTGCAGCCATCAGTCCTCTCTACAGATTGTCACTGGTATTAAACAGGAACCTAGCTGACATTCAGATACTTGTCCTTAGACCACCTCTCTGTGTCTCGACTATCAGCTGAAATGAAATATGTCCGCTGCAGCAGGTGCTTTCATCCCAGACAATCTCCTTATCCCTGATACTAAGAGACGTACTTTGAAGAGTGAGTGAGTGAGTGATTTGATTAACCAGTAACCTTTCCCCTCTTCTTTCAGATTTTTCATTTATTCTTCTGGATATTTTTTTAATTGTTTGTGATTTGTAATTCATCAAACAATGAGCAGGGCTCGACACTGCAACCGTTTCACTCACCTTTGGGACTAAAAATAGATGTGTTCGAATTGTAAAATGTATTTAGGGGCACATGTGCGCTTTAAAAAATCTGCTGATGCAACACGTTTTTTCATGTAAATACCGCAGTGAAGTTAGTTTTAGGTCGGATATTCGACAAACATTCTCTGGATCTGCCGCTGTCGTCTCACTCTCAATAACCGGGAATAGCAGCAGCAGTGTGATTAAATCTACTCGGCATCCTTGCTGTCAACGGCTGGTGTTGAATAAGGGACCATCAATAAATTACCAGTTGATGTTCTCAGTAAAGGCTGTTTCCCTCAATAGCTTCCATGTCATGTGACCAATTGACCTAAAACTGATTTCAAATAATAGTACAAAGGTTCGGACAGTAAGACACTCCTCTTTATTTCCCTAATTTGTCCTCTAAACATTTTTGTGTTTAAATGAGAGGTAAATTTTGAACATTTTCTTTAATTGCTTCAATCTCATGTGACCAACTGACCTAAAATTGATTTCAAATAATAGTACTTATGTCGACCAATAAGACACACATTATTTGATCAATTTTCATTGTGTCCCTAAAGTTCTTTGTGTGCTCCTTACTTTTTCAAGTTAGAAGCATGTGCGCTCCTTGTGAAAAAAGTTAGTGTCAAGCCCTGATGAGCGTGGTCTAGACCTGCTCTTTTTTTCTCGGGATGACGACTGTTGTGATTTAGCGCTATATAAATAAAATTTGATTTAATTCATTGACTGATTGACCTTTTGGTAGAAAATTATTATTGATATTTACTGATATTTACCGATATAGATATTTATATTTTCCTAACAGTGTCAAACATTTTAAAACCAATATATTTTTAGGCTCCTTGTTCTTCTCTAAGCTCAGTGTAAGCTTCCATCATAACCCCAACTGCTCTGAAATATCACATCTTTAGTGCACAAACTCACTCAGCTCTCCTGAGATTGTCCCACACTGTGTGTCAAGCACTAAACTTTCTCCCTAACAGACCTCTGATTCTGAGCAGAGGTGTTTAATGGTGTCAGTATGCCCAACAAACCTTGAACACACTTGACTGACCTGCACTTTTTCTGGGTTAGCAGTCTTTTGTCAGACTTACTCAAAGACAAAAAGCTTGAGCTACAGTCAATAGTCACGATGAAGCATGTGAAGCATTCAGGCAGCGCAACTTACCGATCCATCTGACGCGCTGGCTCCTACTTTGTCCCCTGTGGCGTTCCAGCAGACCTCAAAGATCCCTCCTGTCCCCCGATAGCTGTGAACTAAAGCACCAGTCTGAGGGAACACAAACAAACAAACAAACAGCACATGAGCAAAGCAACACGAGTGCATTTATAGAACCTTTGTGTGAATATAATGGTGAGAGATTATAACCGCTGGGGTTGTGATTGAAAGAATTATCCAAGACCTGAGTGTTCCAGATGTGGACACACTTGTCGAATGAGCCGCTGGCAAGGTGCCTGCCGTCAGGGCTGAAGGCCACGCTGTAGACGGGCTCCTGATGGCGGGTCAGTGTGTGGATACACACTCCACGCTCCACATCCCAGAGACGCACTGTTGAGTCAAATGATGCACTACAAAAAAAGGGAAGAGAAGAGAAGAGAAAGCACCTCAATGTTGGGTATCTGTTGAGTAAACTGCAAAGTATCAAACTTGTGATTTAGGAAATAAAAATCCCACATGACAATTTAAAGGAAAGACTCTACTGAAAACATGTCTCAGAAAAATATCAGATAAAAATTCTTTGAACATACCGATCATCTCCCTAATCAATGTTTCTGCCGCTGCTGAATTACGTGCACCGCAACTGAATTTTTACATGATCATTAATATCAATGCGCTACTAATGATTTCAACTCGCACTGTGTGAGCACAACAACACACAAAGTTATTTTCCACTTGTTTTGAGTCATCAACGAGCGCATCAAATCCTGTCGGACCCTCTTCCATTCATGTGAAGGGTCACATTCAAGATTATACACGGTCTACATAGCAAGTAGCGCAGGTAACGTAACCAAATGTGAACGTAACAGCGTAGCTCTATGAGCGGCAAGAGAGTGGGGGTAACAGCAGAAATCCCTGCACCACTGCTTCAAAAATTCCAGGGGAAACACTGCTAGCTAACCGTCTCTGCGGGTCCTTTTAAGTCTATAGTCACCTTATCATGAAGGATACTACAGCCTTGTGGATATTTATTATGATAGATGTATTTATTATAGATGACTGTCAGTTTTTTTCTGCTCAGGATATTAGGGGCTGTTCAGATCAGATGTCTGCTCCTTTCTGCTTGACCCTGTCATTCCTTCAGGCTCATTTGAGCCACTGTGGCATCTTTCACAGGTGCTTTTGAAAAACATTCAGTCTATAAAGGTGGAGACTCACAACCTGTGTTAGCCAGTAGCAGCAGGAGGAACTGTCTCCAAAGATGAAGTCAACAGACTTTTTTATGAGCAGCAGCCCTGAGGTCAGTTATCAAACAGTTTATTGATAAACTTTTATCAGGGAATGGGGCTGCCCTGGAAACGTGAACCATGAAAGAAATCTCTTAAAAGTGATTGTAGATCAATAACTCTGCCGTGCCAGAATCTATTCATGAATATAGGATCACAAAAGGATTTCCAAACAGCAGATTGTCTCTTTAATGTCATAGATTAAGAATGAGGAATACCACACAGTGTTTGTATCTTAATAAAAAGAAGTCCATCTAACATAAGAAGTCAAATTAGAAATGGGCAATATGGGCTAAAAAATGTATCATGATAAGTTTTGCCATTCTGGCGAGAACAATCAAAGTCCCGATAAAAAATATTATAAATCCTATCCATGTTTTTGACTCATTCTGTCTCAGATACTTAACCACAAGTTTAAGTGGTAGGTTATAGAGAAAACTAATGAAATGTTAAACACTTCCAACATTCACTGAAAACTCTTATTGCACAGCGTGAACAGCAGCAGATCCACTGTCCGATGTCAGACAAACCCCAATCTTGCTCTGTGTGGATTACGGCTGCAAGTCCGCTGCTAGCACTTGTTTATCGTGGGATGGCAAATATTTAACATGGAGGAATTTTCTGACAGAATCAGAAATACTTGAATAATCCCCAGGGGGAAATTGCTTTTGTGACAGTAACTCCAGTGCAAATACAGTAGAAAGAGGAGATAAATAAATAGATAAAATAAGTAAAAATAAAGAAATATTTAAAATATGCAATATGTATACAGTAACGATCATTTATCGTCCATCCCTAAGTCAAATAAACAGGGATTGAATAAGCTCTCTCTTCAGGGAGAGGCTGGTGTTCAGGTGGTGCTCTGTGCTCTTACCTGGCCAGCATGAGGTTGGCGCTGGGGTTGTTGGTCCCGGGGCCTGTAGGGCTCCACTTGATGGTGTAGATTTCTTTACTGTGGGCTTGGAGGTCATGGACACACGAGTCCTGCTTCATACTCCATATCTATAACAGAATAAGACAAGCCAGCCAGCCTTTACAAAGCAGATCAATAAATCTAATCCAGATTTGTTCTGAAGAAGACCCACTGTGTTTGTGGGTATCTTGGCCAGTTAATAACATGCTCTACACATGTAGCAGGGTCTTCTCTGTACTGAGGAACTTTTGCCATCTTTCATGGCGGTTTTAGCCTGTGCCAAGGATAAACCACTAGTGCCAAAATGAAAAGAAATTACAGAGACAAGAATGAATCAAATCCTCTCAGCCTGTCTTTAAAGGCAATTTATTAAAAAACTGCTGAAGTAGCAGAACACAAACCACTAACTGGATCTATTACTCTGGGATGTCAGAGTCCTTCTTTTCTCAAATGCTGTATTATACACACATGCAGCTGCTTTTGTATAAGCTGTGGCATTTTGACAGAGCCTGGGGGGTCTAGCTGGCATCAACAGGAGCAAGAAGTCCTTGTCTTTTTTCATTAAAAAAAAAACACTATAACCCTATAAAAACCACAGCAACCATCACTTTTGCCACCTCACTGCTGCTCTATCTGTCTCATGGATGTATGGAGAGCTGCAGGTTGGTGTCTGTTTGACAGAGTGCCTGGCGCTCAGCCCGAGCAGCATTCACACACAATCACACAATCTCTCAATTCTTTCTGAAAGAATGTGTAGAGGTGTTGTCCCCTAACCAATCGCTACACATCAGGGATAAAAAAATAAATAAATTGAAACCTTTGTTTCTATGAGATAAAATCAAGTCTAACCTGTTCAAGTATATTTACAAACCACATTAGCATTTTCTTAGTTCATATAAGATTGCCGTTAGCAATCAACAAACCAGTGTAGTGACTCTACACACCTGCACTGCAGTATCAAAGAGAGAGAACATGAGCAACAACATCACAGCTTATACCTCTCCAGGATCTTTTTTATTTTTTTTTACTGCCAACTGTTCTTTGAGTTGTTTTCTAATACTAATGCAACTTTGGTATCTGGTTGAGGTACATTTTATGTCCTTTCAAAATAAAAGCATGCTTACTTTTAAAAAGGAACTACAGGAGCCTAAGTTATGGCAGTACTAAAGAGAAAATAATTTAGTGATAGGTGACCTATTCTGAAAAAATCCGACTGTATATTAACTATAGAGCTGTGGGTGGAGTGTCTGGGTTGTATTTACATTCAGCCATTGACAAATCCCACTACATGTGTAAGAAAGACTTTCCAGTTCATCCATCTTTTTCAAATTGAGAATTACATTTTTTAGTCTTCTTACCATAACATCACTGAAATTTATGAAATGACGAATCTGAAATTGTCTATCAGAAAAAGTAACACAAACCTTTGGTGTCTGTGGTGTGAGTGGACTCAAAATGCTTACAGCTGTGATTAGAAGTTTCCCAAAGGCCCACTGTGAGCTGGGAAAACCCTTGTAAGTGTTGTGTGGACTAACCTTCAGTGTCATGTCATCAGAGCAGGAGGCCAGTAGGCTACCAGTGGGATCCCACTTGATGGCGTTTACCTCGTTCTACATTGAGCACAAGAATACAGCATATCTTTACTGACAAACAAAGGGAACAACGGGATTAACAAAAATATTGCTGACACTGAAATAACAGAGTTATGTAAGGCAGGTCATGACTTTCATCAAAAGCTACACTGACTCAGGGCCAGAATGTTTATCAGCTGTTCCACAGAGCTTCAAGAACCAGTGTATTATTAGTTCAGAGGAGGGTTTCCGTGTCCCTGTCACACAGTAGCTCCCACAAAAGACTCCTGTCTCACCGTGTGTCCCTGGAAGGTCTTGACAGGTCTGTCCTGACCGAGCTTACACACATGGATGCACATGTCTGTGCTGCAGGAGGCAAATGTGTTGTTGCTCTGCCAGTCCACATCCAGAGCAGGAGCTGTCGGGAGGCGGGGGGACAAAAAAAAAAAAAAATCTCATTTTCACACAAATCTGATTATCATCTATAACTATACTCTTGGGTTATATTCTTTGTCTATGATAGAGATGGGTCTCCCTTCTCTGTCACACTCATTTCAAGCAAATGGCATATAACTGTATATTTTATATATAAGATAGGTAGAGAAGAATATAGCAGTCAAAATGATCAGTCTCAATATGAGGAGATATAACTTTTTATCGTCTCACAAGAGTTCAGCAAAAGTTTACATCTGTCTGAAAGCAGAAAGACTCCTGAGTGACATGTAATGTGGAACAATGCAGCTGACTTCTGTCACTCACCCGAATGGAAAGGGAATTGCTGTTTTGCCTCTCCTGTGTGGGCGTCCCAAATAATTGTAGTCTGTATTAAAAAAAAAGAGATTTTCATTGTTTGTTAGTGCTATGTAACAAGATTTTTGCCTCATAGGAAATCAAACACAGAAAAAGTGCTCTGGTCATCATAATTAAAAAGTCACACTCAATCGACCTGAATGATGTGAACGGATAGAAGAGGTTGTATTTGGGTAGGGTAATTTATCAAACATATCTAAGGTCTTTTTTTACAGCTCAGAGAAACCCAAGAGTAAAACTGCAGAAGGTGACACAGCATGTTATAATATTTCTGAACACTAGATGGCAATGTTCAACCATGTCTATGAATTGCTGTCATTGTGTGACAGAACGTGAGCATGTCTGCCTGGTTTGCTTTGCCTTTTAAGGCAAAATTGATTGAAAAAAAATATATATCATATATTCATGTGTTTATCTAACATCAACCAAACTACACAGACCACATCTGTTTTATACTGCAGCTGTGGGACCATCCAAAAAAACCTGTAAAAGTCATATTTAAAGGAGCGATTTATGAGATTACAGGCATAAATCCCTCAAGGACAAATCAAGATGACGATAGCTAAAAGCAGAGTTTGGTTGCAATTCCCATGAATTTATTAGTACCATTGAAATTTTTACATTTAAGTTTTTTCATTTAAAACTAATGGAAAATATACAAACTGTGTTTCCCAGTCAATAAGCTGCTGCTTTCATGAAACACAGTTGTTCATCTTACCCTGCAGCTGTAAAAGCATTTTTTTCCCTAGCCAACCTCTCTTTTCAAACTGATATCTGTTAGAATCATCCTGTAGTGTGCAACATCTCGCCTAAACACCTGGTTTCCATGGTGATTTGACACATTTCAATACAGGTCACTCTAAATAAAGAATAAGCTGCTATCTGACAAGGTCACCCCTGCAGCGTTCATCTCACGTATTCAACTCTAAAAGGCAGAATTGAAATCAGCGTGTCTTACTTTGTCGACACCAGCGCTAAGGATGAAGTTTCCTTTCTTATTCCACTTGAGTGCAAATATAGGACCTTTATGCTGACCTAAAGTGCTGGCCAGGTTGCCTGCAAAAAAAAAAAACTTAATTATTTCAGACTAAAGAGCAGTTTTTCAAACAAAAAAAGGCAGGAATTATAAAAACCTGAAAATACCGAGAACATATGAGCAATGGAAAATTTTGAAGCTTGGAGGAGGTCTGGAAAAGAACATGTCAAAAACACTGGTGCTCAACTTGTTTAAGTGTCTTAAAAATGGCCAAAACCCCAATGGAAAACTTATTTAAGACACCAGGAACGTGGTTTTTAGAAGCTATGGAGCTCTGGAAACTTTGGGGGATGAATTACAGCAATCACTGTCTCCAACTGACATCTTACTGATAGGATATTCATGGCCATACTAGAGGTTAACATCCCTTTACACCATAATGCTTACTGTATATTGGTGCCATTGTATTTTGATGGATGGAACATTAAAAACATGCTATCAACATATGACAGGATTCCAATACAAGTATGGAAAGTATGCAAGTAATTTGATCAATTTTATAGGTCTTCAAAAAAAAAAAAAAAAAATATATATATATATATATATATATATATATATATATATTTAGGTTTCCAGTGGTAACACAGTTAAAAAAAATTTTGTTTTCTAAAAAAGAAAAGAAGGTATTTCCAAAAATAATTCTACAAAGTGGGGTATGGACAAGTATGGACAATCCAACTGTGGAGGAACCCTGATATAAGCAAATCAGCCATCAACAGCTAGCTAAAATGTGGACACCTAGCTCTATGGATGGATAGTTATGTACAAATACAAATGCCAACTCTCTGTTTTCAATGTACAAATGTGATGACACTGCACTGATCTCAATACAGAATCTATGTAAAGTCCTGGAGGTAAAAAGTCAACATGTTTCTTAAAGGAAAGGTGAGGAAAAGAAAAAACAACAAAATGCAGCAAGTACAAATTCTCAAAGCTATGATGCAGAGGAAGCTCCGAGCCTCACCGTCTTTCGTCCATATTCGAGCAAAGCCGTCGTATGAGCCTGTAGCTAGCAACGTCCCCTCGCTCTGAAAGAAAGAGAAATATTTTCATTGAGTTTGATCTCGGTTAAGCTGACTTTATTTGCTAATTGTGCCACAAGTGGATTTGAGCTTCCTGATTTTTTTTAACAAGACTGATCTAAATGAGAAAATACTCGCTCTGATTTGGCAGCATTGTGTTTTCACTCAAACACATCAGGGAAAAAAAAAAGAGTTTTCAGCTGAGTGGTGTAAAAGACCTTTGGCTGCGTGGGAGTGAATCACCCGCAAATATATAAGTTCGGAAGGAATGCCTTAAGCAAGAGCTGTGGTCCAACACACATGCACGTACAAGCACACACACACACACACACACACACATTTTGCAGGATTGGATTACTTAAAAACTGCACTCAGCGGAAACAGACACACAATCATACAGTTTGACTACACGCAGACTCACATTCCAGTCCAGTGAGGTGACGTCTTTGTTGCTGGGTACGTCCTGGCCTCCTTCCCGTATGCAGTGCCTCAGAACCAGCTGAGTGGATCCGCCTGTGCTGTTCTCACTCAGGTTCCAGATCCGTGCTGTTGAGTCCCCGGACCTGCTCCAGACAACACACACACACACACACACACACGAAAACAATCCATCATCAGGCACACAATACAGCTTTCATTTGAAAAATCAGCTCTGGTTTAAAACAGAGCAGGGTTAATGTCTGAAAGAAAAACAACTGAACCCAAACCGAGTGTCAAACCTCAAAGCTTTTTAAAGGCCTGTCAAAGCTTTTATCTTCTGAAAGAGAAATATCTTTTTACAAGCGCAGATCTCATTAACTTTTAAGTGGGTTGTGAGGGTATTTGACCCTCATGCAGCTTCTCTCAAATTAAAGGACTGCAGCGCGAGACGCAGATCTTCACTTAATTTCCATTCTCATTTTGAGAGGTGTGCCCTTGATAGAAGGCAAATGTTGAATATTAAATATCTCGACGAACACTCACTTCTGAAGGATTGTCTTTGTGTTTTAACACACTCACACAAACCAAACTGTTGCTTTGGGCAGGAGAAGGTTTAATCACATTTAAAAGATAATGACTTATTCTAGTCTGTCATTTATTTATATTTGGCAGAGTTTAATCACTGCTTCCTACTGACAGACAGTGAAAGACTCGTGAATAAAAGCTGTACTGGAAACCATCATGAATCTGAGGCTGTTCAGTCTTAACTTGACTGGTTTATCTGTTGAGTCTTTTTGAGTAAGACCCCCTGAGTCATTCTGTTTTTCTTTATGGATAGTAAGCCTTCAGTCATGAGATTTTCCTGGAAAAACGTTGGATCATCAAATAATGCAAACCATGGTTCTCTCCATAAACAGGGCATTGAAACAGATTCCTCTACATCTGGAGGGGGATACTGTCCTGACACAACAATGACTTAATTCAGCAAATATTTGATAAGTAATGTTCTGTGAGGAGAGACTCATAAAAACAAGCTTTCTATCTGTTCTGCTTCAGTTTCTTCCAAAAAAGAGGAACAAACTCTATTTTTAACTAGGGCTGGACGATAAACGGATAATTTACAAATATCAAAATTTACGACAATAACCGACATCATGTTGGCCATTTCGGTATATTCTGTGTCAAAAAACAAATAAATAAATTAAGTTGGTTTTGGATGTGTGTAGGTAGGCTACGGTCTCTTGTCCACTGTCCTACGTCAGAGACGTGAGTCCACCGCATCCAGTCCGTAACAAAAAGGGAAAGACAGGTGAAGAGATGGAGGACGGTTCAAAAGTTGTAGTAGCTGGAGTGGCGGCTGAAGTAGACAAAGTTATTGTGGGAGGGGGTGAGCAGCTTGTGGAGTAGTTATCGTCCATTTATCGTTATCGAGGTGAACTGCACGATATATTTTGTGATATCGATCTGAGGCCATATCGCCCAGCCCTATTTTTAACCCTGAAATATTTTGAAAAGAAGCCAGCAAAGTGTTTTAGAACGAAAATCAATTAACCAGGCAGTAATTACAACAGCTGTTTTCAAGTATTTTTAGATCATTACAGTTAAAGAATTTAAAGGAATCATATGCTAAATAGTGACTGATTGTGTTTAGGTCCAGATGACACTTTCTTTGATCCTTTACAAGAAGAAGGTGATGTTGAGGAGATACTGACCCGGAGGCGAGGAGGTCGTTCACCGGGTTCCAAGCACAGATGAAAACTTCAGATTCGTGGCCCCTCAGGACCATGGCTTTACTTTGGGGGATCTCCACATCTCTGTCCACCTCCATCATCTCTGAGTGGTGATCTTAAAGGGGAGAAAGAGAAAAAAAACCTTTAACCCAACAGTATTCATTCACTTCTATCCCAATACTGTGAAGTCAAATTCCTACAAACAGCATTTTGAAAGGTTACAGCATGAAGAAGTTGGAATGCCTTCAGTTTTGTTAAGTAGTAAATGAGGTTTTCATTCTAATCTGGTGTCCATTTCAATAATGGAGGAGATTTACAAGGACAGTCTGACTTCATCGTATTTTATGTAAACCAGAATAGGCCTACAGCAGTGCAAATGTACGTCATAGTCTGATCTTTCAAACTAAAACAGAATGTTGATGCCACAGCTTCTCAACAAGACCGCACTAACTGTTTCTGAACTGAGTGACCACAAGCATCAACAGCTGACAGCTGTGGATTTTAAGAGTGAGCCGAGCTGTTGTTGAATGACCAACAATGTTTGTACCAAATCACTGCTTGTCCGCACACAGGAACTGTACAAGTGAGAGTCATCTGTAGTCTGTGAATCTACCCCCGAGCAGCTCTCTGTTATTTGATTCTGGTGTGCTATCTTGATGGTTGGGGAAAGCAGGGGGTTTAAAAGGGAAAACCCCAAAATCAGATCTTTCCTTTTGTCCTTTTCCGCTAAACAAACAGCAGGAAAGCGAGGAAAAGGAGAGTTAGGACAGAGAGGGTTCTCCACATGCACAAGAAAATGATGAGGAAACATGTTCGGGTGTGGAAAAAGAAAACACCAGAGGAGTTTTTTATCATGCCAAGCCAGCCACAGACCTTTACCAAAGAAATCGCAAAGTTCTGCTGCAGCTGTCGTGAGAAAGGCAAATGGCTGTCACACATGCACACACACACGCACACACACACACAGAAGTAGTTAAGCCTTCACATGACCCAGTAAGAGCTCCACATGGACCATGCTCTGTGGCATCAATGACCATCTAACAGATTGGTCCTCCACATGGTAGACACACACTTTTGTGAATTCATTCCTTGGAGAGACTTTGGTGTATGAACCTTAGACCCTCAGGGGATAAAATCCCAGAAAAGTGAAATAACACAAGACAGCTGTATCTTCAGCATGTTGTGCGATAGCAGAACAGATGATCATGCAGACACAAGTGGACAAATGAGAGCAGGACTGGGGAGAGGAGAAACTATGAGTGTGTTAGTGTGAATGAGTGTGTGTTGAAAAGCTAAGAAACAGATTAGCGCAATCTAAGAGAATGTAGCATCACATCTAATGTAGTCTAAAACAGCACCATAGAACAAGAGCATTGAACAATAACATAGGGCTGGGCGATAAAACAAAAATTTACTGATACCGAAATTTATGACAATAACTGACGTCATTTTGCCAATATCAGTATATTCTTTGTCAAAAAAACTATTTGATAAATGAAAGTTGGTTTTGGATGTGTGAAGGTAGGCTATGGTCTCTTGTCCCTTTAAGACGCTGTCCTACGTTGGAGACGTGACTCCACCCCATCCAGTCCGTAACAAAGAGGGAAAGATAGGTGAGGAGATGGAGGTCGGTTCAAAAGTTGGAGTGGCTGAAATGGGGGCTGAAGTAGACAAAGTTAATGTGGGAGGGAGTGAGCAGTTTGTGGAGTAGTCATCGTCCATTTGCTGGTAACCTCTATTGACCCCAATCAATTTCAAACAAAGTGAAAAAAGTGGAAAACTGTCAAAATACGGCTGTCGTGGTAACCGCAGAAATGAAATACTCTGGTATCAACAAGCCAACCACAGAAGAACCACACAACTGCAGCTGTCTCATCACCTCATCCCAACTCATGTTTACTTCTGCATTTCTGAGAACAATTCAACAAACAGCTTAATGGAAAATGAAAACCAGCTAACCTAGATGAGGCAATATTTAAATTCAGCGCCAAAACGATCTATTTGAACTAGGAAAGAAGAGGAAACACACCACATTTAAGGGGAAGTTTACATTAAGCTAGCAAGTTAAAGCACGGAGCCTAGCAGCTCGTGCCAGCGTCAGCTGACTGCTCGGAGTTGTTGGAGCCCTTACCGGAGTTTCCAAATACAACACTGAAAGTAACTGGCACAAATGCCTCACTGATGCTGTCACACAGGATGAGAAGATGGTGACTTTTCCACAATGGAGAAACGGACAGTCAGTCAAGAGCTTCAGAAATTTTTAAAGACAATGAGGTCAACAATCCACCTCCCTTCCTGCTGCTACAGAGAGGGTCCTCCCAGTGAAAGATTAAACTCAAAATATCCTTCAAGATCCGTGGATTACCTCAAACCAACAAAGGAGTGAACCGCAATCAATGAAGGCATGGTTTAGATCATTCCTCTTTCTTAAGTAAGCAACATCAACTTCAATGATGCCTGTGGTTGGAATTCAGGCTCTAATGATCCAGATCATTTGGCTCTGCAAGAACCCACACTTTCCACTCTCGAAGAGCTCTTAGAGCCACATTTTAGAGCTGGGTCCTTCGCCACAAGATTCTCCTTTCACTCCTTTATTGGTCTCACAAGGAGAAAAGCATGAACCCCCCACCTCAGCATACTGTTTCCAGTCACAGTGCTACGTTCCTGCAGTCAGGCCAAGTAGGCGAACGCAAAAAACATTGAGCAAAATTGAAACTGAAGTAGGATTTCCAAATCATGGCTGAACAAACATCCACTTGAGCAGATAATCAAAAGAAACGCTAATAACTAACTGTTACTAGATAAACAGACCTGTGCAATAGTACTGCATACTGCATACACCATCCCAGCTCTGCTCTTTCTATGGACTAATATCAAGGTGTCATCTTGGCTGTCTGGCAATCACCTTCTTTTATCAATCAACAACTTCTTTAAATGCTCATCTCGGAGAAGATATATGCTATTACTGAGGTGACTCTAAGACAAGATATAGAAGTCAGGCCCATTGTGACACCTAATGAATTTCTTTTCACTAGAATGAACAAAAACACATGTTGTGAAGGGATGATTCAGAGATCGCTCGCAGCCATGAGCTAGCTTACTGGCTAAGGCGTGGGATCCGTTTTCCTCCCCGTTGGCAGCCCCCTCCCCATTCTTGGTGCTTCCCTGGGGCCCTGAGCTGCTGCCACTTCCTGCTGCCGCCTGCTGCTGCTGAGCCAGCTTGTCCCTGTAGGCCTGCTGCCTTGTCTGGACTACATCTGGCATTACAGCATCGATGAGGGACAGCGACTCGATAGGCCGCCCGTCAAACAAGGTCCCATCCTGCAAGAGACGACATAAAGACTCATATTGAAGTTCAGTTCTCCTCTCTGATGAATTAAGTTTTCTTGTTATCCCTAAAATAAGTTCTGTTTTTTCTTTTTTGTCTCTTCACTTTTCTTTCTTCATCTTATTTATGTATTGGTTTATTTTTCAACAAGCAAGAGAGAATTAGAGCTACTGTATGGATGAAGTGTAGAATGATTCTTATGTAAGTATATGTCTAAGTTCAAAATGGAAAATGGAAAAGTAACTAATAGTGGATCCAGAGTCAATCAAATCAAATCAAAATGTCACATTTAAACGTCTCTCTCTCCACCAGATTGACTATAAGTTAACTCTGAGTTGAATATGCAGCTCTTCCTGCACTGATGAGGAGTCTGACCTCATTGATGCTGACTTCAGCCTCCACATACTGCAGGCCCTTCTGGATGATGGAGATGAGGGCAGCAGGGGGCACCAGGGCTCCATTGATGTTGGACTGGCTGATGTGGCTCTCTATGCCAAAGGTGAATGCTGAGTGGGAGAAGCCTGGAGGAGATGTGGGTAATTTGGAAACAGAACGGAGATAAAGTTCATCGCACTGGAGTCAAGAGAAAGTGTGAATAAAATAACATTTAACATCTTTACGTAAAGGAGGAGGAGGGAATGCGGTTGCTGTTCTGAAAAGTGTTGGACAGGAAAGATACTCTGTTGGGCTTACCTGACTCTTGCAGGTATCTGTAAACCAGGAAGTTGACCTCATCACTGCTTATGCTCATTTTGAGTCCTGGCAATTAAACCATTGGGTCAGCACAGGATAGGAGCCTGTAAAAGAAACCACAGTGCGGCCTTATTTAAAGAGATGATGGTATTATTCACCATAAAACTGAGCTGAAAGGAGGCTTGAGTAATATCTTCATCACTCAAGAGCATTAACATCCCACAGGAGCATTAATGGATAGTACAAGAAGGATGACATGCAGGGGCACTGAGCCAGGTGTAATAGAGAGCTGTCTCTCCCCCCCACACACACACACAGGATGGTGTTTCACTACAAGCTAGCATCATAGCTCATTACCAAACTGGCACACACAATGAAAACTGAGAAGAGGAAGAGGTTAAAAAACCATCACCTGGCTTAACCTACATCTGATACTTCTAAACAGATAAGTACACAAACTGTGATCTACTGTTCAGTGAATAATAACACTTCATTCCTCAGGACTTGTGTTAGCTGCAGGAGCCTCTTGGCTCCAGGCAGGGCACTAGTTTCCATTCATTAACCTACAACTGGAAATAATTACCAGGCATGTTTCAGGCGGGCTATTTGGGCCTCAAACGTCTGGAATAGATGGGCTTAAAACCTCAGCAATAATAGATCCAGCAGTGCTTATGCAGAACCCACACTGTTTAAACGGCCTGTGGAAATAAACAAGGGGTCTGGACGGGGGACAGAACTTCTACTGTTTCCATCATGCCAGCCCGCTGAAAAAGTCAACAAGCCTCCTGCCGCATCCCAGCGGCTTAGATCCAAGACCAACTGAACAAGAGGCCTGGAATCTGGTAGAGGCCTTTCAGCTATCCTAACAAGGAGGTCAGAAAAATCCTTATAGCTCAGATTTCTCACACACTGAGACATATGCTGCCACCAGAAATCAGCAAATGCTTTTCAAGTGAGGAATTAAGAAATTTGTTTATATTGATGCTGATGGTGAATAATGATTTTCTGCTCAAATACAGTCAGATAATAAGAGTGCATTTAACACTGCACAAAACATGTTCATGTTCTCATAATGTGCTTGATATGTGTTCTCTATATTCTATCAAAACAGAGCTCAACACAAACCAAAGCTTAATAGTCCTTGGCCCGCAAGAGTGACAAAAGAGATTACATGTGGGTGGTTCACTGTGACCACAAATTAACCTCCTACTGTAAGCTTTTGCCAACACACTTTTAATGTACTGTTGACATCCTGATTAACGCACACTTGCATTGAAATGCTGCAGCAGAAAGTGGGCTTGGTATAGAGGAGAAAGACTGAGGCTGTGGAAATACCTCGCTTTATCACCTCTTGTCTTGGTTAAGACACCTTCAGAGAGACACAAAATGTGGGAGCAGAGTTGGTAAAAGGTTGTGCATCCAATCACGCCATGGCCAAGAACTGACCTTATGACCGCTGCAACAACTGTCTTCTCTGTATAAGCTCTACCAAATGAGCTAAACTGGCGCTGCACATCCACAGGTGACACTAGGGCAGTGAACAATGTCAGAGCTCAACTATGAGAACAGATCAAGTGTTTGATGTCTTAAAAATAGGGCTGGGTGACATGGCCTCAGGTCAATATCGCGACATATTGAGCAGTTCACCTCGTTAACAATAAATAGGCGATAACTACTCCACAAGCTGCTCACCCCTCCCACATTAACTTCGTTTACTTCAGCCGCTACAACTTTTGAACCATCCTCCATCTCCTCACCTGTCTTTCCATCTTTGTTACGGACTATGTGGGGTGGAGTCACGTCTCCAACATAGGACAGCATCTTAAAAGGGACATGAGACCATAACCTACCTACACACATCCAAAACCAACTTTTATTTACTTATTTTGTTGACACTAAATATACCGATGTTTTGGTATCTGTAAATTTTGGGTTTATCGCCCAGCCCTACTCAGACATGATGTCCAGTACTTGATTGCTTATGAGCATCAGCACTGATCAATAAATCTTAATAAAAGGTGGTTACATACACACAACATATTGCTTCTGGAAGAAACACACACTGTGTCTCCCATAGGTGCAAGAGTTGCTCATGCAAAAACCACATCCTTGCCTTGCTGCATCAAGTTAACTTGTTTGATGGGACAGCCTGGAGTCAAGTCAAAGGAGAATGCAAGTTGGACCTGGACAGACAAGTAAACTGCTACCTTCAGCCAATTTTCAAGCCTTTGGAATGAATATTTAATAATCCTCAAACTTGCGAAGATTCAACACCTGGACATTGCAGTCAGTCTCACTAGGAAGGCTCAGGCAGATAAGGAGAGCTCTGAAGACATTAAACTCATTGACACCAGTCTCACATTACCACAACTCCAGACTACATTTGAACTGTGCCAACAGAGATCTCACACTCTGTGAACCTGCATTCCTTTTCACATGACTGACAACGAGGCTTGGTACGTTCTTGTTCAAGAGGCAAAACAAGTGAAATTCAACATACATTTAGAACTTCGAGCGCACTCTTGCATAAGCAGCAGTAGTCTGGTGATCCTGGTTTGCTTTTGTAGGCTGTTACATACTGGCATTTCAAGGCAGGGTATTTATGTCACTGTTATGTCTCATATGCAATTTGTGACGCACAGGGACGTAATGGTGGTGTGAAGTTGTTCTGCCTCTGATCCTGTCTCAGAGGTAGTATCAGAGGTGGAATGGGGGGAAGAGAGCGGGGATGTGGAGCTGATAGGGCAGAACTGCCCTGTGCATGCATGCATATCTAAGTGTGTTGCATATCCAGCACTCCTGTTATGTGTTTACAAGCCGTGCCTCTTACATTCTAGAAACACTGTAATAGGATGTGAAATCACCCACTGGGTCAGTAACATCACAGCGTAACAGGGTGTGATGTGCAAGTACAAAAACTTGGTGAGGGTGGAACTATGTTTTGATGCTGATGCAGACTTGCAATGTGTAAGAGGCGTATGTCTCATTCCTGGTTGGTTTCTATGCCACTGAGGACCTTGCTCCGTCCCTCGTTACAGATTTTTCCTTTTCAGCAACCAACCTATGATTACTACTATTCAACCTTAAACAAGTCATTAGTATTGATTTATGGTTACAGTAAGTGTCAAGCAAATATTGTTAGGTAGCTGTAGAAGTAAAACGATAGATGTGTCAACAATATTAGAGAGAACGCTACGCAGTGAAGACATCTCTCTAATAAATAGGCCCAGAGGAACACTTTGATTTCAAGAACACAATAAAATAACACCTTTGTTGTGTGTCCTCTGCTAAAGGATGATAGGTGATCATTGCTTCTGTCCTTGGATATACTTTTAACATGAACTCACTCTCTCAAAATGATATTGCAGAAACAACATATGCCACTTATCCTTATCTTAATATTGAGACCAATGCATGCATGATTTATGAACAAACAAGCCTACAGGTTATCAGTAGCCAAAAAATACTATTTTGAGGAGTATGTGACTCTAAATGTTTTTCTTGGCTGTCCAGTGTTTGTACAGTACTCTCTGAGTACCAGACACTTGCTTCTCTTTTTGACTCCAAATGCTACAATGTTACATCATAAGCCTGAGAAAGGCAAAATAATATATATTCATTAGGAGAAATGACATGTATGGATAAAATATGGATGAGATACACTACCCATGTGATCGAGATATCTTCAGTTGTGCCTCATGGCTCTGCCACCCATAGCAAGAACTCTGAGCTCCTAAGAGAGAAAGATAGAAATTAAATGCATATCCCAACCCCTGAATTACACCTCACTTACATCAGGATCACATTACATTACAATTATATGGTATTTGCTCTGTTATGGTTGCATTACTGTCCATAATGTCAACAAAGTCTGTCTGTCTTGCTTTAAACTCATCTTGACCTTCAAAACACAGCATCATTTTTTTAACGATGTTTCTCAAGCAGGGTTCAGCTGTGCGAACCCGATTTGATCTCAGTCATTAACTTACAGAGAATATTGTTTCTCTATCAGTGATGTGACAAATTACCTTGATTAGAGCAGACAGTTTAGCAGCTGTTTGTCAATGTGTGGGTGTAAAGGCAGCAAAGGGAAAGTGCTACGAACGAAGGGGCGTGTCATTTCACAAAGGACAGAAACAGGGTCAGCAACATAATAAGCCATAATAGATACACTGACAAATATCACTTGAAGAGAAAGCAGATTTTTTTTAACTATACATCAGGACAGTCTCTTAAACTAAAAGTGCCACAATAGGTCAACTTGTATTGTGTTTCAGCCTGCGATCTCTGGCTGAATCTCTCACTCATTCTTAAATTTCCTGTGTAGCCATTTGAGAATAAAGGCATTTTGAGAGCTATTGGGTCTGAATGAGTTGTGTTTTCTTAAGTCTGCTGCTCCAAGAGAATTCAGGAACATTACATGAAAGCCAATCCGCCAGATGCTAATAGTGCAAGAAAGCATGGGAAGCCCCCCTAACTCACTCTTAATAGGTGGACACTACACTTGCTTTGTTAATCTCCACACAGTTCAAAACAGGGGATCACTTGCCCCATTTGGACGCAAGTAGTTGATGCAATGCTTTAAAACTCATACTACTAATAATAATAATAAATAATACAACACATTTGACCAAACCCACAGCTACGATACATGAACTCTACTCCTGATGTGTGGAGGTTAGCTTACAATTGTCCACATGTCCCGAGTCTCTGAGTGTATGATCGGATAAAACAGAAACGATTAATATCGGTAATATGTCTATTACCTGTTAAATGAATACATTGTTTTATATTTGCATTTGCCTGTGTGATTTATGTAAGAGGAACTTTGCCCTTTAAAGCCCATTTAAACACTGTGCCCACCCTGCGATGCCATAACTTGGTAGCGCTAGCTTCTAGGCTAACATGCGACTTATCATTAGTTTTGCCTTGACGGCGGCTGAACCCGTCACCACACATGCTAGTCCGGCCAGTCGACTTAACACAGCCATAATGTAGGGGTCATTTAGAACTGCTCATCAGCGATTGACTGCAGAAAAATTAGCGTCTTTGATAAATCAAATCTGCTGTGTGGCATCAAATCTACAGTTTGCTCCACTGTTAACCTGCTAACAAGCTAACTAGCTAGCTTCGCGGCTAACACTGGCATGCTATGCTAATGACAGTGTTGCTATAATCTCGTACCTACTTGGAAAAACCTTTCAATTGATGATATCTTCCACAGCTCGTTTGTTCGAGTTATACCATGTTATCTTTTTAATCGCTAACTCAGAAAGATAATTTTCGCATAAACATTAGTATCGGTAGGTTATAATATTTAAACTGAAGCCAGGCGGTAAGAAGCCAGCAACGGCTTCAGACATTCGACACAGTGAGCTGACCTGTCATGCGGAAATGAGCTGCCGCCTGTAACTACTGTTGTTCCAAAGCGCCACTCTGAAGCTCAATGTAACGATTAACCCGTGACTATTGGCTGCATAGAAGATATTTTCGTCCACTCTATCGACTTTGTTCAAGTGTGATGGATAAATTATGCCTGAGCACATGCCAAACATGATGCACATAGAAACAGCGTTTTAAATGCCAACTGAGCTATATTGTGACATTAAAACGGTGTATCGGGTACTAACCTATTTTCCAAAAGCACCTAACAACACGCTGTAGACTGCCACAGCTGACAGACGTCTTCAAATGTTGTTCCAGTAGTGCCTCCGCTCTCTTTGACAGATTCACGTCAAATTGGATCCTTGTTCGTCGGCGGAACCGACCAATGAGGTGTAACAGAAAAATATGCCGAGGCCTTTGGAAGTTTGTCCCGCAGCCAAGCACCAGTCATAACAACTGTGTCCTCGCCCATCCCCCACTACACCTCTTTTTCGCTTGCCGGGTCATCACTCGCCATGGATTAATGACACCCCACCCCCTATCCTTTGCTCAGTCATTCAGACTCGGAAAGTCAACAACAAGCTTACATCATCGTTGCAATCTGTGTTTTACACTGATTTTTTTTTTTTTTACATGTTTATTTTATCCATGATAATTAAATTTTTTTTATAATAATAATTTTTCATTTAAATTAAAGAGTGCAAATAAGGTAAATAGTTTTTGCTCAATTTTTACACAAACAGATGTGCTAGAAAAAAATACAAATAATATAAATAAATATAATGATGATAAAATTAGATTCATCATAGTTATGACAATATAAGAGTACAAACTAAGGTATAATCAAAATAAATGGAAAAGAAATACAGAACACAAACAATAATGATAATGGTAATAATACAACGTCGAGTTAAAATAATTACATAGTGAAAATGATTTTTTTTAAAGTATAAATAATTTCCAGTACAAAAGTGTACTAAAGAGGGTACATATCCATTAACATATACATATGTACATACACATATACATATCTACATACACACATACATACATCCATATATAAATATCTATTAATGATAAGAATAAGAATAACAATTATAATAAAAAATAAAAAGTAAGGTAGATGATTTCATGATAGTAATAGTAAAAACAGTAGTAATAATAATAAAATAAAATAAATAGATCTGTAAGAAAGATCATGTTAATTCTATCAGTGTTTTCGAGACATATGATAATCTGACCGTATTTCAAATGTACAGTGTTTGTTTATGGTTGAAAAAAAAGTAGTCTACCAACTATTGGAAAAACATATCAAAAGCTGACCTTCAAAATTTTGAAAAGATTATTTAAAAAAATAACCTTGTGCAACTGCAATTGATATCACTCACAATTCAAGTGCTATTCTAGCTCTGCATTTTCAACATTGCACAAGGATGTATAATGAAATGGTGAATTTAGGGACCATGACGTGAATGGTGTTATTGCAGCTCATGTGAAGCATATTTAGTGCATAATTATTCAACAGTTTCCCTCTCAGTATAACAAATGTCCCTGGCATGCACAACATCTCTTATTACTTAAACTTTGTGCAAGCACCCTTACAAATCGAGAAGGCTACTCTATCATGAAGCAGTGTAATTTTGAGAGATAGATTCTTTATCTGTGCCAAACAGTCCAGCATGTTATCTTCTTCTACAACAAGACGCTGGGAATGCTGCATAGGGATGTGCCTTTTTACACAATCAGATAGTACAACTCCTACACTGTTATTCAATATACTGTGTTGCTGAGTACACCCCCCACACCCTTTTTTTAAAATTATTATAATAATTGTGTCAGTACTCATCTGACTCTTTGTTGACATCCTTACATTATGATAAGATGTTGTTTGTTTAATGTCTGGAGCCATATATGCATAAATATGGAATAGGGAAAATTGTTCAATAATACATTACACTCTCAATACTGACAGTCTCTGTTCAAATTGCAGGCAGTAGAGTAGATGAAGAAGAAGAGGAGAAGGAGGAGGTTCATTTCTGGGTAATTTCTCTACATTTTGCCTCTTGCTTGTTTTCCCTGAGGCCAGCAGAAACAAGAATCTGTGCCCCATCACTCCTGCTGAGTGTAAGGGTGTTTTGGTTGCTGGTGAACAAATGTGAGGCAAATTTCTCCTCTTCAATGGCAAGCTTTACACAATATATGACTCACTGTATGGGAAAAAAATAGAATTGACCCATATATCTATGATCACAAATCCCACTCTTTCATCTTTCAATCCATGCATGTATTATAACAGACATATACCTGCTGACACACAATGAGGAGAATATTTATATCATCAGTGTTTGTGTCTGAATTTGTGCTGTAGCTCTCAATAAAATGAGATTAGCAGTGTTCCTCTCCATAAATGTGAGTCTAGAAAGAATACAGCAGTAAGATATCAAGTGTGGGGGTGGGGAGCTAATCTGCAGGACAATAACACGAAGTTGCTAGGGATGCAAGCACAGCGGCAACAGTGATAAATATGTGCTGGACCTGTTGGCATTGTGTAATTGCTTGGATACAGCCACACAAGTGGCAGCAAGCTTTATCGACTGCCTTAGCAACAGCAGTAATGCCTTTTTCACTTTTGTGTTTGTGTGACAAGAAGAAAGAAAAATGAAGAAAAGAAAAGACTAGTGGTGGTTAGATGCAAACGTACAGTAAGAGATTATCATCTTTTTGAACCAGAAAGAGATGTCTGGTTATGAATAAAATCAAATCACTTTTCTTCTCTTACAGTGTCTTGCAAATGAGTAAAATTGTGCAGATGTAGATGTACACAATAGAAAATCTAATAAGAGGACAGTTTCCTTTCATTTTTATTGCTATCCTTTTGCAGGGGTTAAATGCACAATAGCACAGGTGACCCTCAGCACTACTAAATCCCTTTGATTTGATAGCTGTGAAACACTTTAGATCTTCAGTCATCACACATGCATCATTAACACCATGAAATATGTCTGTGAGAGGCTGAGCAACCAAAAGAAGAGGAAAATGGAGCAAGAAAAGGGAACAGCTCAGCTCCACTGCCGGCTCAGCAAGAGCTATTTTTAGATCCTGAGAAACAAAGACGCAGAATTGCCTTTCATCCCCCCTGTAACTATGTTGTTTCACCTCCAAATGTGGTACTTGAAGACAGTCTGAACTGCTTTGTTGCTATGTTTAGGCCTAACCACAAATAAATACCTCTTCATCTGCATGCCCTTGGGCCTTTTTTCCTCATCTGGCTATGTTTGTGCACGTGTTTCCCTGCTGTCCTACTGTACACAGAAGGGGCAGTTATTTTTTTCGGGGCTAAATATAAGGCCAGGGTGCAATTACAGTGAAGAGCATCTGAGCTTTGAGGCAGAATGAGCTGTTCATTTCTTCAGGGAGATAAAAGAAGGCTGTGAATGTTAAGTGATGTGCACAATGATGCTGCAATAAGAGACGGGCTCTATGATCAAGTGCATCCAGTAGGACGAGTCAAAGAAAGCTTATTAGAATTAACTCAAACTTGCTCTGAGAGAGAAAACCCAACAATATTTAGTTTTCACCCTCTGGGTGGTTATTTGCAGTCTCTCAGTCCAGACTGCATCAAACATCCATCTCTGCCCAGGCCTATTAGGATTCTCATCAGCTGGTAATGTACTGGCCCTACAGAGGTTATGTCGGGAGTTGTTTATGTTCATATGCAAATTAGCAGGTTCGTTTTTCAAGGTTTTTGTTTCTTTTTTACCTGTGAATTTTGTATAATTAGCATTGCTATTTAAAAAGGCACTTCAGTTTTCCTGGGATGGCTATTTGAACGACAGTTGCTTTTTTCATTGGTGGTTTAGTTTACTTGTTGTTCACCTGTATGTAATAAGTACACAACAAAGGCCTGGCAAAGATTCTTCTCCATTTTCAGGATAACAACATACATAGAGTTTTCAGTAGACATTTAACAATAATAACAATATTGGTAATAATGGTGTGCACATGCTGTTGAATAATAAACTGTATATATTCTGGCAAAATGTTATTTTTTTCATTTTGTGACTCAGTCAGCAGAAAGAGAATGACATTAGTTCCTATATACACTAAAACTTGCACAATGACATCAATTATAGCATTCAAGTCAATAACTCAATTGCCGGTGACATATGAAACATTTGCAGGAATAAAAGGAAAACATCGGCCGAAATAAAGCCTGAAAAAAAAAAAAAAACAGAAATAAAAGCTCTTCAGGATCTCTAATCAAAAAATGCATGGCTTTTTGTACGTTCCCTGTCATAAAAAAAACATAGAAGAGCCCTTTCTTCCCCTCTGTCTCTATTTTTATGAAGTTACAGAGACACCTTGTGGTAAAAGATGGTACTGTTTCCTCATACAGAGTCTTCAGTGGTGGCCCTTAAGTTGCCTTCAAACATACTGTACATTTGTAACATGGAAAAGCAGGGGGTAGGGGGTTGAAATAACTGCCCCTGAATTCCTCCATGGACATGCAGCAATGCCTGTAACAAACATAGCGACGGGCCCCTGGAGAAACCAGTCACAGACATTTATTTGAAAGCACTGTGGACATTCATTGTGCCGGACCAGCTCATTTTAAGCCTGACGGCATTGTACAGGGAACTCATATTACTGACACAGGTATGACAGGCATTCTGTTCACTTGAGGTTTAGAGTTTAAATAAGAGGTAGTCAGCTGCTTTCTCTGGGAGCCCAGGCCATGCTGAAGAGCCACAGCTGACAGTTGTAGACCAAAGTCTGGATTATCATAACAACACCGCAACAAGAGGTAGGACCCCACAGATTCAACTTATTACCACTGTCATTTTATCTCAACTCACATTAGTCTGGCACAGAAGCTGGGGCTTATTGTAACTTGGATGTGCAAAGACAGGAGATTATGACGGGCACCAGCAAGGGACAGAACGGACCAAGTGCTCAAAATGATGCAGCCCTGGGCTGAGGGTCCACACAACACATAGCTGGGAATGCGAAAGATTTAACTGGCCTATAAATTTGGATTTTATTAAGCTACAGCGTGAGCTTCTTAAACTCATCTGCAGAAAAGATTTCATTTAGATAACACATCTGCATACAGCCTCCCTCTTATATATCTGCCTTGACTGGACTGAGACAGAGAAATGTACTATATTCAAGAAAAAAACTACCTCAGAATGCACTCAATTAAATTATTAATGTATTTGTGTCTAGGTATTGCACATCATAATTTGAACTGTACAGTTTATTACTCCTTAATCCATTTACACTGTCCAGTTGCCCAGTGTGTGCACTCCTCAGGTGAGTGTTTATTGCCCTATTATATATCTGTGAAGGGCTGCGAAGTGCAGCATGTGACCTTTTAAAGGCAACTAACTTACAAAGGACACCTGGCAGAGAGGCAGTAATCACTAGAGGGACAAGGCAAAAAATACATGCTGAGACATTCTTCATCAAAGAGCATGTTGATCACAGACAGGGCTACGAATTCCACTGAGCAGCTAAACACGCAAAGTGAGTAAACACCTGCTGAAGCAAACTTCGCAGTCCTCAGACCTCCAGTCTCTGATGAATGTGACACATAATTAAAGAACCTAAAAGAAATGACCAATACTCATCTATTTTCATCATCATCATAGACGAACTATAAGGCAGTGTACCCCTCAGACAGTTGAATCAATGTTACCCAAATCCTCTGTGAGCGAGACCCCCTGACGAAAACACACAAAAAAGATGCAAAAGCACTGCATCTCTTTTTGTTTTTGTTGTGTTTTATGAAGCAGTTTTGTGTCTCTTTTGTGCCATTTTTTGTTTCTGTTTGTAATTTATTTATTGTATCTTCTTTGTTGTGTTAAAACATCTTTGAAGTGTTTTTCAGTCCTATTTCATTATTTTTGTTTCTGTATGCATTCTGCCTCCCTTTGAAGCAATTTTTCTGTATTTCTCTGTGTATTTATTATCATTTTATTTAGACACACACCTCTTTGTTGCTTTTCTGTGTCATTTTTGTGTTTTATCTTCATTATGAAATGTATTTTACAGCTCTATAAGTTGTTTAGACTCTTGGAACTACTTTTTTTCTTTATAGTCAGTTTTTGTTTCATTTCTAGCTTTGTATCTTTCTGTAGTTTTGTATCTGTATTTTTTTGTGTCACAATATATTTCTGTTGCCTCTTTTTGTGCCTTTAGGTGTCTTCCAAGTTACCTTGCGCCTCCTACAGGAGCAACAGAGTTCACAATTCATGCTGTCGTCCAAATAAACTGCAGCTGAACTTCAGAAACCCACTCAGTTAATCATTGCATAAAACATCTTCATGGTATACCACCTCTCATTTTGTTTTATCTCTTATACAGTAATGATTTAAGTCCCTCAAGATGGGAAAGAGACAGCTGAGAGAAATATGAAGCAAGGACACACCCATAGAGAAAATACAGTCAGGTTGGTCAGCTTTATCTTCCTCTGGCTTCAGATATGTAGTTCATTAAACTGATAATAGGGAAATCTGAACAATATGTTCCTGCTGGGGTAAGCAGTTTCACACTGGAGTGAAGCTTGGAGCACCTGCACTCACATTCACATAAAGACTGTAGTGACACTGCAGACTCAGGAACTTTTTAAATAAGCACAAGTTTTAAAGGGGTCATACATTTATCCAAAGTTAGTATTTTTCACTTAAGTAACTGTCATTCAGACCTACTTTTCAACTCATGAATGCAACTTTGTTTTGGTTTTAATAAGTACACCAGCGAAACTTAGAGATTTCAAGGGTCTCATGAAAAAGGGTCATCTTTTAATGTCATTTGAAGGTAACTCTGAAGGCAAAGCCTTGTCAGCCTTTACGGCATCAGACCTGCCATGCCTGACCTGTTCCATATATCATTAAGATTGATGTCCCCCATCCATGACTTATAGACAGGAAGCCTCTCGTCACTGTAAATCCATCTTACATAGAGCACGAGGCCCAGTTACCAGTAAACACACTGCTCTCAGAGCTCTTTAAACCCCTGGTAGTAAAGTAAAGTTGGTACAAGTAGTAAGGCGGTCTTTCTGAACGTGTGTGTGCATCCATGTTTAGCTGAAATCAATACAGTTATGTGTGGAACTTGAGGCACTCAGGAGGCAATGGCCAGCATGCTTTTCCAGAGGAGAAAAGTTGAAAGACAGAGCATAAAAATCATGTAAGTGTCACTCTTTGTTGCATGAAAAGTTGTGTGCAGTGCTTTGGGGGGACAGGATAACTCTGAAAACCTTTTAGGTTTGAGATTTCTTTTGTCACTCTGGGGCTGTCTCTAAACAACTTCTCTCCTGAGCAGCTGGGAGTGTGATATCATGAGGAAATTACTCATCTAAAAGGAACTTGTTTTCTGACTTTTCAGCTCCTCTGACTCTGGCAATGTTGACATCTTTCATAAAAATACAGCCTGCTTATTGTGCTTACATGTGACACTGGATGAGAGCTACATAAATCCCAGCATTACTTGAGGCTACTCTGATAAAACTTTTATAGATTTTTGTATCTAAATTTACAAATCAGATAGTGAAGTCTTCTTCTTGTGCCAGAGTGATTAAAATGACACGCTTTGGTAAAAAACAATAATTTTGGAAATTCCGCTACATTTATCCAACATATTTTTCTCTTGTATGTTGAAATGAATGAGGAGTGAGAGCCAGTACTTCACCAGGATTATCAAGTGGGTTCCTCCCCTCTCTGGTGGTTCATAAAATTAGGCCCACGACACCTCAGGAAGGCTAAACAGTTAGCTCCTGCATCCAAAAACCAACATCCCTCTTGCTAGCCCTCACCTCATACTATACCCACACCAAAAAATGAAGAGAAAAAAGGAGAAAACAAAGAAAAGAGACATTCTTGAAAAGCCAGACCCAAGGTGAGAAGCCCTTTTGGGCTTGGACTCGTCCCCAGAAAGATATCAAACAAGAGGGGATGAGGAGGGATGCTAAGGAGAGGATAAAGCAGTGAGAGCCAGGGGGGTTTGGACGTCATCCTCACTGGGTTAGGGTGTTCGCTTTACCTCCCCCTCCTGCCCCCTTTTCATTAGGTTAAAGAGAAGAAAAGAGACAGAGTAAATAGAGATCAATCATGTTCCTATAGTTTTGTTTTTGGCCCCGTAACCACATTATCTCTCATCAAACAGAACCAGTGATTTGTTCTTACTGCCTCTTATATTTCCATATCTGTAAAAGAGTAAAATATAGATGGAGTCACCCCTCCTCTTTTTGAGTTAATTCTGACCCATGATGAATCAGACCTTTGATTTTTACATCACCGCTTCATATGAGTAAATGACCCCCATATAACTAATAACAAACCCATGTAAATACATCTGTTTAAATCTTTTCTTGTTGGCAATCTCTAGAGTGGGTTTGCATTGACCCTCACCTTATCGCTCAACCTTTGGTGACCCAGAGCAAATAACTCATAATGTCTCACTTGTCTCATTCATTTACATTTGAATCAAAGCAGATGTTATTTATGTTAGTTATGGGGCCAGGGCTGAACGTGAAGCATTGACTTTGGTGTTTTTCTGCAAATTGTAGCACCGGCAGAGAGCAAAGAGGAGGCACATGCAAGGTGTTGTTGTTTTGCCCTGAGAGGAGCCAATGACTTTGTGTTGACAGCACAAGTGTGGAGAATACAGCAGGTAGGTTATTCACATCAGCATTCACACCTATCATCTGTGGCTATCTGTCATCTTGTTTACCCTTTGTAGAGCGTCTTTGTGTTCGAAATGAGATGTTTACATGCTGGTGTGAGTCCACTATATGAGGGCTGCTTCCTGTCCTGACACTGCAGAATACTCTGAAATCAAGGCATGCTGTTTCAGGGTTGCTAAGAGAGACATATGTTTGATAGTTTTTTGTTATGGACTGGATGTATTCAGAAAGAAATTAAGTTTGACAGCAAATATGCACCAAAGGTACAGTAAGATTTGACCATTTTGACCATGTTTGTGGTCTATGTTGGTGTAAAACAGCCTAACATTAAAGTGGCTACAATTCACAGGTCTTTCCAGCAATCTTTCCGCCCTGCTTCAGGAAGGAAAGGAGGACGCGGGACCTCTGGAAAGATGTTCTTTGTTGCTGGGGCCAAAAGTGGTGGAGGATCAGGTGGAGGGGGCGAAAGGAGGTAACACAGTCCTACCACGTTTGTTTAAATCAAAAAAGGGTGCGTTTTATTTCCTTTTTAGAGATATTTTTACTGAGATTTGCTTTAATTTAAAAAGAAATTCTTTAGTAGATGAAAACTCTAATATTTTATGACACTGGGCACTTTGGCACATGAAAATCTTATGTGTGAACGAGTGACCGCACTGTCAGATGTAAAAAATGACACAGACAACAGCTACACTCAACAAGCCTGTTTTGTGTCTCATTTTTTCTGCAAGTCTTTTGTATCTTTCTGTGAAAGTTTTGTGTCCTCTGAGATGATATTTCTGAGTCCCTTGGGACTAACTGTGCAGTTATTTTCCACTTGTTTACTGTTTTTTTGTTCATTTTTTCACTCGTGTGCCTGTGTTGTCTTTTGGCAACTCTCTGATGTCACATTTTGGAATCTTTTTTTGGCTTTGCTTTGTCTGTGTTGAAGCTTTATGTCATAACACATTTTATTGTAGCTGTCTTGTCTCATTATGTGGTCTTTTATCTACTTTTTTGTCTATTTCAGAGAACTTTGAAGTTGTCTTTTTGCATTTTTTATAGTTTAATATTGTTTCCAAAATCTTTCTTTTATCTGTTTTTTGTCCTTGAGCCTATTTTGTATCTACACGGTTGTTCAGTGTTGCTGTGTTTCATACTATAATGATTAATCTTGCTCTTTTTTTTCTCTTTGTCGCTTTTTCTCTTGCAGTTGTATTGTCTGAGATTGTTTCGAGTTGTCCCGGCTCTTTTTGTTGATCTTTTTCAGTCATTTTGGTGTTAAAAGTTTTTTGTTTTTTTGTGTCTATGTACTTTGTTTTGCAGTGAAACTTTCTTTGGGGGGACTGTTCAGCATTTCTTGTGGCCACTTTGTGGTAAAAAACAGCTGACTTTAGGTGGCTAGATTTGGCTCAGTGGTTAAATCACATGCCCTATGTAGAGACCCAGGTTCATATCCAACCTGTACCACGCTACCTCATGTCACCCTCTGCTTTCTCTCGCAGGCTTTCTACTACATCCACTATCCTTTCCTCTGAATAAAAGCATTGAATAGTAAATAATCTAAAAATTGACATCAAATGCGACTCTGCTAACATGGTCCTTTCTGATCCAGGTCAATCTACCAAAAATTCCGTGAGGTGGATTTATTGGACAAGAAAAAGACAGTGACAGCTCTGAAGCCAGGAGAGGATCGAGCCATCCTCCTGGGCCTGGGGATGATCCTCTCTTCAGTCATGATGTACTTTGTCCTGGGAATCACAATACTACGCTCCTATGCTGACAGGTACACACCTATGTTAGATTTTTTTCCTCTTCCTAGAAAGTAAACAGATATTTCTGTTGGGAACATGTTTTATTCATCAAGATTCGCTGTTGAATAGCCGTTTCAGAGCCCTCTCAATGTGAAAATTGCAAAATAGAAAAACATTATGAAATTACACCCCAGCCGAGATGATTTCACACAGTCAGATCCCTGAAATGTTTTCCTCTTTTTTCTGCATTAAATTGGATCTTCATTTTCATGTCAACACAGTGTGTGGACAGAAGAGGGTGTGTGTGTTGTACTTAACTCCACGGTCACGACGGATATGAACTGTTCCTACAACTGTGGCTCAGACTGCTGGAGGGTCTCCAAATACCCGTGTCTGCAGGTTTTTGTGAGCGTCAACAACACGGGCCGCATCAGCCGTTTATCTCACAATGAGGAGACACAGGACATAAGCTCTGAGGTGAATACCAGAGAGAAAACACAAGATTACTGAACTGTTACAAATGCTGTCAGGCCATCAGATGTTAGCTCGATTATAGATTTGATCTGCAAACAAAGCAAAGAATGCTGGTGAATAACACTTTGAATATTTCCTGATCAAGATGAGAGAAAAAGATGAAGTGTTAAGTCACATTAAAAGAAATGCATCGGCAACAACAAGTGTGATTGCTAAAGCATGGAAATAACCGTAAACCTGATGATAAAATATGACCATTATACATATCAAAGTGCTTACATTTTTTAAATTTTGCTGCATACTTTATGTTTAGATTTATGTACCTTGCCATGATAAAAAAAAAATAATACCACTACCATGTGGTTTATCAATTAAAGAGAACACTGTTCTGAAAGGGAAGGAGGGGAATTTGCAAAGCTTTAAGTATGTTATATAATTTTTTTTTCTTTTTAGTGGTTGTGAAGAAGATTTTTAAAAATAGAAAGCACAAGTCATTACCTATACAATATTTGCTGGTGACGTATTATGTTGTTGTTCTGTATTTATTCCTTTTTTTCCTTTGATTGCCCATAGCATGACCTTGGTGACCTTTGACCCTGTCTTTCTAGTGTTTTTATGTGCCGCGGTGTCAGAAGGACAGCGCTGCCATGCACGTCATTGTCATGAACATCTCTGAGCGTCTGAAAGTCAACCAGCAGGTCCCCTGTTTCTACGACCCCAGTGAGCAGCAGGAGACGGTCCTCCTCACGCGCCTGTACGACCACAGTGTCGTCTTCCACTCGCTGCTGTGGCCCTCCTGCATGCTGATTGGAGGGGCCCTCATCATCGTCATGGTGAAGCTCACTCAGTACCTGTCCAGGCTGTGTGAGGAGATTGGAAAGATCAAGAGGTGAAAAAGCAGCTGAAAGACAAACGTGGTGATGGAAACACACCATAAAAAGGATTACTCTTGTCAAAACACTTTGCTGTGAACCCTTGCAAACTTTCCTCGTCAGCTGAGGCTGATCAGCTGATTTTCACTCAGGACTGAAGATGTCACTGTTAATATTGTATTGGATGTTTGCAAACTGTCACACATGTAAATTGTGGTCATACAGGAAAACTATGACTGGATTTTTCATGGTGTTAAACTTGTAAAAGTTTTATTTGAACCTTCTTACAAGAGTTGGTGACAGTTGTAATCCTAAGTATGTTTTTATGAGCATGTGCCTGAACTGTCACATTTGAAACACGTCAAAACCAACCTGTGTTCAAATAGGTGAGGGAAAAACACTTCTGACTTTAAATAAGGATTTCACTGCCAAGGATCACACCATGACTATATGCACACAAGGAATGATGTTGTGTTTGAGGCTGGTCTGGGAGGACACGTGAAAAGCTTGACAGAGGGAGACTTTGGGTGGGGGTGAGGAGTTCCGTCTCAGGTGTGATTCTGCCCAAGCTGACCTTGACCAAAGCTTTTCCTTGATAGGCAAAGACACAAGACAGCCAAACACATGATAGACTGAGAAATGATGAGGAGGGAGGGTGTAAGGGTCAATGAAGAAGTAAAAGAGGGGGGAGGGTGGGTTTAGGATCACAGACAAGTAGAGTCAGATGATTCTATAGACTTGTCAGGAAACTGAAGGTAAGGATTTGGCGTGGCCCTGCTAAAAAACTGAACTACGTAGATTTATAGAACTTTGAAAAATTTCTTAGACATGTTTGTTTTCTGAATCAATATTTCCACGTTTTTTTTGTTGTTTTTTTTTACCTCGGTGACCAAATGATATTTGGGTATCAGAGATATATAAACATCGGTCATGTATTCACATAAGTTATGACATTTTAAACACTTAATATAGGGCCGGGCGATAAAACAATAATGATATATATCGAAAATTTATTTCCCTCAAAATCAATATAAAACATGGTCAATAGGCTTTTTGATAGTTGGCATTCTACCATGTTTTGGTAGACTATATGAATAGCCAATAAAAAGGGGAGTTGCTCCAGGTCCGCTTCGCCAAATCATGTGCTGAATTAGAACTAAGTAGCAGACAACTGTGTAGTAGACGGCTGCAGCTACATGCAACCATAGCATTTTAACATGTGAAGCCGACAGCACTGGCGGTGAGAAAAAAAGAAAATGAGTGCTAACCCTGGCAGAAATGCAGATCAAGGCTCAACAGATGATGAGATGGTCGACAAAACTGGCACAAAAACGTTGGTGGTGTGGAGGTATTTTGTGTTTTTGAGGTCGGACATGAAGCAGAGTAATGTGCACGGCAAATTATGTCGAGAACATGTTCTTGCAAAGTCGGGGAATACCTCAAATCTTTTTCACCAAATGAAGCAGTGCTACATGGCAGAGCATGTGCAATGCAAAAGGTGACAAACCCAGAGTGTACAAAGGAACCCATGGCGCCTGTGCAGCCGAAACAGCCGACCATTCAACCCGCTTTCTCTAGTGCAACACCTTAGGACAAAACGTTGAAGAGACACAAAGACCTCACAGATGCTCTAGCTTATTGTATTGCAAAAAAAAAATGTTATCAGTACGCACTGTTCAATTTCATTTTTTTATATCCTGAAATTGATATTGACTGATATGAAAAAACGTGTCGTGATAAACTTTTTTCACTTATTGCCCAGCCCTAACTTAATGTCACAACAAAAAGGCTTAATATATAAAGCAATGTGAGAAATGTATTCCACAGGGTATGGGAAGAAAAATTGATTCAACATCTGATCTAGGGATTACAAGATGGACTTCTATGGAAACATCCTTACATCCTTCTTAAGTTATCTCTTGAATAAAAAAATAAAACAATGCTCTCATTGTGTTAAATTTTGCACAGTGTGTCTGTATGCCACATGGTCTAACCCTGTAGGTCAAACACCCCAGGATCAACAAAAAGTGTCTTCCTCTAAAACTTTTCTGCTTATTTTGAGTACAGTTAAGGCATTGTTAGGTTGCTTGTTGCCTCCACTTCAACATTGAAATACTCAAACTGCTAACATAATATTAGGAGAATATCCTTGTCCTAGACCTAGATAGATGAGTGTTTGCACGAGGAGAGGTGAGCAGATGTTTGTAGTTTGACTAAATAACGATTGGTGGTCAAAGCGCTTTATGAAAAGGAAGTCATGAATAGTGAGTCAGTTTTTCTTCTTCCACGTTTTTCTCTGGGGGTCCGTCCTCCTCACACATGCAGCAGAAAGAAAGAATCTGCTGTGGGCTTGGCATGTGACTGTCTGCAGCAAGAAAACAACAACCACTATACTGTTTTTCCTGTCTCCCTCTCTCCCGTGGTATTTCCAAAGACTGAAAGAGTGGCTTCCCCCGAATTCCCCACTCTCATCTCATGACAAACTCTGAGTAGACTGTTTAGACAAACTGCTCCCCAACAGCTAACTCCCTCACTCTCTGTTCAGGAGGGCGGTCCATCCGTGATGATGATGAGCCTGCTAGCAGCCATCGAGCGAGCTAACTGTGTGGAGCTAGCGTGCTGCCAAAGTGTATAGTTTATTTTCGGGACAGCACGATGAAGATCATCATGAAGTATTACATACCCTTTCCGCTACGACATATTGACAACATCATGTTTTCATAAGGGCGTCTTTTGACACTACAGTGGGTCTGTGTGACCCCCCAGGATCATTGTTTGGATGGAGTAGGAGCACCGCAGCGGGTACGGATGGGATTTCCTCAGCTAGCCGATGCTAACGTTAGCGCTAGCTGACTAGCTTCACGGCTAACCGGTTGGCGTTAGCTATCTGACACAGGTAGCCTTATATTTGTTTTTGTGTTTGTGTTGATACTGCTTATCGATATCACTACCAAGTTTCTTATACCCCAAACTGTCGAATCGTCTGGTTTTATCATCGTATTAAAACCTTTTGAGTATCACCTCATGTTTTCATAGTATAAATGACATTGATCTACTTGGAGAACTTAGCTAGCACGATAAGCTATCGAGGCAGCTAAGAAACAAACACCCAACGTTGACCCACTAAACAGCCACTAAACACAGAGTATTTTAGGCAACTGTGGAGCCCAGGCTAAGAGTCTAACAATAACAGATAACTCATTGACTGAGCTGTATGTTTTAATCTTGTTGGAGGCCAGCAAGTTTGTTTACATGATACTTTCATTCGTCATTATTGGACCTTTGCTGTCTGTTTCAAGCTGATTTAACACAATGTTACCTAGTGTGAGAGTTTTTACTGCTTTACTTTTGATTAATTTTAGTTTTCGATGTGAAGTTTTCTTTGAGTTAGTTGTTAATGTCATAATGGATGAAGGAAATATTTAATATCTCAGATCTATACAGTTTAAGCTACACATCTATCTATAACATGAATGACTTTCTGACAGCTGGTTTAACAACTGTCCTAAAAAAGACTTAATATGTTGACAGTTTATGACATGGTGATCTAAAAAGGTGGTAAAGGTATAGATAACAGATCCACAGGAAATGTGGTTACTAAAATTGTCACACAGCACTTGGTGGTTAATTGGTATGCTCTCGTGTGTGTGTGTGTTTGTGTGTGCGTGTATCATTTTTAGATTGCTATCTGCATTTAACTTCACCGTCCTTAAAATATTCACCACAAGCGTTTTGCATTACTGTGCGCAGGTCAGTGCTTCTTATATAATCCTTCTGTTTCCTTTTTCCTCGCAGTTGGTTGACATCGTTCATCTGATAATTACCAGGCTCTGAAAAGAGCGGATTTGCTGGCACAACCATGCCTCCCAGGCCCTCCTCAGGAGAACTATGGGGGATGCACTTGATGCCCCCCAGCATCCTAGTTGACTGCCTCCTGCCAAATGGCATGATTCTCACTTTAGAGTGCCTCCGGGAGGCCACACTGATCACAGTTAAGCATGAGCTTTTCAAAGAGGCCAGGAAGTACCCTCTCTACCATCTGCTGCAGGAGGAGAGCTCCTACATCTTTGTCAGTGTTACTCAAGAGGCTGAGCGGGAGGAGTTTTATGATGAGACCAGGAGGTTGTGCGATCTCAGACTCTTCCAGGCTTTCCTAAAAGTTATAGAGCCAGTTGGCAACAGAGAAGAGAAGATCCTTAACAGAGAGATAGGTATGGCTCTTCATTTATTCAGCAAACAAACTAGACATTATAATTGTGTAATGTACTCAGTGTCAGCCTTGGTGATATCATTCCCACCAGTGAATATGATTAAAATACAGTTTTGCTGTATGTAATCCATTCTTTTTGTATTATATATTATAATATATATTATATTTTATGTCAAGACTTACATCTCACATGTCATGAAAATGGCCAAAATCTAAATGGAGCATTTAGCTGTCAGAATATGTATAACAATCATAAATCATGCATGTTTTTTTCCATTTTAGGTTTTGCTATTGGGATGCCAATCTGTGAGTTTGACTTGGTAAAAGACTCAGAAGTGCAAGACTTCAGAAGGAACATTTTAAATGTTTGCAAAGAAGCTGTTGACCTCAGAGACAGTAATGGACCCCACAGTAGAGCTTTGTACGTGTATCCCCCCAATGTCGAATCATCTGCAGATCTTCCCAGGCACATCTATAACAAGTTAGATAAAGGTAAAAGATTTGACACTGAGCTGCAGCTGTTCACCACAATAACAAAGTCATGCATACAATATGGAAGCATTTGCGATTTTTCTTTTTGCTGCAAATTGATGTCAATTTCCTTTAATTTGATCTTTTACGCTGTTTCCTGCAGGTCAAATCATAGTGGTCATATGGGTTATCGTGTCACCCAGCAACGACAAGCAGAAGTACACCCTGAAGATCAACCATGACTACGTGCCGGAGCAGGTGATAGCTGAAGCTATTCGTAAGAAGACACGCAGCATGCTGCTCTCCCAGGAGCAGCTGAAGATGTGTGTCCAGGAGTATCAGGGAAAGTACATCCTCAAAGTCTGCGGCTGTGACGAGTACTTACTAGAGAAATACCCTCTGAGTCAGTACAAGGTAATCTAATTTAATCTCAAGCCTGCTGCATCTGATGCTGTTGTGCTTAGAGAGGATGAGATTCACTTCACATCAAATTATCATCCAACACAGATGTGCTGTGCATTTATGACATAATAAGATTTTAGACAAAGAGTGCTGCCTGTAAAATGATGCTGATTCAATAGACTGTTTGCTTCACTTAAGTACTTTATGTTTCAGCTGTTGCTGTGTTGTCATTTGAAATTCCAATATGTAACATGTTTTTAAACCTAGAAATTTTATGCTTCCAAATGTCAAGCAGTGGGAAATGATTCAAGTGTCACTTTGTCCTCGACAGTATGTGCGCAGCTGTATCATGCTGGGACGGATGCCCAACTTGATGCTAATGGCCAAAGACAGCCTGTATTCCCAGTTGCCCATGGACAACTTCACCATGCCGTCTTATGCAAGGCGGATATCAACTGCAACGCCTTACATGAATGGAGAAACAGCCACAAAGTCTCTGTGGACTATCAATGGGACGCTGCGGATCAGGATACTGTGTGCCACTTACGTCAATGTCAACATCAGAGACATTGACAAGGTACACACGCAGATCATCACTGTTGTGTTGTGCTTTTTCCGGCTTGTTTGATTTGCATATTCAGTGCTTTGTGCTGGTTGCACTTTAAATAAACTGTAGCATGTACAAGCGCTGTGCCTGCAGATCCAGCTTGTGAACATTTAGATACTCGGGCAATATAATTACATTACGTGGCCATTCAGAAAAAGCCACAGCCAGCCATTAGCTACCCACAGATTAAATGTTGTCAATTAAGAGGCCACTGTGAGGTTAACTAGCTTTATGGCCAAGAGAGAAAGCAGATCAAAGACATTGTGGAGGAAGAAAAACTGAACAGAAAGAACAGCAACTAGAGAGAATTATTTTTGTCTAGAAAAGACAAAAGTCATCCTGATGTCTGATTGTATACACCTGATTTTCTTCATATTGTGCAGTCCTTCACTGCATGCATAAAAAAATGAATATAAACAACAACTTTGTCATTTCACTGTATTAATCGGATGTTTTTGCTTCTTTAGATCTACGTCAGGACGGGGATATACCACGGTGGAGAGCAGTTGTGTGACAATGTCAACACTCAGCGTGTGCCCTGCTCGAATCCAAGGTAGCACACATGAGAGAATAGAGTTTCATACTCTGGGACTAACACATGCTTCGACTTGTAAAGTGATTGGTTCTGTATTAATACAATTTTTTTTATTCATTACAGGTGGAACGAGTGGCTGAACTACGACATGTACATTCCAGACATCCCGCGAGCTGCTCGGCTCTGCCTCTCCATCTGCTCTGTGAAGGGGAGGAAGGGCGCTAAAGAGGTTAGCAGTGAAATGCCAAAAAGCTACGCTAAGGTCATGATGATTAGGATGCTGTTCTTGGTAGATTTGGCCAAATATTGTGCTTTGCTGTAGATAACAAATGCATTTGATGCATCTGTATATATTTCTTGAGTCTTACATTAGGCAGAAATGTCTGAAAAAACTAATGGCGTGTCCTTAAAGTAAAAAAAAAAGAAGATGTTTAAATAAAGAAGTCGATCAGTAATTGTCTGTTCCTCTCATGCCATGAGCAATTACTATCTGATTTCTTGGTGGGGATTGTGCAAGTGGTTTTCAATAAAACAGCAGGGCAGAGTTAAAAGACTTGATTAACTAAGGAGTTTGAGGTGTGCAGCCTCTGGCAGCATGTAGTGGCCGATACTTCTAGTTTTTGATTATTCTCTGCAAAAGATAAATCTAAATGTGACAAAAAACAGCCATGTCTGTATTTGTAAAAGCATTTTTCATAAACTGTTGTCGTCAGCATCACCTGCAGGGACAAATACATTGTATTTTCATTGTCTGCTGCACAATGATAATTGCAAGTTGTACACTTATATTGTGAAGCAGTGTAGATAGGAAATGCTGGGTTTTTTATGTAGCTCTGACAGGCTTGGCAAAATGAGCAGAAAGCGGTGAAGCCGATTGTAAGGGACAAAGCCGTAACTGTGGGGATATAAACATACGTTTATCATTTTTGTGCACCCTTTGTGTGAATGCAAAGGCAGACCTCATTAAAACTAAAATGACGGTACTGAGTTGTTGATACAGAATATGAAAACAGAGAATGGCCATTGTGTAAAAAAAACCTTGATGCAATGAAAAATGTGCAGGATCAAACATATTCGAAGCTTTTTACAAAGTCACTTACTGTAGGCACGAGGAACAAACAACTTCCCTTTGTTCTGCTCTGCACCTGTCTGTTGAATAGCTCAGGGCTGTTGTCTCTAATGATTTTCATATGCATCATCTCGCTGGTATTTTCCTGTAGGAGCACTGCCCCCTCGCCTGGGGCAACATCAACATGTTTGACTACACCCACACACTCGTAGCTGGGAAGATGGCTCTCAACCTGTGGCCTGTCCCACACGGCTTGGAGGACCTGCTCAACCCTATTGGCGTCACAGGATCCAACCCAAACAAGGTGAACAAGGAAATGTCAACAGTATGAACATAACGCTGACTCACTGTTTATGCTCCAGAAGTTCCTTGTGTTTTACAGAAAATAAACAGTGGTTTGATGGCAGTATTTATGCTCGAATAATACTGTTTTCTTTCTTCTTTTCATGAGATATTCAAATTAGAAATATGTGTATGCAGAATATTAGAATTATAAACATTGACATTCACAGACAAGAACTGAGTATGTTTAAACACTGAAAAGAAAAACAACTGCAAGGTGACGTCTTCCTTGACATTTTTAGCCTTTGAAATGTTTATTGTGGGTTTCCGTGACCTCTAAAGCTCATGGCCCAGTTGCAGTCTTGTAGTTGACAACATGTTGAGTTTCAGAGCTGGACTTAAGCTGCTTGGATTTAATAAACAAGCCTCTTATCCCACTTCATTAATCACTCATTGACACCGCAGGCATCTTTCTTTGACAACAGTAAAGAGATCGAATGACAGTTGAACCTCCTGCACTCTCTAAACAAACAGGAAACCCCTTGTCTGGAGCTGGAGTTTGACCATTTCAGTTGCCCTGTCAAGTACCCTGATATGACCATCATTGAGGACCATGCCAACTGGAATATCTCCAGAGAGCTTGGCTTTAATTACTGCCACACCGGTTTGGTAAGATAGCAGAAATTCCATTTGAACGGGCTTTGTTTGTTTTGTCGTGTTTCTTGGGTTCATTTCATTTTATCCACCTCTTTGTTGTACGGTATCTTAGAGTAACAGACTGGCACGGGACAACCCCCTGACTGACACCGACAATGATCAGCTACGTCAGGTGTGCAACAAAGACCCGCTTTCTGAAATCACTGAGCAGGAGAAAGACTTTCTGTGGAGGCACAGGTAATGTGTCAGCAGTTTTGCTGTTGTTTGGGCTGCTGTGAGCCTTTTAAAGTCCTGATCTTGTCATGAAAGCTGTAACTGATTTATACTCTCACCAAACCGTTTTAGACATGACTGTGCCAACCTGCCAGAGATCCTTCCCAAGATCCTCCTCGCTGTGAAATGGAACTCAAGAGATGAGATCGCACAGGTAAGCATAGGTTGACATGCCTTTCTTTTACATGCAAATCACACAAGGAACAAGAGGTGGGCCTAACTTTGTTGTTAATGTGGCAAATCAGCTGATCTCAACACAGAAACACGACACAAAAACACTCATGTTCTGTTTAAAAATGCATTATGCCAAATAGATTAATAACTGTTGTCAATGTATTATATATTTTCTTTGCATTTCAGATGTATTGCCTTCTGAAAGACTGGCCTGCTATCAAGCCAGAACAAGCCATGGAGCTGCTGGATTGCAACTTCCCTGATCCTATGATCCGAGAGTTTGCTGTAAAGTGCCTTGAGAAATACCTAACCGATGACAAACTCTCACAATACCTCATTCAACTGGTTCAGGTACATTTCACTTTCGGCTTAATTAGTGTGAATTATTTTCCTCAGAGGGTGAGGGTTGATGTTTCACTTTCATACAGTGCTGTAATGTTGTTTTAAGAAAAATTAGAATGTTTTTTTCAAGTATTTCCTCTCTTTTCTGTGCCCAGGTTCTTAAGTATGAGCAGTACCTTGACAACCCACTTGCACGCTTTTTGCTGAAAAGAGCATTAACCAACCAGAGGATAGGACATTTCTTCTTCTGGCATTTAAAGTAAGTTGACTTTCAGGGATTTGGCTGTTATGTGTAGACTTATTCCAATTCTATTTAGAATGCAAGAAAGTCACCTGCAACTGTTTGTCAGCGTTGTGTGTACATATTCAAATGGAGTTTCCATGGTCACCAAAACCTCCTCCTTATGCTTTTTTTTCTCACTTACATATGTGCAGGTCAGAGATGCACAACAAGACTGTGAGCCAGCGGTTCGGCCTGCTGCTTGAGTCATACTGCCGGGCCTGTGGCATGTATCTGAAGCACCTGAGTCGACAGGTGGAGGCCATGGAAAAACTCATCAATCTGACCGACCTCCTCAAACAGGAGAAAAAAGATGAAGCACAGAAGGTAATCTGACAGCCAACAGCTGTTAATTGTGATCTGCTGAGCAGTTGAGTTTAATCTTGTCCACATCTGGACCAATCTGGCCGCAGGGATCCCTCGATATTAGAAGAGTAGATAGAGTGATGGGGTTTGAACAGTTGTTTTTAGGTTGACTGTAGCTGAATATAAACAGAGAAGAAAAAAAGAACAACAACAAAGAAATACTTGAATTAGCAACAAAGCTGGTATGACCTGAGATTATATTCACATGGTACATTCAGCATTACTTATATAGCACTAGCTATTAGGGGGTGTCATGATTCCACAAATCCTTGATTTGATTTAATTTTTCGATTTTAGGGTCACAATTCGATTTGATTCAAGAATCTTTTTCTTACAGTACAGAGACCTTTGCCGTTTTTAGTCTAGTCTATGATCATTGGTTTTATTCATTACATTTTGTACAGTAAATCTTATTTCAAAAGATGGGCTACATACAAGAGATGCAATTTCCATTATACTTGTGTAATGTATGACATTAGGCACTAATGGTCAAATTTAAATGATTTATTAACAATCTGTGATCAGTGAAGTGAAAACAACAAAAACAAACATAACAGAAATGAAGTTAACAGAGGCTCGCATTGGCTACAATGTGCGGCGTTGTCATTTGCTTCCGCTTTGCACACCTCCTGGATGTGGAGGGAGGGGATCGCTGATTTCAATTATTGAGAACATGATGTAATTTCGATCGGTTTCAATAAAAAATCGAAATCGTGACCCCCCTACTAGCTATATTTACATCGGTGTTATTTTAGATTTATTACTGTTATGACTTAATCTGTTTGAGTGTTTCCTGCTGCTGGACTGAGAAGATAGTGTTAACAAAGGTCAGGTCCGGTGGTTGTTTCCTATTAAAAGCCTCTGGGAAAGAGAAAAGAGCAGCGATAGCAAATGAATGCAGATCAGAGCGCGGGGATGCTTCTTATTAAAATAATCTTTTCCCTTTTGTGAGGCTCAAACTGAGGTCTATTACACAGGACGTGATGAAAATGGTCTGTGTGAATGTATTCTTAAGACACTTGCAGCGTGTAGAAATGTGATATTTTAAAAGTGTTTTAACTTCAACATTATTCCAGTCCAATAATGATAGATAGCTCTTTAAGATAACAGTGAAAAAACAACCAGCCTGCACCCAGTGCTGGGATGGGAGAAAAGCAGCTGAAGACTCACAAAGACATTTGAATCAATGTTAATGAATACAACATTTTCATAGTTAATTTGCATCTATTGATACAAGAATTACTCATCCGTGAGGGATCATCAGATGACCCCTCAAAAGAGTGGATGAGAAGTGTGTGGCGGTGTGTTTATCTCTGTAGAGAATCTCTGCTCTGCCTTTTTTTTATGATTTTCCTGTGAAGCACCCATCAAGGCTTCAATCTGACCCCACTGTCTCTGTCTCTCTCCTCTGCTCTCTGTGCATCTGCAACAGACGATAAAGGTACTTTGTGCGTCTGTGTGACATGTCTCTCTTATTCACTAACTTAGTCACTTGACCACCACTTACTCCGTCTCACTCATGTGGGTTTATAAATCTGAAACAAGATCTCATTACTTTTTAACTTTTTTTTGTACAAAGTTGTAGCACTGGAGAACTATCAGTCCTTCAGTAAACCTTGCATCTTGAATATTTGTTGTTGTTGTTGTTGTTGTTGTAATCTGAAAGATGTCTTTGTGCGATGATAGCTATCTCTAAAAATCAGGCACAGTACTGGCTGAAAGACGGGCATAGCTTATTGATAATGTACTGCACATATAAGTGACCGTGACTCAGTACATGAAATGGTTATTAGCATACGAGCCAATGACCTAAAATCTGATTACAAAACTGTACCACAAGCATTTTTCGGTGTGTATGAAGACATGACCATTAAACCACACAGCACAAAAATGAATTAGCGCGTCATCTCACTGTGAAAGCAGCAGCCTTGTTCATGATACTGGTGTTTCACCAACTGGACTGATCTTTCTTTCCCCCTTTAAAGGTTCAAATGAAGTTCCTGGTGGAGCAAATGAGGAGGCCTGACTACATGGATGCCCTGCAGAACTTCACCTCTCCACTGAATCCGGCTCATCAGCTTGGAAACCTTCGGTACATCAGCACTCTCTTATCTAACACTCTCTATAGAAACTCTTCAGCACAATGGAAGTTTTGCCTTAAAAGGCTGATGACACTATTGAATGTAATCAAACCGGTTTAATGACAAGTATGCAGTCATTATTTACTCTATAGTTAACTATGTCCTAGAAAATAAGATAAATGATTTAATTTGATTTTAGAGTCAAGTCTTGTGAGCCGTCAACTAAAGTCAGTTTATTCATTTACAACCTTTTTCCTCCCTCTTGAAAAAATATCTGTGACTCTGTTTCAGTCTGGAGGAGTGCAGGATGATGTCATCAGCCAAGCGACCACTGTGGCTCAACTGGGAAAACCCGGACATGATGTCAGAGCTGCTCTTCCAAAACAACGAGATCATCTTCAAGAATGGAGACGGTGAGTGAAGCCGTTTCCTCCTGTAATCTCTGACTCAACTCGTCCTGTCTTTCCTGTCTGAATCAGTTCACACACTCAGAACACTGAAATTCTCCCTCTGAGTGCGCACTATATTTCCTACTTAGCCTGTGTTTCGTAACAGGGTACGCAAACTCAGCCTCATCTATGTTTTAAAACTCAGAAGTAGTCCTCTTGTTGGATTCACACTTCGCAGCAGCTGCTCGAGCATTTCGGTGCACCATCTGTGACCAAACCAACTTTGACAGCTCTGCTCCATAATGCATGGTGCAGTTGATCAAAGTGCGGCTAAGCAGCTAATAATCACCTGACTGTCATCCTCCCCCTCATCTCTCTCTGGTCCTCTGCAGATCTGAGGCAGGACATGCTGACGCTGCAGATCATTAGGATAATGGAGAACATCTGGCAGAACCAAGGCCTTGATCTCAGGTAGGCTCCTCCGTCCCCCCCTATGACAGCCAGGATGCAGGTGCACATTAAGAGGCGCTGGGTGCTTTCATGTTCTGCACTCCATACCTGAATGCAGATTAGTGGAAACCACCTCGAGTCTTCTGATGTCACTGCCGTCCCAAGGATTTCTGCCTGTCTTTAAGTTTCCTGTCCCTCCTCTTCTTCCAGGATGCTGCCGTATGGTTGTCTGTCCATCGGAGACTGTGTGGGTTTGATCGAAGTGGTGAGGAACTCCCACACTATTATGCAGATCCAGTGCAAAGGAGGCCTGAAGGGGGCGCTGCAGTTCAACAGCCACACACTGCATCAGTGGCTAAAAGATAAGAACAAGGGGGAGATGTGAGTGAAAGAACAGTGATTTTTTTTTAAAGCTTTTCTGGTCTGAGGTGAAGATATCGATGATACAACGACATTTCTTTTGAAGTTCTTGTGAAGTTTTTTTTTAATTTAATCTGATAAATGTCACTCATGATGATATTTTTGAGTTTGTTATTTTTGGTAAAACATCCAAGACCTTCATGACTCATCCTTTAATGGAGGGTGTTGTTAATTTCGCCTCTAAAGAAACAATTTATCTTCTTTTTAATTTTGCACACAATCGAATCACTATCATCCCCCTTCCACATATGAGTTTGTAAATGACATTTCTCTGCTTAATCAAAGCTGTTGTAACTTCAGCATGTCGTGTTGCAGTCTTGTTTATTGCTTGGTGGGATGGACCTCTCCTCTTCCTTTCATGTATTTATCATGTATTTATTCCTTTTTTAAGTTGATGGTTGATGTCAATGAGGGAATGGAAATCCACTTCAGTGCTATAGGCTGCTGCAAACACTGATCAATTAACCTGCTTTAAGTCTCGTTCTAGCTTTCAGAGTTTTTTTGTAGTAGAGGAATCAAGTGGCATACTGCTATCCTTGGCATGGGACTTTCAGCATTTGTATCTTCTCTTTGTTTTACATCGTTTGATGTCGTCACTAATGCTCTCTAAAAGAATGACTCTCCATGTGTTTGTCTTCTCAGGTATGACCAGGCCATAGATCTGTTCACACGGTCATGTGCAGGCTACTGTGTAGCCACATTTATCCTGGGCATAGGAGACAGACACAACAGCAATATAATGGTCAAAGATGATGGACAGGTGAAGATCTTATTTTAACATCTTCCTTTTTTCCCTGTGTAATTTCTGTACCTTGATAAAGTTGAATTCTCACTTTTCCTTTGTTTTGACAGCTGTTCCACATAGACTTTGGCCACTTCCTCGACCACAAAAAGAAGAAATTTGGGTACAAGAGAGAACGAGTCCCCTTTGTGCTCACACAGGACTTCCTAATCGTTATTAGCAAAGGAACTCAGGAGTGCACCAAAACGAGGGAGTTTGAGAGGTAATGACACACAAGCTTTTTATTTAAGGGCGATGTGTTAGAGGTTAGGGGTGGGAGAAAAAATCGATACAGCACAGTATTTTGATATTTGTCTGGTGATATATCATATCGTCTCATTTACCAATTATTGATTTTTTAAATTAATAGCTAATGTGAAGTCAAATCTATGATAATGAAAGAATAAAATCAACTGATTGTTCAGTGAGGTTGGCAGAGGTGACATCATAGAGCAGGAGAAAGTTAGTACAACAAATATATTTATAAGGACTGCAAGATGTGTTACATGAAAATAAAATATTGTGTAAATAAGACAAACATAAAGGAAAGACAAATGCTAAATTAGATAAACAGTCGAAAAAATTGTAAAAATCGCAATATATGGTATCGCAATACTCACTGTATAGCAAAATGTTAAAAATTGCAATAATATCGTATCATGGACCAAGTATCGTGATAATATCGTATAATGGGGCCACTGGTGATTCCCACCCCTATTAAAGGTAAAGGCAAAGTTGAAAACAGTTAAGATTTTCTTTAAATCCTCCATGTGTCGTACCTCTTCTTTGCTCAGGTTTCAGGAGATGTGTTACAAAGCCTATCTTGCGATCCGGCAACACGCCAATCTCTTCATCAACCTCTTCTCCATGATGCTGGGTTCCGGGATGCCTGAGCTGCAATCGTTCGATGACATCGCTTACATCAGGAAGACTCTGGCCTTGGACAAGTCCGAGCAGGAGGCCCTGGACTACTTCATGAAGCAGATGAATGACGCTCACCACGGCGGATGGACTACAAAAATGGACTGGATCTTCCACACAATCCGCCAGCACGCCATGAACTAGGACAAGGATTCTGTGGCGTCAGCAGCGCAGTCTGAACAGACAGAAAACTAAGAAGCAAGCAAGGTATTTTCCCCAAACACAGAGAGGCCTGGTAAAGGCCGAAGCCAGCGTTTATCCTGAAATATTACCTGCTAAAGCACCTTGAAGAAAGGTAAGGGTGCTCTGAAGGGCCAGTTTCAGGGCCACGATGCCTAAATGTCCCTGCAGGTTTCTTAATGTCTTCTCCCTGCATTATGAACTCAAGGAAGCAGGGCAGGGTCATACTCTTATCACTCGTCTTCATAGGAACTTATCAAGTGTGATGGACCTTAACACTGGCCTTCTTGATGTAAAAATGGACACATTTTTATTTTCATATCTTTTAAAACTTCTTTCACTACATCTAAAACCATCAGCATTAAGATAAGAAAAAAAAACACAAAGAAGTTGTATACTTACTTGTTTTCTGTACTGATGAAATGACAGAGCATATCTGTAGTATTTCCACTACCTATTTTGACCTGATGAAGATGATGGAGAACGCACCAAATCATTGAAGCTGTCATAAAAACAACCGTTCTCGACATTCTTAGTAAACCTGAAAAACAAAACAACAAAACACTCGGCTAGCATTTAACTGTTGTTGGAGAAAGGACTTATTTGTAGCTTACAGATGACTTATTCTCAGTTTATATCCTACAGCAGATAACTGACTTTTGTACAGCAGTATATCCTCAGACTTGTATGCATTCGGTGCACATATTCCTTTTTGAATCTGTTTTCTACTGAGCCAAAGTACTAGATGTGTAACCCCACTACTCTTCAGTCTTATTGTAAATCAAAAACATCAGAAAGTCACTACCATTCAAAGTCCTGCGTGTCCTCAAAGCACTGATCTCTGCAGTATTTTTGTTTGTTTTGTCTACCAGTATTATTCTGTCAGATATCAAGGCACAAGAGTGTACCAGTCGTCCAACCTCCCCAGCAGTTTGTTCACAGACGGAGTGGAAGCGAACTTACAGATGGTCAGCTGTGTGAGATGTTATGAATTACTCTTTCTTGAGTTGGTGCAGGGCGAGAAACGCAGGGACGAAGGATGTACAGTGTTTCTTTTGTGTGCTGTGCTGTTACACTATGCAAGTTGGGATCCTAATATGTACTGTTTACTACAAAAAAAAAAGACAAAAAGGGGTGATGTCGCAGTGAAAGACAGGAAATACATCTCCCCCAGACGACATCCTGACGCTGAGCAGTGTCTGCAGACTTCTTACAGACAGTACACTGAAGACAAAAATGCTGCACCAAAACAGGATCCTCTTCTTCCCTACAAAAAAAAAAAGAAAAAGAAAAAACAGCTGTGAGAGACGTCTCTTTAGTCCCTGCCTTTTGCTTCTCTGTAGCAGCTTTACCCGTGGAGCTTCAATCTAAGCCATCTGTAAAATTTACAGTTCTGCTCCTGTCTCCTTGTTCTCTATCAGATGAATTATTTCAAACACACTCTTCCCTTCACGCCTCGTCCCAGATCATGACACCTGGGTAAAGAAAAAGCAACTGAAGTGACATTTTTTAAACCCTCTGAGTGTCTTCTTCCCTCCTCTGTCCTATGATTGTCACCCTTATGTGTGGGAGATCAAGTTTGCAGGTTGGCTACACTGCACAGCTGCACACATAAGAAGTCAGTAAATGTTTCGAGCTTTACCAAATGAAATAGAAAAGGGCGGTTTCCTAGACTGAAAGTCAGTCTGACGGTTCAGTTTCTGTTTGCTGCAAGAACTTCAAAACTGCCAGGAAACTGCTCCTTTTGAGATGCATGAGCTTCTGTACGGGCTACAGAGCAACGGGCCGGTCCCAAACTAAAAAAACAAATCCCCTTATACTTTATAGAAGTAGCTAAATGATGCTATCCCCATTTCAACGTACATGTTATGATTGTTTTGTTTCTCACACTGCATTATGCATGAGGTCCTTGAATAGCTTCTCTCTCTCTTTTTTTGTTTTGTTTGTTTGTTTGTTTGACCTGATGATGTTTACTTGAATTTCATGTAAGAAAATGACCTTGTTACTTATGTGAGGTACAACAAAGTCACAATGAAGGTAACAGATTACTGCTACTAAATGTGCATATGCTTTTCCTTGAATAACTACAGAGGTAATATATTTTTGTATTTTTAAAATATAAGCAAACTCACATATGTAACTGCTAACCAAAAGAGAAAAAAAAAAAGGAGGAGTCATGCATTTCGTGCACCATCCTCATAGAAACCCCCCCCCCCCCAGTAGACAGCTTCGAGTTGTTGAATCGATATGAATGAAAGCAGCAGAGGTGAATTGTTGAATGAAGGACAAGGACTCGATGCTGTTGTCGAGCGGAGATCTCCCGCCCTGAGCGGAGGTCTGTAAGCACAATGAGGAGGGAGAAGCTACCCTGCATGTTTTTAAAGGAACAGACTTGTATGTTAGTCATCCATTCATCTGTACATATATATATATATAAATATATATATCACAAAACCTCTACAAATACTTGTTTGAATCATCCTCATGTAATCATGTCTGATAAAAAAAAACTGTATGCATTCATTTATTGTACTGATGAATAAAAACATTTCTCCCTGTATGAAAACAGTGTTTATTAGACATGTGATCAAAAGAACTGTTATTGTCAGGACCTTTTTTTGTCTCTGATTTGCTTTGTGACAAAGGTTGACATGACCCACTGAGCATATTTGGCTCTAGAAGAGGTCTAATAGACGTCTAAATGTAGCCTAGGTGACTGGTCTAAAACCAGGCTACCACATGTCTAAAAATGAAAGTTTTTTAGATCTCTAAATTTAGACCAAGTTTAAATCAGGGCTATATCTATACTGCACTGTATATTGCTGAACGGCTATCATAATTATTTTGGTTAAGTACTTGGAGATCAGTTATGTAACTCACAGTTGCTTTTTGAAATAAATAGTTATGGAATAATAGGTTAAATGCAACGTCAAAAGTCCATCTAAAAATATACAGAATCTAGACGGTTGAAATAAGGTCTAAAATAAAAAAAAAATTGACGTCTAATAGTCGTCTATTGCTCAGTGGGATAGTCCAGAGAAAGGCTAGAATCTCCCCATAAAAGCTGCACAAAAGACTGAAAGTGGGGCTGAAGTGAAGTGTAGCTAAAAGTAACATTTAATGAAGAGTTTCCTTGGAGTGCAGATTGCAGTGACTCTTAAGGGATGAAAAAAACAAGGACTACATTTCTCTATTTCCCTGTATAATCACACTCCTGGTGGGAGGCTCAAATGCTGTTAACAAAATGATTAAGCAGTGCTGTGTAGGTAAGCTTAGGGAGCCTGAAGAATTATAATTTCACAGCTTACATTCTTATCTGCAACTCAGTGGTCAATAATGAAAACCTGGAAGGACAATAGGTCTCATTTAAGGGTGGAAAAACACAAGTTATTGATAACCTATGATTTGTTTTGAGTTCACAGATGACGATAGACTTCAACCACTTCCTAGCTAACAATACAGCATGATAGGGGCAACAAAAGTCATAGAGTTTTAAGTATCAAAGCATGTTGAGGATATGTTTCAAGATTCAATCAAGCTTTACAATACAGTCTGTATGATGACAGCATTTGACTGAGATGTCAGTGATAAAGAGGTGAGGATGTAAGGATGTTAGCAACTTTACAGGACCAGGCTCCAAATCTTCAGCTCTCTTGGGTGCTTTCACTCTGCAGTTCCTCAGCACAGACCTGCCAGGGAACCCTTGATGACCCCTGCCTACTGAGATAAACAAGGAGGAACACGGGTACCCCAGAGTACCTACAATGAGCCTGTGAACATTAGAACTGGACCAAGAGGTAATGAAAGGAGATGATCATGAAGAACTCGATAAGCTGAATGTGATACAAATCCCCCAGATTTCAATCCAGTTGAGCTGGACTGAGCTGCTGATAAACCAAGTCAGATCTGAGGAGGCCCCACCTCACAGCTACCAGGACTTAAAGGACCTTCTGCTCAAGTTTTGGTGCCAGATACCCCTGTGCACATTCAGAGGTCTAGTGGGGTCCTTGTCTCATCAGTTTAGTTCTGTTTTGGCCCTGATCTGACTAGAGGAGGCCCCGCACAGTGTTTGGCAGGTAGTTATGATGTTGTGCTTGACTGATGCCTAACAGCCTAAAACGGATAGAAACATGGCGATGCAGTGGTGTTGATGTCTTTGTTTGTGTGGCCCCCTGATGAAGTTTATTCATTTAAATGTATGCAGTGAAAATGGGGCATTATCTTCTGGTGTTCTTTACTAACTACAGAAACTCAAAATGATTTACTGATCTTGGCTGCATGATCCACAACAAGAAGTAAGTTAAGGGAGAATATGCAGTCCTCTTCTTCCATTTAAAACACCACATGGATCCACACTATTTACTTCCCCTGTCTTTGTATAACTGTTTGTTAATAGTTGCTTTCTGGAGACTTCGACTCATTTTATCTGCTCTTCTTTTTTGTGAGTGACGAGAAACAGATGAAGCAACATTACAAGAAAACTAAACTGAGATTACAAGAAGTCAGATGAACTCAGATTTGTTATTATAGGAAAATTGGAAGAAACCAAACACATGGATGCATGTCTGCTCAGGGTCTCAGTACTTTTAAAAATAAAGTGTTTTTCATAGATATCTTAGAACCCCTTAATATTTGTTAAAAATACAGCTCTACTCCACTGTCCTCTGTGGCGAAGGACTCCCAGCGATGATATTAGCTTAATTAGATATTTCAATACTTGCAAGTCACGAGGAACATTTCAGATGAACAAAATCATTCCCTCTAGGACAGATGATGTTACTCATACTGTTAGTGTATAATGAGCATTTAATTTTAGTTATCAACTCAGTCATTCCTACTTTCCAGAATAAACTCTCCAGATATCTGCAATTAAATCATTTAAAGAAAAAACTACTATTCAGTCGTTACCCAAAGTGCATCTAAAGAAATCAATTATACCAGACATACAAAATGTAATTTAGTAAATCCAAATTTCATTTTGACCAGCGACTGTATCATAAAAATATCCACATGTAACATTTTGACTTGTAAATTGCCATTTGAGCAATCTGAAGTTAAAATAATGACCTGAAACAATTGACTTGCAAATGCAGTGTAGATATCTGTTTAAGAGTGAATAAATAACAATTTTGACATTAAAAGATTACAGGTAATCATTTATCATTTGGATATCTGCAACAACATCCTTGCATTACTGTGGTAATCAGGCAACAATAAAGATAGAATTACTCTCACCTGTCAGAATGGCAGACATAAAAATCTGGAAAGTTATGCTACATATGTACAGAGATTGACAAGTATCAGTAATGTCTACTGAGTTTATCCATCAAAAGTAAAAAAAAAAAAAATTTCAGATAAGAACATGTAGGAATAAATTATAATTCCTGATCCAGAACAGTCCATTTAAGAACAGTAACATTACTGTCAGCAAATCATCGTGTAGGAGTTTTGACACTGTAGGCAGGTGCAAAGTCCTGCTAGAAGAGGAAATCTGTTTTTCCATTAGGCAGTGTTGGTTCAGTGTTGGTTTTGGCCTTACTGCTTATGTGCAGAGATTTCTCAGTTTCTTGCACTTGTACATTGGGAAATGTTGTTCTTGAACTGTTGGACTATTTGCTCACACAGTTGTTGACAAAGTGATGTCTGGCCCCATCCTTGCTTGTGAACTACTCAGCCTTTCATGCTCCTTTTATTCCTAACCATGACACTCACCTGTTTGTAGTGAACCTGTTTACCTGTGGAGTGTTCCTAACAGGCGTTTTTTTTTTTTTTTTTTTAGTGTTCCCCAATTTTTTCAGACTTTTGTTGCCCCGTCTCAGCTGTTTTAAAACATGGTAGGGGCATCAAACTCAAAACAGGGGAATATTTACCAAGAAAAAAAAAAAGTTTATCAGATTAAATATCTCGTCTTGTAGAGTAATCAATTAATTACAAGTGAAAAAAGGATTTGCAAATGACTGTCTTCTGTTTTTATTCACATTTCACACACATGTCTGAACTTCATTAGAATTGGGGTTTGTAAAATTTATTTTCTGAAGATCAGCTTCTCAAGATGTTTCCTTTAGGTAACACTTTAAAGATTTAAAATGATCAAAAATCAGTCTAGAGTAAAAAACATGAGACTCAATTTAGATGTTTATTGTTTTTGCATGATTTTAAAAAGAAATATCCCCACAACACTTTTCTGCCAGCTTATAAACTGTAAGGGGCTTTATAAAAATATCTTGGTCTGTTTCTTGTGCTCAGTGGATTTGGAAGACACATTTTAACTTGTTTTGGATTCATGCTAAGCTGTTATTTGATGGTTTTAGCACATTATTAAAGGTGTGTTTTTTCCTTATCTGTGTGCATATACCATAATCACCAGCTGCCCACTGACTGAAAACAGGAGTTTTGAACTAAATGATTTAAAAGCTGAAACTGGAACAGGTTTCTAAAGGCACTCTGCTTAAAAATTTAAAAAATAAGACCTTCATTTTTACCTCCTCTGAATTCTGCAACACCTGAGAAGAACAACAGCAAAAAATCCTGGATCATTTCTAATAAAATCAATGCTACTTTATATTATGTGCCAGTTCCATGACCACATACAGTATCCTGGTCTGTTTTGCAGTCTGGATTCATCATGATGCTGGACCTTCGCAGCAGCTTGTACAGTTGCTCCTGAGTGTGTCTGGAGGTCACCCTCTCTGCTGAAGCCTTGCTGCACATCTCAGAGGACACATGTGCTAAGAACTGCGTCAGCTTCACCAGACCCACCAGAAGAGCCCCTCCCCCCAGCATCAGGCAGGGCCACAGCAGAGCGAACAGGGCCTTCTCATAGGTGTACTTCCTGTTCAAGATGGCGTCTTTGGGGTACCTTATGTGGTCAGCGAGGCATGAAGAGGTGATTCTCAGCTGGGTGTCCAGGCTGTTTTTTACTTTCTCCACTTCCGTCTGAAGCTCTGCTCGGTCCATCAGACATTTTGGTATGTAGAAACACTGAAAAAGAAACGGTTATGAGGGCTGAGATGAGTCAGAAGAGTTTCAAGGTCCTTTTTTGATTCAGTTTATAAACATGAACACACTCTCTTACCTCCATGTACCACAAAGAGGAAGGGACACTAAATGAGGGGCTTTGTGTGGCATGGATTTCCTGAAACCTTATGTCTCTGTTCAGGACTGGGTGCAACATGCTTACTTGTGCTTCCTACCTACTTGCCTACTCTTGTTCCAGTCTACACGCAACATTTTTGTTCTCATTCATGAAACACTTTAATCAGGGACATTGCCGGGGAAAGCTTTAGTCAAACAATTCGGGAACTGTCCCCAGTAATTAGGGACGTCTGGTCACCTTACCCAAACCCCAAACTTTAACTTGAAATCAGATTCCTTGAAATCTTCAAAGACCACATGATCTTACTCAAGTTGTTTGTTAACTATCTTACCATGTCAGAGCAGGATTTAGATTTTTCTCTCTCAGGTAAACAACCTCTGTATAAATGTCCTAATCATGGGATTTCAGGCTATTTTTTACTGATCCAGATCATTGACTTTGTAAGAACCAGATCTTTTGGGTCAGACAGGGTTCTCAAACAGCTCTTGAGCAACAGTGGACTCTATGGTAGGAACCATCTATGATCTACTCTCCACCTCAGTGTAGATGCTGTCTGCAACAAAACAGTAAAGCAACACTAAAATGATGATTTACATAAAACGGTATTTCATGGAAGTTAAAAGTTTCAATGGTCATTTTTCAAATTTATGTTCATGTTTGATATTAATTAGAAAAGTAGCACTGATAATTTGCAGTTAGCACACTAACTGACGTGTGCCCAGCTCTGTCTCTCTGATATCTTAGTGTTTGTAGTCATGGCCTCTGTGAGGAACTTTTTTAAAAACTCACTTTTGGTACTTTTGTCAGGCGTATCTCCTGCTGGGAACCTGCCTGTTAGCAAAGGTATCCACAGCTATCAAGAGTAATTAAAAAAGAAGATTTCAGTCTGGCACATGTAGTTCTCAGAATGCGTGGGACACACCCGGAGTAGGGCTGATGAGAATTTAGGAATATAAAAGTTATTATTGATTCAGCCTGTAGCTTCAATTCTTTATCATATCTCTTAATTACATTTAATATTGAGTTTTATTACCATCACTGTTCTTTTGAGACCATAAAGCCTGGCTTCTGATTGGACCATTACAGTCCAGCTGATTACAGCCTGACTGGTCAACGGACAGCAACAAAGATGGCAGCCCATGCTCAGCATAGTGACCCTTACTCTCCTTATTTTAAGATATGAATGTTCAGAGATTACTTAAGTTTATAAAAAATTAGGTCTGGACTTCACTGTGGGATGGAGTAGCTCCTGGTTATGAAGGAAAGTTATGGAGTTGTGACGCCAAATTTAATTTTCAAATTGCACACATATTGATGAAGCAATTTAGTGATAAATTTCACACAAAATGTACGGTAATAAGTTACTTTTTGTCATTTCTTTAAGTGGCGGGGAACAGAAAAATTTTCATCCTTCAAGCAGGAGAATGGCAGAAAACCTGTTGGGGCCATTGGTCAAGCTTTAACCCTTTTTTTAAATTTTGTCGGCCACACAGAGGCGTCATTATTTTATTTAATTTATGCCCCAAACAGGAGCTTGAAAGAAGATGTAAACAGACATGGTATTTTTTCAGAAGCATATTAACGCTCACATAGCTAAAAGCCCCTGCATATAGGAGGTATACAGTTAGGCCAAACCAGAGAGAGAGAGAGAGAGATATTTGGACAGGCCACTGACGGGTGATGAAAAATGTGTCATACTATTCCTCTGAATAGAGTGTTGATGCAGCATGAGAGCATCCCATGATAATGTCTCCTTGCATTTTCACAAGGGTGCAAGAAGCTGCCTGTTTTCCATCCTGCCAGCTCGTCCTGTTCAGTTTTTCCTTTCCTGCCCTCCCAGGTACTCTCTCAGGTTCCAGCCCACATAGCTAACATGAAGATGACAGAGTGGTCCTTCACATCAGCTGTAGTACTCAGACATAAACCTCTAATACTCAAATCTCCTCCTCAGGCCACTATCCTGGAGTTCTCCTTCCCAACAGTCTACAAACAGCACCTGGTGTGAAACAGATCCGTACCTAAGGCTCTTAAAGCCTCCAGGTAAGACCCAAAACCTGGACTTTACCGCCATAAATCCCTACCTCAGGAGCAAGCGGGATGGGTTCCTCATCAAAGTGCAGAGTGGCCGTCTGATTGGAGCCTGTCAGGTTAACCTTCACCCTGAGGCAGGGCACAGAGCTCACACCTCTGCAGTCCACCCACTCCTCCAGGACTTCCGAGTGCAGCATGACACAGCTGGCCTCCTCCCAGTCACTGAAAAACAGGAGCTAAAGAATCAGAATCAGAATGTCCTTGATCTGGACTAAACTATCGAGCTAAGAGAGGAATTGGATATCCATAGAGAATAAAATACCCAATACTGTAGTTTTCTGGCATCTCTTATCAGTTCTACACACCATTGTACCTGTTAACATAAGGTTTGACCATGGTGATGCCCACCACAAAGAACATGAGTACAGAGAAGGCCATCATGGTGAAGCCCAGCAGGACGGCTCGGTCCTCCCCAACACTCGACACAGGCATCTGGGACCGAACTCGCTGGCCCCCACGCCCATCCACCCCCCTGCTGCTCTCCTGCTGCTGAGCCGAGGCTGTGTGGAGGAGCTCCCTATGCCTCTCGTACACACACACACACACACACACACTAAATGAACACCTGCATAGACACTAAGAATCTAATGATTTTATCCAACAGTGATGCAAAGTAATTTTTTTTGTCTCGCACAAAAAGAAATAACAGAATGATGTCTCAAAAATGAATTTGATTTGTTGAATACTTAATACTACTCAATTTTACTTTGTTGCTAAAATACAGAATATGCTGAACAACTTTAAAAATATTAAGTTAAGTTCAGATTTTTGAGATATAAAACAGTGGTGAGGGAATTTAAAGTTGCTTTTGACAGCCCAAGTGTGAAAGCAGCCTGAGGAGGTTTTGGGCCCCAACCACCTCTGATCAGGAAAATTGAAGTAAGGTCCTGTCCTGCAATCCAGGTAGCCTGTTACCTTGTTATTGCATCTGTTGTAATACAGTAGTCAGCATTGAAAGACAATTATTGACTGAATCGGAGGCATAGACAGTATATAGAATGGACAGAGTCTGCCTCCTCGCTTGGTGAAGCCACTCCGAGAACAGCACCCTCTGGTGACGGGCTGCAGTATAGGTCATAAATCCCGCCTCCTCCAGCAATCCCTTTGGAGTTGTGGACAAACTTTAGAAATTTATTACACAGAATATAATTTTTTTCTTCCCCCCTGCTTGCGATGTTAGCTTGCCGTTATTGTTAGACTGGTTTGTGCTCAAGTCCTCTTTTTTCTGTACAGCTCCATTTTTAAAACTATTAGGGAGTTCATATTTCCTATGTTTGACACTTGATACAGCCTATGGGCGTTCAAAGATTGCGTAGCTCACCCGGGGGATACGCTGTTTGAGCAAAGCGTCATCACAGCGTCTCTCTGCAACTCTCCCGCCGAATGCGTACAATGCTACTGCGCAATGTTGGTTTTAGGGAATGGAGAAAAAATGTGGAATTACCAAAAACTTTTCGGCTTTAAATCCATATACTGGCTGAAGGCGGAACCAAGTTGTCCATAGTATATACAGTCTATGATCGGAAGTTGTGAAACTACGTTTTCCCCCTGTTTTTCTATTGTATAATTATAATGCGAATATTACACGTCAGACAATTTTAACTAGCTTCTTATGTACCACCCTGCAGCACTCCAACATAGTCCTACTAGTCAACTATCTCCATTTACAGTAGGCATTAATGTCTGTGCAGAATCACAGTCCCTGTTTTTAAGTCTGAACTGACTGACTCACCACAAAGATTTGAAGCCTGGTGTGAGGGCCTTGGTGACACAAAAGGATGACATATTTAAAAGTACAGCAGGAATTATTGTTCACAGCTTTTGGTACAAAAGACCAGCAAAGTGCTCCTTTAATCCTGAATTAATTGTTTTTACTCACTCCAGCTCATCATACTTAATCGTCAGACTTTTAATTTAGTTTTTTTTACCTCTCAATCCTGGCAGAAGCATACAGTGTGTATAACCACTCAACTTGAAGCTTTGTTAAAGTCAAGCTGTGTTTTTTTTCCTTTATAATGAACTCAGTTTGTGTGTTCAAAGCTCTCTGGCTCAGTCGATGGTCTTCTCTTACCGTGTTTGCCTCCTGCGAGCACCCTGCAGGTTGATGTTAATAGGGATGCTGAACGACCTCCGGGGGGATGTTGTGTTCAAGAACATGCCCACTTCTATCTGTGTCTCAGCCCCCACAGCCCCCTGACTTTACATCCACCTAACAAGCTTGTCTCTATCTGAAAGTCAAATGTCCGTCTGTGGACAGCTCATCATCTCCCTTCTCATACAGGCTCCAGTGTAGTGCTGTGACTGACTGACTGAGTGGGCCTGATTGCAGTTTTACTCCCTGGTGGAACTCCCTGTTGTTTACTCAGGCTCAAAGGTGAGCAGCAACACCTTCCACCCTCATGTGTGTTTCTATAGAAACCACCACAGGTAAGGCAGGTAGGATGCTAATGGCCTCTCAGTGGGCTCGTGAGGCTTGGCTGCATGCAGTCATTTGTCATGGAAAAGCTGAATAAATCCTGTCCTGATTATCAACTTCTTAGACAGACTGAAACTGCATGAAGTCACTGCCAATGGTGTTGTTTTTTGAAGTGCAGATTTGCAATCATTCAGTATTTTACACATATACTAGGAAAAAATACTGGTTGATTAACTAAAGCTACTAATAATGTGCAGTTCAACCATAATGATCACAAATTTAAAATTAAGGATTTATCGTTAGTAAAAAAATATGATAAAAAGCCATTTAAACAACGTTATTTCAAAATTCCATTAACAAAATTAGTTACATAAAATACAATTACATGAGCCAACTGCTTGTCAAAGATAGAGGATGCATCATTACTTAGGTGAGTTTTTACAGGATATAACCTTTACTGTGAAGTAATTATGAAATGATTATGTTATTTAACTCCAACAGACTGATGAGGTCAATAATACTGGCCTGATGTGATTTTATATACCTCAGTTTTCATCAGCTGACAACTAGTTGGATCTTGTATTGCATTAGGACTGAAGTGCTCCACCTCTTTCCCCCCTTTATGAATTGTTCCCACGTATAACATGCACATGCTATTGAATTATCAGTATGAAACACAGATTACAAAGGATACACGGACGGCCCCAGTGCTCAGCTTGTGCCGGAGAACCTGCATTAGAAAGTAAAAAATGTGACTAGAGGGTTTAAGTTTTCACAATTTCACTGAGTTTTGACTGATCTGTTTCCTGTTGTGTGTCCTCCTGTCAGTCAAATTGGCCACACCCCTATTTAACTCTGAATCTTCATAGGCTGGAAATGGATAAGTTATACAAAAGAATAAATCTCAGTGGACACCCTGTGAACCTTTGCTCTTTTGCACCGCAGCTTCATTTTGTAACACAGAGCTGCTGCTTGGTTTTCAGTAGCTGGAGCCACATTGAAAAACTCCCATTTTAAAATGACTTTGATGACCCCAGTGGACAAAGTAATACTTTTATCCCCTTTGTGATACCTCCTGATCATGTATGTGGTCTTTCAGAAACAATCTCATCCTAAATCATTTAAACTGTCTAAAATCTTGAAAATGTTTGTATCAAAAATATAATACGCTCTTTTGACAGAATGTAGTTAATACTGCTGTCAGTTACTTGCGTCACAATTCTAATGATAATGTATTTTATTTGTAGGTGCCTTTCAAAGCACTCAAGGTTACTGTACAAGAGAGGGTTAAAACAGGACAAACAAGTAAATATTCCACAAAATGAGTTAAGAGAATGGAAGAAAAAAACAAAACTAAAATGTTCAGACTTAATATGCCATTTTAAAAAAACAAGATTGAAAATGGAGAGAGAGTTGATATTACAGATGTCTGGTGGGAGGGATTTCCAGAGTTTGGGAGCAGAGTGACTAAAGCATAGACTGTATATACTATGGACAACTTGGTTCCGCCTTCCTCCTGTGTACGGATTTGAAGCCAAAAAGCTCTCGGTACTTCCATGATTTTTCTTCATTTCCTGAAACCAACATTGCGTAGTAGCATTATACGCATTTGGCGGAGAGTTGCTGAGAGTTGCTGTGATAAGGCTTGGTTAAAACAGCGTATCTGCCAGGTAAGATACGCAATCTTCGCACACCCATGGGCTGTATCAAGTGTCAATCATAGAAAACATGAACCCCCTAATAACTTTTAAAAATGGAGCTGTACAGAAAAAAGAGGACTTAAACACAAACCAGTCTTACAGTACCTACATGTCAACATCGCAAGCAGGGGGGAGAAAAATGTATATTCTGTGTAATAAATTTTTAAAGTTTGTCCACAGCTCCATAGGGATTGCTGGAGGAGGCGGGATTTATGACCTATACTGCAGCCCATTGCCAGAGGGTGCTATTCTAGTGGTGGTGAGGAGGCAGATGGCGTCATTCTATATACAGTCTATGGACTAAAGCTTCTGGAGCACATGGTGATCAAACAGGCGATTGGGACAGTGAGCTGGAGAGTGCAAGAGGACCTGAGAGTGCGAGATGGGTTGCCAGTATGAAGAAGGTTGGAAAGGTATGGAGAGGCAAGGTTATGGATGGCTTTGAAGGTCAGAAGCAGAATCTTAAAAATGATGCTGTCGGTGACTGGGAGCCAACGAAGCTGCTGAAGAATTGGGGGGATGTGATTGCTGGATGGGGTCCAGGAAATGATGCGGGTGGCAGATTTGTGGACTGACTGGAGTTTATGGAGGGATTTCTAGGGGAGACCAAAGGGGAGGGAGTTGCAGTTATCAATCCAGGAATCAATCCGGGATTAAACACTGCTGCTCAGAATAATCAGTGTTGTGCCTGATGGTGTTATTTGGTTTAGTCTGTTTCATAACCACAGTATGTGTCACTATCTGAAAAACGGCCAAAAAGTAGTTTAACTTCTTTAATCACTACTTAATAATGAATGAAGTTAGCTACCACCAGGCTGCTGCAAAATGCATTTGATCTACTCAATCACATGCAGTTCAATAACCTCTGCAAACTGCACAGCTGATTACTTTTCTATTAAGTCTGATTCATTAGAGCGGGGGATAAAAAGTCACATCATCCTTTTTTACTGCATGAACACACACATTCAGAGAAGATACTGACTCACACACACGTGTGTCTTGCAGAGCTCATGGTCCTGTTGAAATCTCAGGTGTCCCAACACTGTCTGAGTGCAAGATGCTAAGTAAAGTTTTGTTTTATTCAAACGATCGAAACTCTTTGCATTATTCATGTGTAGCTGCAAAAAAAAAAAAAAAAACATATGGAGGTATTAACTTGGTGACAGTTCTGTTTAATATAACAAGCCCAAGGCAAGGAACAGCACAGCAGCTTGAAAATGGAGCCAGCCTTTCAATAAAACAGACAGCAGTGTCATACCTAATTTATTCATTATTGAATACAATAGAGTAGTTCTGAATATTTTCCTCAACCTTTTATCACACTTTCTGGTATTAGCCTTCAAATTCAGGGAAATGTAATCCTGCTTTATCAAATGTGTTTTATTAGCTGTATGTTTTTATTACTCGGTGATACATTTTATTACAGAGCAGGCAAAGGGAGCCTCTTTTTTGTAAAACTGAAAAAGCTGACAAGAGGGCTGGAAGGGCAGGTATATTTCTTCCAGGGTTGTGGTGGGATTCAAGTGCTTTTGATGAAACTGTAGAAAACAAGATTAAAAATGTATAAAGCTCAGAGTACTTTACTTCACCTGGTAACCTGAGACATTGCCTTGACCGTGAGGCTTGTAGTGTGGAGCAGCACGGCAGACTTCACTCAAACAGAATCTCATCTTTAACATAAATGCCTAATGGAAACAGCCTGCTGCAACCATTGCAAACTGAACTACGTTGGTGTTTTTTTAAGGATTACTTGCTTTTTATCTCTCGTGATTTTGGGTCTCTCTGCTGGGCTTCTTCAACAAGCAAAACCCTTAAACATTTTTTTTCTAAAGTTCTGAAATGATCTCCAAAAAGAGTGCCACAAATTCCTCTGATTATCTGGATCAACAGTAATTGGACGCTCAGTGTCTCCTGTTATATGATTATGCTGCTGACTGTTTGTGAGCAACACAAGCAGACTGAGGTCAGTGTATAAAAGGCAGCAAGTCCCCGAGCGGGATGGATAATCACCAAAAGAGGAATCTAACTTTTCTCACCATTGGACTGATTTTTGTGCTGAGCGGTGTTGAGTACGGTAAGTTTCTAATGACAGTTTTATGGACCTGAAGACATGATATAATGGCCTCATTAGAGCAGAATCTTCCTGAGCACACATCACAGAAGAGGCGACCTCTAGTTTAATTGAAATCTGTTTTGCTGTTGTTAAACGAGCCTTATCAGTTACGCATCTTCCTCCCTTTCCTCCTCACTCATCCTCCCTCTACTCGCTCTGCTGCGCTCAGCTGTCATCCTGCCGACGATATGGAGGTATCTACAGATCCTGGAAGCCCCGCCGTACTTCTTGGGTCTGGGTCTGTCAGCCTTCAGTCTGAGTGGGCTGCTCACAGGCCCACTGTTTGGGTTCTGGTCAGACCGGAGCCAAAATATAAAGTTCATCATCCTTTTCTCTAATCTTTTTGAGATCGCTGGTGAGTTATGTGAGCACAAGACAAATCACATGATGGAGAAAGTCAAATTCTGCATAAACAACTGTTGTATTAAACTCAAACTGTTGTTCATATTTAGGCAAAAAAATCCTTAAATCCTTTTCTCTTCACAGGAAAATCTGTGTCATTGAATTGAAAATATCTCAAAAAGAATTTTAATTTCTTCTTACTCGCTAAATTTTGGATGTGCTTCAACTGAAGTAGTCGTTTATTCTAAAATTACTCATTAAAAGAGGTGAGAAACATCTTGAAAGTCAACATAAACATTGATTTTAAGTGACAAGTCTTCACTTTGAGCATCTTATTAGTCTTCAGGGTAATTTTGTGACCTCTTTAGGGTGTTTTTATCTTTAGGTTTGTAACCAGAACCAGACATTTGGCTAACTACACAAAATGATTTAATAGCGGTGTATTAAGTTGAGGCAATAACTGACCATTTCCAGTCATGCTACATACTATCTAAAGATAGAGAGAGGTTCAGCTCTCTGTGAGAAACTGTTTAAACAAATGGTTCAACAATTTCAGGATAACAGTGAGTAAAATGTCAAAAAGTAAGTGGATATGATCAAATACAGCGCATTTGATCATTCTTACAAAGTTTCTGACTTCCAACAGTGAAAAGTGTCATTTATTGTGAATATCTAGTGTAGAAAATGTAAAAACAGGACTGATTGTTGAGCTGCTGACACCTACCCCGCTTGAACAAGTTTAAAGTAGTTAAAATTACAATTTTAAAATGTCCATCTTGTCGCTGATGGTCTTGTTTTTTTAGACAGCATAAAAAGGCATCAGTATGAATTTCAGTCTGTTTCACAAACCTCAAAAAAACTCCTAACAGAAGCTTCAAGAGGTAACCCTAACATACAGCTAACTACAGAGACAATGCTAACTTGAGATGTTGACCACCCTAATTTAGCATTTTACAGGCCTAATGTTAACTTAGTGATAAAACACTGAACAGAAGGGCCGGTGAAGAAGTTTGTGAGGTCTTTATTTATTGTAAGAAGAATATTTAATACTTTTGGAGTTCAGGATTTTCACAAGTTTGTGTTTACCTCCTACAGTTTGACAATGTGTCTATTTTAGAGATCTCTTCAAACAAGTCTGTTGCTGCAAGGTCAGATACGACACAACAGGATAGCTGTTGTTTCCACTGCTAACTCCAGCTGTTACCATAACAACATATAGGCTACCGCTAGTGCTCAACTTGTAATATTTCTCTGACTATTATAACTGCTACGACTTAGGCTACAGTAGCTAAAGCTAAATTTCAGCAGCTAATATGTTGATGCTAACAAGATGCTAATAAGAAGTAGATACAACATTTACTCAACCGTTTTTTTACCATCTTAGTCTCGCTGGTAAGAATGATAATACCTGTGATTGAAAGAACAGATGATTTTAATTTCCATCTCTTTGCTTTATTGCTTTATATTTAGATATTTTAGCTGAACTGATGCAGATCTATCAAATATTGTGGATTGTCTTTGTTCAGTTATGATTATCACTTTTATCCATCCTCAGGTAACTTCATGTATTTTATTGGGTATTCGAAGTGGCTGTTGTTATGCAGTCGGCTTATAGCAGGTGAGACAAACACACAAACTCTCACACATGTCATGAATAAGACACAGTTTGCTGTTTATGTATGAGTCTGCGAGTGCTGTTTGAAGGTGTAACAGAAAGCTGCTCCTCTCCTCTCAGGTGTCGGTGCAGGCGCAGGCTCCTCTATCTTTGGTTTCCTAACTAGGAGCACTCGGCCAGAGGAGCGGGCCGGTATCTTTGCAGCCATCATGGCCTGTCGACAAGCTGGCCTCCTTGTCGGTCAGTTTCTCTCCCTTCATCTTACCTCATAGGGTGAGGTGTCATCTCACCTCTCTGCACCTCCTCTATCCTGTCAGAAATATCTGAGACAAGGACAGATTTGGTGATGTTATCTTTGAAGTTCTGCTTTAACTCTGAGAAAGAGGCATTCAATAAAAACCTCTGAGGTGGAGGCTACTGTCTCCACACATCCTCTTTTTATTCCTTCTCCTCTTTAAAGCGTTTCCTCTTCTCTGTCTCTCCAGGGCCGGCGTTCAACCTGTTCCTGCGGCTGTGTGATTTCAAACTGGGGCCCTTTGTTGTGAACAAATACACGTCTCCTGGGGTAACAGCTTCCACATAATCAGTAATCTAAGGTTCTCCGAAAGCCTTGTGAATACAGAAACAATCCCCAGGAAAAAGTTGCTCTATATTCTGCACTACTCCTTTCTCTTGCATGTATTTTTTTCTTTGTTCTGCTCAGAGGTAGAAGAATACAAAATGCCTGCAGCGATACTCAGGCCGGTAACAACCTAGATCGATCTATTTCCGTCTCATGAGTCTTTGAATAAAACACCTGTAGAACAGATGAGGCTTAAATGAGAAAGAACAAAGCCCCACACGCCTACTTCCAATTTTTCTATATAATTCGGCACAGCATGTCTCTTTATTTCACTCTGTGACTCTGCCAGATTACTTTATCTTTTAACTCTCTCATCCTTATAATAAATTCTTTATCTCCTGAGAGTTTGCCTCGTTTGAAAAGAAAGAGAATTATTTATGTTCATATACTATAAATACACATGTATATACAAACATACATACTGTATATGTACATTTCTGTCTTTGTCAGATCTTCATGTGCCTGCTGTGGGGGCTTCTCCAGTTTGTTGTCCTGGCAATGTATTGGGATGTACCACCTGTCATCTCAGAGGGTGGTGTTGTGTTAGTGGAGATGAAACAAGAGGAAGGTGATAATGAAGAGGAGGCACCGCTGATGGGGTCTGATGAGGAGCCAGCACACACCTATAGTGCTGTCAACTCTGATGAGTTGGAGACTTCCACAGTGTCTGAGATGCAGTCCTTCCAGGGTGCTTCAGCAGGTTCAGACCCCTTTAAGAACTTCAGTGCAAGCAGAGGTGAGTCAGAAATACTGTAGTGAGCGCTGACAACCAGCTTCCCTTCTGCTCTGTTTGTAGGGTTCAGGGAAAAAGAGGCGTCACGGCCAATACATATGTTTCCTACCTGCTATATCTATTGATTATTTCATGCTTGCACTTATATTTGCACAACTCACACAGTCACACACAACTGCTTACCTGCACATGCACTGACACTCACCTACATATTTTAACATGCACACATACTTATATTGACATGCATGCATCTTTATCTTTATAGAAGCTCACTTATCCTTGCACACGCTTACTTTTTCAATTCTACACATTCATGCGACAACCATCCGTTTTTGCACACAATTATTCATACACCCACACTTTCACCTGCATATACACACCTTTTATTGCTCTAACACTCTTCCCTGCATAAACACTGTTACTTGCACACATACTTATTACTGCACATGCACTTTGCCCACTTCAGCCTTCATACACACTTTTACAAGTGCAGACACTTTTGTTTGCACACAATTTCAATGCTCAAGGTCCCTCTGAGGATTTCCATGCAGTGTGTCAGATCAGGTTCTCTCTGCATTGATTGCATTTGTGTGTGTGTGTGTGGTTCTGCTGAACGTCCGCATGTAAGTATATATATGTGATGTCAGGTGTCTTATTGGATTATGTTTACATAGGATGCAGACAGTGATTGTGTGCCATTATTGATTAGCTTCTCTGTACTTTGTTGCTCTGTGTGTTCGTGTTTTGAGAGTGTGTGTCAATCCTCGGCATCGATTCTCTCACTCTTTGAAGATGTGGCAAAAAGGGGATGGATGGCAGACTTCCTTTTTTATTGACTGACTTGCTGTGGTTGACTCATGGATGAAATGGAGACAGACTTGATGATGTGGCCAACATTCCTCTTATTGATTCCTTTTTGTTGTGGAGAAAATCTGCAGGAGGAGAAACTCTGGAGTCAAACCGTAGGATGTCTGCAGCAGAACCTTTGTGCCGTTACACTGAACTCTTGAATTATTGATCACCCTTGACTTTTTCTGTGTGAATGAGGAGTCTTAAACACTCAGACATATCTTTCGCCAAGTTTTTTCATTTCTAGCTGGGTAAGTGCATCGCAAACAGAAGAAGAGGATTTCTTGTGCGTTCTTGGTCATTGAGGACAGACATTTAGCATGAAATCACAGCATGCAAACCAGCCAACAGCCAGTTAACTCCGATTAACTTTAGAAGATCCTTTCGGTTTCCATAGAAAAAAAAAACCTGTTCAGAAGCTCCATCAAGTCTCCAACAATTACTCTGAGGATGCTCTCAAAGTCATCTTGGCTTAAATGTAAGTTTTAGATTCTGATATGTGACGGAACGCATGAATCACAAATTCTGGATCGGCAGATGGTTGAGAACCTGGCAGGGTGTGTCTAAGTGATAAAAGATGCTTTTATGGGGCTTGACTTGCATTCGTGAGCAAAATTCTGTCACTTCTGTAAAGTTTTTAAAGATTTTTCCCTTGTCAGTGTCCCATCAGAGCAGACATGCAAAGACACGTCAACTTTGCAGATATGTGATCTTGAATGACAGTTTTTAAACCCCCTTCAACTCACCAAACAAACACCCTGGTTTAAATTTGTCCATACTATAAATACAAAACTGTACTGGCTATGCAGTAGTTGAAGAAAATTAATTCATATAAATAACAGAACAGAAAGAACTGGACCATAGTAGATCACGCTCTGTAATATCAAACCATTCCTTCAGCCATCTGGCACCTCCTTCCAAATTTAGCTGCAGGCCCGGCTCATTTTCTCCTCCTCTCCAAGTCCATAAGGGAGTTTTTGTTCCAGGAAAAGCTGGTATCAAAATTTAGAATTTCTCCTATTTTTTCTTGTTATCATGTTTTGGACATGACAAACAGGAAACACTGATATCTCGCTTATCTGCGGCAAAAGTCAGTGTGTTGGACTCGGGGATCAACCAGCCAGGATGGTCACGCCAGCCTCTTCCAATCTTAAGATTACCACTTTTAGATTTCAAGGTGTCCTTCCTCCTCAAACTTCTTTATCTTAACCTGACTCACCGGTTGAAACTTCAGATTTTAAGCTACTGCTTGAGCTTGTTTTATGATTCTCTCCCCTTCTTCAGTATATTTTTCTCTCCTTCTTTGTGTCTGTCTGTCTCTCCCTGCACAGAGTTCCTGCGAGAGGAGGTGGTTGTTCTGCTCACGGCTCAGTTCATCACTCTCTTCAATCAGACGGCGCTGGAGGTGAGAGCAGCTACCGTAGAGATCCATCAGCTGGAGTTTCCAAGCATTTCACACAATGTCACAGTATTTTACCCCTAGCTTCATTCAGCAGGCATCTGTCTGAGCCGTACCTGAAAACCTTATTCTGTAACGCTAAGTAGTAATTACAATATGCTTGAACAACTAATGGATCAAGTGAACATAATCTATCCGTTTGTCCCTGACGTGAAAATAAGAGGCTGTCTTTCTTCTTATTAAACATGAGCTACACAGTCCTGACCTGGATTTGGTAATCATCTCAGTTTCAAAACAGAACCAATCTTTTGATCTGGACTCATTGATGGACTTAAAAGCCGCTACTTTCAGCTCTAATAAAAATCTCCATCTTCTCTAGCTGACCATCTTTGCTCAAATCTTTTTCACAAAATTCCCCCAGACGATGGTGACTCCTATGACGCAACGCTATTTTGGCTTTGGCGAGCTGGGCAACAGCCTGATGTACAGCCTGTGCGGGGTAGAGGTCATCCTGGGTTTCTTCTTCGTGCGCTGGCTCAGTGGGAAGGTGGCGGACCGCACCGTGCTGGCTATCGGCCTGGTCATCTGCTGTACCGCCTGTATCTGGTGCCTCGTCTTCCTCTGCAACCCCCGAGGTGCTAACCTGTCCGGAAAAACATGCAAATACACTCCCGCAGACATACACACACACTCACTCAAAATGCCTCATCTTACGCTGCCAAATCCTTCTCTGTGGTGGTGTGTAAACGTAGGGCAGCCATATTGGGTTACACACAGGCTGAATGCTCTGTAAATGATATCACTCAGGCCAGCAGGAGATCGTACAGGCACACTGGATCCTGTATGTTCATGTTGGCCTGCGTCTGTTGCAGCTTGTCGCGTTTATCGCTCTGATTACAAGTGACAGGTGCTAGAGCAGGGGGGAGCCGGGTACATATAACAGGATTACAGTAATCTAATTAGAGAAAAATGCTTTTTGTTCAAGCATATCCTGCATTTGTTTGCTATTTGTTACAGTCATAGTCTGAACAAACACACAAAGGGAGGCTGATACCTGTGGAAAGAAATGTTTTCCAATAAGAAATCTTTTATTGCTAATGTTGCGTTTTGATTTTAGGATTACAGACTCGCAGCTTTCAAAAAACATCCAACAGTCTGAGTGGGCCCACATTCACACAAACGTGTGCGTGATGCAAAGCAGCAGAGAACAAAAATCTGGTGTCTGCCAGTTTGGCAGTGGTTTGAGTTTCAGATAGAGCTATCTCTGGTGCTGCCAAACCATTTGTGGAGGGATCTTAAAAACTGACAGAAGAAGAGATGGATGAGTAAAGTAGGATCTGTTGCTCACTTTGAATCATTATCACTACATATTAGAATAAAAAAGCAACATTTTATATCAGCTATAACAGATCCTACAATTTATGGCTACTATTAAGTGTATGGGAGACTTTCTAATTTATTATAGGCTCTTAATCTGATTGTTTAATGATATGTATCACAAATTGTAATTTTGTGCCCAACAACTGTAATTTAGCCTCCTGGGATATAATTTTTCCTCCTCTGCCAGGTGGTTACGGATGGGAGCTGTCGGCCTTCATCATCGGGGTGTTTCTGCAGCTGCTGGGTCTTCCCTTCGTCGCCGTGTCTCAGGTGTCTCTCTTCTCCAAAGTGACTGCAGAGAAAACACAAGGTTGGCTCATTTTACTCGGGCTCTGTTTGCACGGCTCAACATATTCAAACAACAGATTGCTGCTCAGCATATGTGAAGCAAATAAACAGTTTCAGCATGCGGTGTTTCTGAGCCATACTTTAGAGTTTGTAGAAGGAACAGTAACCTTTAGTTTTTTTTTCTGTTCTTCACCGAAAGGATTCAGCCAAGGTGTTAGACGCTCAGTGGGGGGCCTTGCCACCATCTTGGGCCCTTTGTGGGCAGGAGGTTTGACCAATAATTTGTACATAATGCTGGGCATGATGCTAGCTCTCCTCCTGATGATATCAGTAAGTACAACACAGCTAATTAAATATCTGATTTCATTATTTTTACCTCTTTTGTGTCCATGGATTTTGAATGTAAAAAGGGTCAGCAGTCAGTCAGCCTAGCATAAAGAGCAGATATAGAGAGTAACCAGATTTTCTTTACAAGAAGACGACTAAACAAAAAACAAAATCTTGCTAGCTGACTGTGGATATGTTAGGGGATTGATACCATGCTCATGTTTATTCACAACACCTTACACTACCGTTAGCTGCTGGTTAGCTTAGAAAATACAGGAAACAAGGTAAATCCAGCTCTACCCGAATGATACACTAGTCCCTCACAAGTAATTTTTTACGCCCTGTTATTTCTATCTGTTTTCATATTATGCACATCCCTCTTTGCTGTGGTGCCATGGCTTAAGGGATGTTCCTGTGTAAAATTATAGGGTCAAACCCACTGTAACATCAAGTTAGACAACCGAGAGAGTTGAATGTCGAGAGATAAATGGCCGCTTGCTTCTCTAGTTATACCAACTTTAGTAATGATGGCATGATAGCCATACACAGCGGGACTCAGAACAGCACCTAACTTCATCAACAGTACATATAGAGTCCCAGCCATTGCACCAGCCACCAAACATTTTTTTTAACTTTGCCTAATTTCTTTAGCAAAGAGACTGAACACAACTCACCTACTCTCTCCCAGCAGCCGCTTGTTTGTAGCGAGACCTCGGGCCAGTCCATCATTGACTGCAGTGGGGTGACGCAGCTCAAGGAAGAACATTTATGATCATTTCTTTATCATTTCCATGAAGCAATAATCATCATATTAATAGTTTTGCACTGCAGACGCAGTAGTTACTCTGCCTTAGTATCTTGGTCTGATTACATTTCCATGAAGAAATGATCATAAATGTTCTTCCTTGAGCTGCGTCACCCCACTGCAGTCAATGATGGACTGGCCTGAGGTCTCGCTGCAAACAAGCGGCTGCTGGAAGAGAGTAGGTGAGTTGTGTTTAGTCTCTTTACTAAAGAAATTGGGCAAAGTTAAAAAGATGTTTGATGGCTAGTGCTGTGTCTAGGACCCTATATGTACTGTTGATGAAGTTAGGTGCTGTTCTGAGCATTATTTGTGGCTATAGAGTGGCTTTTTGGTTGATGTTTGAGTGTGGCTCCTGAGACCGCTGTGTATTGCTATCCTGCAGTCGTTACTGAAGTTGGTATAACTAGAGAAGCAAGCGGTCAGCAACATTTACCTCTCGAGGGAGTGTTTAACTCAGTGTTATATTGTGTTTGACCCTAAACTAATTTTACACCGGAAAATCCCTTTAATTCAGTCCCTCACCTTAATTGGTAACACATCAAAATGTAACTTAATTTTAATCCATACAGAGGACTTAGCAAAAACACAAGTTTTGTATTCAGAAGGAACTTATTTAGCCACTGCTTGGCTAAAACTCTGCTAGCTATAGCTTCTTATTAGGTTTTAGCCCCCTCACACCTGTACAGCTCACTTATTCCGAAGCTCAGCTGCTTCCAGTAAGCTAAGCGAATTAAGCTAACCTGCTGATGAGTGTAAGTTTGTATTAGCTGCTCAGAAATATGAGTGGTATAAATCTTCTGCCAAGAGTGGGATAAATCTTCTTATCTAACTCTTGGCAGGGAGGCTATTGAGATGATTGCCCAAAATGTTATACTACCACTGCTTCAATTTCAAACTCTCCGGGAAAAGGATTTGACATACATAGTTAATGCTTCTTCTTCCCAGAGCTTCGTCTTCCCCCTTTATCTCTGTGTGTACCTTCCTCATTAGAAACTAGTCAAAGCTGTGGTACAAGACCCAGCTGGAGACTTTTTTTACACATACTCAAACTGAAAAAACAGTAGAAATCCTTACTTCAGCAGATCTTAGCTTTTATACATCTCGGTCCTGTATATTCTCTTAAGACATATCACCATGTATATTTTCTCAGGTTATGACAGCTCTGTCCTACGAGCGGCTGACTGAGCCGAGGGCTGTGCAGAGCGCCCACAGCTGTGACAGCGGAGGGTAGAGCTTCAGTCTGTCTGAGGAGCCGTCGCACAGGCTCCAGATGAACAGAGGGGACCGGCCTGCACTTCTAAAAGAATCAGTACAAGTTTACAGCACAGGAAACTGTTTGAAAGTGGAATAAAAAAATGATCAAACACACACTGTACCTCAGAACCTGCCTCAGAGGTGAGCACACTTCACAGGTAAAATACTGTACCTTGTCAGATTTCATTAGAATCCATATCACCATCTCACTATTAATTATAATTCACACAAGGGGGCACCATTGCTCTCGTATTGAATATTCAGAGGTGTAATTGAAGATGAAAGCCATTATTTTTAAACAGGTCTATTTATATTCCCAGGTGTTGATGAAGAGATGAAAGAGCAGGTTTTTCCATGTGACCCGTGTATCAAATTTTCATTTCTTGTCCTGATTCTTTCTTCTTCTTCTACTTCCACTAAACAAAACTAAGTCTGTCGCTGACAATGAAGTAGTTGACACAATGAGTGCAGAAGTAGAGTTGTCAACATCTGAGCAGCTGCGTGTCAGTGTGGCTGACAGAAGACGGGGGTCAAAGAGAGGGGAGCCAAACAGATTTCATGATATTTATTTGTAGTGTTGGAGTGAAAACGTGTGCTTTTTCTGTGCTAAAATTAAACACAAAGCCTTGAAAGCACATAGATGTTATCTGAAGCCATTCCTCTATATCTTAAGTGCAAATGAGATGCTGCTGAATTAAAGCTAAAATTTGAAAATACTCATTAATGAGCCGTCTCTATCTTTTTTACGTTAGGGGTTTTAAAGTTTAATTACCTGAATTTATAATTCAAAACATGACAGTGTGTGACTGTGTGTAGTCAGCTGTTCTTGCCTCTTTTTTCCTCTAGGATGTGCTGTATGTTACTCATCTACATGCTTTAAGCAGCAGGAAGGCATTGTAGATTCCCTTTGTACCACTGAACATGGCTATGGCCAATCTCTGTGTTTTTTTTAAATAATTGCAGATAAGGCTCCGTAACCTTTCCAGGTCTTTACACTCAGCATGCCGTGCTTGGCTTTCCACAGGCTTTTTTTGCCCAAAATGGAAATTCTAATCTGTGGGACTTGAGGACATAATATATATAAGTACTTTCATGCCTTGATCAGCATATTCAGGTACTTGACATTTTAAAGGAGATAACAGGGAGCAGAGATTCAGGTCAAGCCTGAATTTACTCCTTTTCTTTGCATTTTCAGCTTCATTCCTGCTGTTATGTGTTTTTACAGAAACTCTTTAACAATTTAGAGATCTACAACAGTTTTAAAACCCCTGAAAACTTTCACCAAGTCTTCCCCTTACTATTTAAAGTGCATGGTTAAATAAGCATCAGTCAAACTTAAAAAGGCAATGCTTTTTAACATTCACAACGGTGGTTTTCAGGGAGGCGGGTTATGATTTATTGAGGTGGAATCGTGCTATTTCGCAACGAGGAAATGAATCAAATAAGCCATTCCTTTTCTTGAACATTTAAAATCGAATGAATCAATAAAATAAGCTTTTTTATGATAATATCATAATGTTATGTGGAAGTCTCACACAGTCTGCATTTGGTTTAATTTAATCAGCAGTGTATGCTGAACAGTCATCTAAAAAAACTCTGAATTGATATTTCTCTTCTTTAACTGACAACGATCAAATTGGTCGCTGAAATATATCCAGGGTTTTTTTTTCTTTGAAAAAAGTCAACACACTGTACCTCCGCAAGACTTGAACAGTATTTTTATTCAAGTGTCTATATAGAGAAAGAAATCTAACAGCGTCTCACACTCAATACATCCTGGGAGATGAAGTCACTGATGCTAGAAAATCAGATGAACTTGACCTCAAACTCAAATAACATTCACTACGAGAGATGAGTGGTTAAAAAGTTTCCTGTAAATTTATACTTTATTAAAGTCTTGGCAGTACTTAAACAAAGATGAACAATGCACTGTAAGTTTATGGACAGATAGGAGCCAGGGTCTTCATGTCAGCATTGATATTCTCCTCAGGGTCCAGAATAAACCTTATTTCATCTGTAAGTATTGAGACACACTTTTATTTTATTTTTTAACATTTTGGTTTTGTTACAGTTCTTAAGATAAGATAAGATGAGATAAGATAAGATATTCTTTTAGTAGTCCCACAGGGGAAAATTGCAAAATTACAGCAGTATGAGCACAGATACAAAAATCTGAAAAATTCTTCATCTGAATCGTGCGGTAATGTTTGAGCAGATTAGACCAAATTCCCCCCCAGGGATGAATAAAGTATTCTGATTCTAAATCTAATTTGGTTGTCTAAAACCGAAAAAAAATCTTATTCATGTTCAAATGTTGAGGCCAATTCAGATTTGTGCAAAAGTGACACCACCTTCTTTTAAACAGCCCACGCCTGTGAGAAAAAAAATGCTTGCGAAACAAAAAGAGAAGTATTTCATGTCACACAAAATAATTCAAACCTGGAAGGAAATGTGTGTTTATGTAAAACCCACATGTTGACAGCCAAAATCTGATGGTGTAATATGTTTTGGGCTCTTCTGTGTGTCCCAAAATGGGACAAACCACTTAAGTTGTACACTGAGATGATCCTGCTTTCATACAAAACTGTCCAGATTGGTGCAGTCAACTGTGTGCCGATCTTCAGCTTCAGTAACGGCCCGTGGAGACAGCACAACAACCCCCTGAGGACATAAATAGAAAGCCTTAGGCCTCGGGCTTTTATGTTAAATATATCAGAGGAAGACTCATGAGTCATGAAATTTTAAAGATACACCGAACAACCATTTGATGCAGGGGGCAGTGGTTATTTCTGTGAGGCATGGAAGATGGTTTGTGAGTGTGGAGATAGAGATTTATGAGAGGAGGAGTGAAAAAAAGCAAAGATAAAATAATATTATGTAATTGTAGAGAGGGAACTCTGGGTGATCTGAACAGATGAAGGCATAGTAGAGCTTTAGTGGAGCATCTGCATGTTGTAGTGCGATGTGACTATAAATGGCTCAGTCTGTTTTCTACATACAAACTGTTTTCATGAGGAGCAACTCAGCCATGAGCACTTCTTTTAGATATTCAGTGGAGTGTAAAAATATCTTCGTAGCCGTTTTCTCATTCAGTGGTGCCTGTTTCTCTTCTATAAACAGAAGTGTGAACACTTGACTGTACCAATTTTACTCTGTCTAGATCTTATCCTTGACTGTGCTTTGGTAGAAAAGACCAAATTTTGTTCCTTATGCACAAATTAAACAATACAGAAATTTATCACATATTCTCAAATCATTTATAAGGTAGCAAAGTGATTAAAAAAATGCAATCATAAACATGTATCTTTTTTACAATTAAAGCTCCTGTGAGGAACTTTTGGTTTGACTTCTCGCAGGAAGAATCTGATATCCACAAATAAAGACGCTCACATTAAGTTACATTTATTTAAACTCCATGTGACAAAAGTGGGTTGTGTGCACAGATCACAACAAATGCCGTGCGTAATGGGACTGAAATCAAAACCTCCTGTGCGTAAAGGACGCATCACCCTTTTGACTCATGTTTGCATACGATACAAACTTGGCTCACGCAGTTAAATATTATAATATTAGCATGTAGGCCTAACTCCGGACTGAATATTTTAGGTAATGAAATCAATGGATAAATAGTTTATTTTGAATGAAATTTTCTTTTTTTGTTTTTTATTCATATTTTCAAAATAAATCCCTGATCGCTGTGGGTGATCAATGTATTAGCAGCAATTTACGATTAAGATGTTAGAGGTGAACTTGAATCTACATTGCCTCCACAGCTGGCCAATCAAGAATGTGATCTTGGACATAAAAGGCCAATCCTCCTCTGTATATGTTTCTATTAAGTTTAATTATATCATAACCTTGTACACATACCTTTGTGTTGTCATTTGATTCATCCAAATGGGTGTCAGAAATTGCAACTATAGATCATTTACTCACTTACTTTACCTTGTTTTTCAAACTACAGACTTTCAAGTGGGAAACTTAAACTCCTGTAGAAATCATGTTAGTTAAATAAGGTGAAAGTATAGATGAAAATCTGGTGCCTCACCTACTTGAATAAGCATGACACACCTTTACTTACTTGATGACTTCCTCACTTTTTTAAAGTGTTTAAAAAATAGCAATTTTTTCTCAAATAGAGGCAAAAAGTCTGAGCTAAGTTCCCAGTGTTTCAGTGACCAAGTCGGAAAAAAGCAAAATTGGAGGTGAAAACAAAATGGCTACATTAAGAAAGTTATTTTAGCACTTGCCTTATATAGACAAGGTTCGGAGTTAACCTCTGATTACTCAATAAAAAAAGAGCACAAAAAAAAAGTTGATTCTTCAGATATTTTTGGATTTGATTGTAAAGTGAAGTTGTCGTTGATGTTATTGAAAGAAGTTGATAATACCCTCGCAAGACACAGAGAAATGCTGCGTTGTCCGAATATAAGGCAAGCGCTAAAATAACTTTCATAGATGTAGCCATCTTGTTTTAGGCCTCTGATTTTGCTTTTTCCAACTTGGTAACTGAAACGCTGGGAACTCGGGTGTTATGTCATTGTCAGCTCTGACATCTGACTTCCAAGGAAACTCGAATGCAGCATCAGCCTCTGTACAGCCATTTCCAGCCATTTTCCTCTTTACAAAAGCAGCAATTCCCCCAAAGTCCACCTGTTTTTTTTTCTGTGGAAAAGATGCATTTCTCATATGTTGTTTCTTCTCCTCAGGTGGTGAAGTTGAGATATTTGAGTTATTGGTATTTACCTTCGTCATTAACACATTAATGTGACTGTCTGATAACCTTAGCCGAGGGAACAGGTGTTTATGCAAATGAGAATTTCAACAGGTGAGACAGGATTCCAGAGTTTACATGAGATATACCCACTCTCACTTATTACCCAGCCTACAAAAAACAGAAAAAAAACAAAGAAACCAAGTACTCCCATGTATAAAGCTGAATGTGGAACCATCTTTCTTCTTGGAGTGAGCGTGGAAAATAAAATCACTTGAGCGTAATGGCAGCATTATCATTTATTCTGGGTTTACCTCACTGAATAATCTGACAGAGACAAAATAAACAAGTCATGGATGTGGAGGCACATTCACCTTTGAATGAGCCACTGGGTGCATTTTTTTCCCTTTTTTTTAAACTGGGTGGAACAGACTAATTTATCTCACTCCAGACAACAGGATGAGGTTTTTGTCAGGAAATAGTATATATAACTATATAACTACACTATATATCTTATAGTGTATAATAGATAAGAGTTATCAACTCGTCTACAGGGGGCACCACTGTCAACACAAACCAAAAGTCCCTCATAGCAGCTTTACTGCTGGGACACAGCACGATGGGAAAAGCATAAAACCATGTAAATCCACTGCTCACGAGGGGTGTACTTGCTAATAAAATCTGAGACTAAAAGTTAGCTGTTATTTAATTGTATCTTACAGGCTTTCTAGCTGTCACTAAGTTGATTAATTGTAGCAAACGAATATGCCATGTTACTCTAAAATATAGTATGAGCTCCCTTTCTAATTTTCTACAGCATTTATTCCTGCTTATTAAACAGAGGCATTGAAGTGACAGCACTTGTCAG